GAGGGCTGGTGGAGGACAGGGAGCAGCTCTGCCCAGAGCAGCTGTCCCGGGACCGAATGGCCCTGCCCCACCACAGACGGGGCCTTGGAACCAGGATTGCTGCCTGAGTTCTGGCTCCCGAGGGTCCAAAACCAGGGCCCCCGAGGGCCCTCCCGCCTCTCCCAGCTTCTGGCGCAGGTGCCGCCCTCCGGCCTGTGCTGCCACCCATGGCCTCTCGGCCCCATCGCCCTCAGGACACAGTCACACTGAGTGACACGCCGACTGCGTCTGTAATGAGCCGTTGCCCAGTGCGGCCGCCTCCCGAGGCACAGGGGTCAGGCTGTCACATCTCAGATCCCAGTTCTGCCCCGAAGTTCTACCCTTTGGGCCCCTAAACGTGCCTCTCGCACATGCAGCCCCAGGCTTACCTCCTCCAGCTCCCACCCTGAGCTCAGAACCTCTCAGCATCAGCCCGTCCCCAGAGCCCGTGAGGCTGAGCCAGGCAGTTCCTCTTCCCCAGGAGCCCTGACGGTCAGACGGGAGCGGCCTGCCCCGCCCGAGGGAGGGCGGGCACCTGCCCTGGTTCTGACGAGGACCTGGTCCTGAGGCTGGAGGCCGATGGCGGGGCCCCTGGCTCTGCCCGCCGAGCACTCCTGCTGTTTCCCCCTCAGTCTGGGCCGCCTTTCCCCGGGAGCAGACTCTCAGGACCTGTTGGCTTCAGACCAGAGGTGGCGCCCTCACTCGTCTGGCCCGTGGCTTCCCTCTGGCTCTGTCTGCGGCTCACAGGAGCGCTGTGTCCGCGGCACCCAGTGCCGGCTTCCCCTCTCACACGAGAGGCCAGGCTGTGCCTCCCGCCCTCAGCCTGGGAGTCACAGCTCAGCCTCCAAGCTCAGCACCTGCACGTCTGCTCCCACCCGCCACCTCTTCCGCGCTCCGTGGCGTGGCCCTCGTCCTCCCAGGCTCACGGGCGACCATCACTGTCGTGTGCCTGGCACCTGGCCCTTCAGGCAGTCCGTGCAGCAAAACACCATCCTCCCCACCCCTCCCGGCCACGCCCTGTGTCAGCATCTGTTAGAGCAGCACGCCTTCCCGACCCAGCCTGGCCCTGCGGCCGCCACAGGAAGCCCAGGCCAGGGGCCTGCAGCAGGGGCTGTCTGAGGCCGGGTGACCCCGAGCAGCAGGGCCCTGGGAGTCGCCGGCCAGCCCCGGCGCGTCCTGGCTGGTGGCCACGTCTCTATCTTCACGTGGCTTTTTCCCGTGTCTGTCTTGTGTGTCCTCCCTCGTACGAGGACTCGGGTCATGTCCCATGAGGGCCCAGGCTCCCGAGGGGAGCTCGCCTTGGCCAGTCGCACGTGCCGTGGCCCGTGTCTGAGTGAAGCCACCCAGACCCGGCAGCGTCCTTGGCGGGTGCTCGCTCAGATGGGGGGACCCCCAGCCCTGCCTGCCTGCGCTCCCTGCCTGGCAGGCTGCCTGCGGCGGGCTCCAGCAGGCCTCTGCTCCTGGCCAGGCGCTCACCCTGCCCTCCGCAGGCCATGCGCACCCTCAGCTGGAAGCACACCCTGGGCCTGGTGACCATGGATGTGGAGCTGGCGGACCGCACGCTGTCCGTGGCGGTGACCCCCGTGCAGGCCGTGGTCTTGTTGTACTTCCAGGACCAAGGTGAGCGGCCCCCTCAGGCCGGCCCTGACGCTGCTGGAGGGTGGGCGGGCTGGCAGCGCCCTCCCCACGGGGCCGGGGGTGACGGGCAGAGGCGGCGTCTGGCCCGCCTGCCCACTGTGCCTGGCCGCCGCCGCCCTCAGCCAGCTGGACCCTGGAGGCGCTGAGCAAGGCGGTGAAGATGCCGGCGGCGCTGCTGCGCCGGCGCTTGGCGGTGTGGCTGCAGCAGGGCGTGCTGCGCGAGGAGCCGGCCGGCACCTTCTCCGTGGTGGAGGAGGAGCGGCCACAGGACCGCGACAACATGGTGCTCATCGACAGCGACGACGAGAGCGACTCGGGCATGGCCTCGCAGGCCGACCAGAAGGAGGAGGAGCTGCTGGTGCGGCGCTGGGCTGGGTGGGGGGCGGCGGGCTGGGCGGGGATGGGTTAGGCGCTGGGCTGGGCTGGGCTGGGCTGGGCTGGGTGGCGGGCGGCGGCCGAGGCGGCCCGGCTGACCCCGCGCTCTCCCCAGCTCTTCTGGACGTACATCCAGGCCATGCTGACCAACCTGGAGAGCCTGTCGCTGGAGCGCATCTACAGCATGCTGCGCATGTTCGTGGTCACGGGCCCTGCGCTGGCCGAGATCGACCTGCAGGAGCTGCAGGCCTTCCTGCAGAAGAAGGTGCGCGACCAGCAGCTGGTGTTCGCCGCCGGCGTCTACCGCCTGCCCAAGAGCTGCAGCTGACGCCCCGGCCCTGCCCCTGCCCGGCCGCGGCCTCAGGATGGACAGCCGCCCCCCGCCCAGCCCCCACGTCCCTGCTGGTCCCGCCCCCACCCTGTGACCTGTCCCCTGGCCACCCCTGCCCGGTCCCCAGAGGACACAGTAAAGCAGCTGGTTCTTCAACCCTTCCCTGCGCCGCTGGCTTTGTGGGCCCCTCGTGACCTGGACATTTCTCTGAGCCACTGGGCGACCCAGCTCCCGGGGCGAGGGGTGGGGGAGGGAGCCCCGGAGAGACCTGTGCACTCTGCGTTTGGGCTCTGCCTGCAGGCATTCCTCCCGTGGCCGTGCCTGAGGCCCACTCGGGCCCTCAGCCACCCCCACCCGCCAGGCCTCCAGCTTCAGCCTCACTCCTCTGGCCTCGGGAAGGGGCCTGCGGTGCCTCCCTCCGCCCGGCATGGGGGTCCAGCCCCCAAGCGCTGCACCCAGTCCCAGGGCCTCTGTGGGCCAGTGGCCGGGAATCCCTGCTGAGCTGTGAATCCCTGCTGAGCTGGGCCTTCCTGCATCCTGCAGGAGGGGCTGCCTGGGACATGCCCTCCAGGCCAGCAGCGCCCCTGGCCAGCACAGTGCCACACACAGGACCCGGGTGCAGACAGGCCAGGCCCGGCCTCAACTGCTCTGGGCATAGCCTCCGGTGCCAAGACCTCAGGCAAGACCCTTCTGAGCCTGGCACTGCCCCACAGGCAGCAGAGTCCCTTCAGAACACGTGTGCCCACTGTCCTGGCCTGGAGCCCTCGGCCCAGACACCCCGTGGGTCCCACAGGCCCCTCCCTGCGCCCTCCCGGCCTCTGACACGGCCAGCTTCGCACGGGGCCCAGTGCATTTCTGACTCAGGACCCTCTGAGCTCTGCCTGCCTCGGGCTCAGAGCTCTAGCCTTGGCTTGGAGCAGCCGGGTCTGGTGCGGCCAAGCCCGGAGCAGCGGCTGCCAGGCTGGGAGTGGCCAGGCCCGGAGCAGCAGCAGCCAAGACCAGAGCAACAGAGGCCAGGCCCTGAGCAGCCAGGCCCGGAACAGCTCGCTCCTCGCCTGCCCCTGCCCCACGGCTGCCTCTCAAACATGGCTGGAAACTTTCGCAGGAACTTGAGGGTCTGCTGAATCAAGTGATGAAGGCTTAGATCTGGATGTGTTGAGTTAGTATAGGGCGGGGGTGTTGATCTGTGAGTGCCTTGGGTGGGGCCTGGATGAGGCTGGTGGACCTATTGGGAAATGTCTTCTGTGTGAAGTGTATCATTGGGCATGTGGAGGTATTATTGATATGAGAAAATGCTAAGTAACTGATTTACTATCTGAAAGGAGATTTACTATCGGGGAAAGGGAGGGAGGAAGAGACTGAACATAAACTGTGCACCTATGGATGAGGACAATGGGGGATGGGGAGGAGGCGGAGGGTGGGGTGGGAACCTGGTGGAGGGGGGAAGAAATGAGGAACCTTTGTAATAACATGAACAATAAAGATTGATTTAAAAAAAAAAAAAAAAAAGAGCTCTAGCCTTGGAGGCTGTCACTCAGCAGCCCTGCCTGTGGGTGTGGAGCCGCTGAGCTGCGGTCAGCAGAGGGCTTCCCGCTCCGGGCCCAGCGGCCCTGAGGCTCCCAACAAACACAGCATCTGCTTGGCACGTGGCCGGGCGCCTTCGTCATCCAAACCGGATGCAAACCAGCCGGACCGGCCTGGCCGGCGACAGTGCCAGCCCCGGCACGGGCCACCTGCACCCCTGCCCTGCGTCTCGGTGAGTGCCGTGTGACCTGTCAGGTCACAGCGCTCAGCAGGTGGAGAGGTGTTGGGAGCTGCCAGGAGGCCCCCTGGGCCCCACCAGAGGGGGCGCCTGTGTCGGTCAGGGAGGTCCCAATGACCTGTGGCCAGCTGGGACCCAGCCATGCCCCCCAGCCCGTGGCCCGCTGCGGGGTGGGCACTAACTCTTGCTGCCTGGGTGTTGGCAGAGGGGCCGTGTAGGCGGGTGGGGAGGAGGCCAAGGTGAACTCGGCCGTGCCAGCTGGCAGGCGAGTCCCCTGGGCAGTGCTGGCCTGGACTGCAGGGGGCTGGCAGGGACCAGACCCTACCCGCAGCCATTTCTGAGCCGCCTGCCTCTAGAGTAGGGTGACCTGTGGGCACTGCCTCCCACCTCCTCTGGGTGATTGGGGGACCCCCTGGGGCCCTCAGATCTGGGCATCCCTGGGTACGGGCCGGACCCTCCCCCAAAGAGCCAGTGCGAGGGCCAAGGGCACAGGGCTATTCCCTGGCTATCCTCGGGCCCAGCTCTACCGGCCCTGGCAGGAGGGCGGTGACAGCGGTCACCAGGCCCCACTTGAGCAGTGGCCGTCCTGAGGGAAGCTCCTGGGAGCTGCGGTGAGCTGCCTGGGCTGGGGCACCGTCTCCGCCACCTCAGGGCCTGCCCCTCCCCACGCCCCACAGCTGAGGTGCCCTCTGCCTCCATCTGACGGGACCCTGAGGACTCTCAGGCCCTCCCACCCTCCCTGCCCCAACCCCACACCCAAGGGCAAGTGAGGCTCAGGCTGGGCCCTGCCCCACCCTCCCTGCCTCAGGGCCCACTGTGAGGTCAGCGCCTGCCCCGAGTTCCGTCCAGAGGCACGTGGCCGGCTGGAGGCTGGACATGGCCTTCTGGTTGCAGCCCGACGCCTGCCTGCTCGGCAGCCCCCTGGGCCTCACATGTTTGTCCCTTTTGATCTCGGCTGCAGGTGCTGCTCCCGCCCCTCGTCCAGCGGGCCCAGTGGACCCACGTTCCAGTCAGTGGGCACCGGGGCGGGGTGGCCGGGGTCCTCACGGCCCTGTCTCTGCAGCTGGAACCCGCTGTGACTGCAGCCTGGGCCTCAGCCGGGAGGCCCTCATCGCGCTGCTGGTGGTGCTGGCAGGCATCAGCGCCAGCTGCTTCTTCGCCCTGGTCATTGTGGTGGTGGGCGTCATCCGAGCCAGGAGGTGCGCGCCCCACGGCCGGGGGAGGGCCCCCTGCCTGCCCCGGGCCCTGGGTCCCGCCGAGGGGGGGCCCTGCCCCCAGGACGGGAAGTCACAGGGGCTGGGCCTGGCGTTCCCCGATGGGGCTCGGGTTGGCGTGGGGGGCAGTCCAGCTGTCTGGGAGTCACACCCGCCTTTGTCCCCCCAGTGAGACGTGCCCCGGCACCAACATGGACACCATGGAGGCCAGGTGAGTGATGCTGGGGCACCCCTGGGTGAGCGTGCCCTGCTCCCCGCTCCCCGCTTCCCGCTCCCCGCTCCCTGCTGGGGGGGCACTGACCGGCCCGTCGCGCAGTTTGGTGCAGGAGGACCACCTGGACCTGCAGACGGTGCAGGTGGAGTCCAACCTGATGGACTCCAACGAGGAGCTCACCGCGGAGGACGAGGGCCTGGCCCTGGAGGAGCCTCTGTGCCCACCGCTGCCCGAGTAGGCGGTGGCCGCCGGGGAGGGAAATGAAGTCCTATTTACTGTTCTCACCGTCTCCTTCCCGCGCGCCCCTCCCCCTGTGATGGGGGAACTCAGGCACCTGCGGGGCCACCCTCCCCCCTGGGCTGGGAGCCACAGCCCGGTCCTCTACTTCCTCCAGCGGAGCCTCAGCCCAGCCCTGAGGCTGGCGGCCCTGGCCCCGCCCACCGCTCCCGACCCGCGCCGTCTCCTTGAATTCCAGGGGAGGCCTTGGGGTGGGGTGGGGCAGGCCTGTCTCCCCAGCCTCAGGCGAGCAGCCTCCCTCCCCCGCTGGGCCTGTCCCCCAGGCTCAGCGCCCCTTCTCCCCCGCCCCACCCCCTGCTCCTGCAATACCGGGCCTGCACTCCCGGGGAGAAACCTCCGCACTGGGGGGCGGGACCGCGAATCTTCCCTGAGCCCCCAACGGGGAGAGACCGCGAGGAGCCGGGCGCACTGGGTCCCACTGCCCTTGGGGCGTCGCCTCCCGGCGGGAGTGGCGGAGTGGGGTCCAGCTGCTCAGGCCTCGGAGGAGCTCGGGGTGTGGGGCGAGGCCGGGGCGGGGACACCTCGCCTGCGCCGCTTCTGGCGCGGGGCCGAGAGGAGCCGCAGCTCCGGGACAGGTGGCCTAGCGCCCGCCCCAGGCCGGCCCGGCCCCGGACAGGAACTGCCGGCGTTGGGGCGGGAGAGTTCATGTTTGCGCCGCGCAGAAGGGACGGACGGGCTCCGAGAACACACAGCGGAGGGCGCTCCCGCCGCGGGTCCCCGGCGCCCCCATGCCGAACGCCTCCGCTGTCTCCTGGCCGCCGCTGTGGCTGCTGCTGCTGTCGCCGGCAGCGGCTTCCCCGACGGGGACCCCGATGGGAAGCCCGGGCTCCCCCGCCTGCCCGGAGGCCTGCGCGTGCGCGCCGGGCGGCCAGGTCAACTGCTCGGGGCGCGCGCTGTCCGAGGTGCCCGACGGCCTGAGCCCCCGCGCGCGCGACCTGCTGCTGGATCGCAACCGCGTGCGCGCGCTGCCGCCCGGGGCCTTCGCGGGCGCGGGCGCGCTGCTGCGCCTGGACCTGCGCGACAACGGGCTGCGCCGGGTGCACGCGCGCGCCTTCTGGGGCCTGGGCGCCCTGCAGCGGCTGGACCTGGGCGCCAACCAGCTGGAGGCGCTGGCGCCCGGCACCTTCTCGGCGCTGCGCGCGCTGCGCAGCCTCTCGCTGGCGGGCAACCGGCTGGCGCGCCTGGAGCCCGCGGCGCTGGGCGCGCTCCCGCTGCTGCGCGCGCTCAGCCTGCGGGACAACGAGCTGTCGGCGCTGGCGCCGGGGCTGCTGGCCGGCCTGCCCGCCCTCCGCGCGCTGCGCCTGCGGGGCAACCCCTGGGCCTGCGGCTGCGCGCTGCGCCCGCTCTGCGCCTGGCTGCGCGCTCACCCGAGGCCCGCGCCAGGTGAGCCCGGGGCGCCGGCGGGGCGGGGCGGGACGGGGCGGCCCCGCTGCCGCCCGGCCTCCGCCTCACGCCGCGCCGTGTCCCGCAGAGGCCGAGACGCTGCTCTGCGTGTCGCCGGAGCGCCTGACCCTCCGCCCCTTGACGGCCTTCCCCGACGCCGCCTTCAGCCACTGCGCGCGGCCGCTCGCCCCGCGGGACCTGCTGGTGATCTACGCGCTCGGGCCCCTCTGCTTCCTCGCCAGCCTGGCCGCCTGCCTGGCGCTGGGCGTGGTGGTCACCGCCTGCCGCGCGCGCCGCCAGCGCGCCGCCGCCCGCGCCCCGCGGAGACGCCCTCCCAGCGCCGGCCCGCGCGGGGCGCCGCCCGCGGACCCCGGGAGCCCCGCCGCCGCCGCCGCCGGGACCTGAGTGGGCGCGGCGGCCCGCAGCCCCGCCGCCGCCGCCGCCGGGACCTGAGTGGGCGCAGCGGCCCGCAGCCTCCCCCATCCTCGCCCTCCTCCCGCCCCTTCCAGGGTCAACAAGCCACGCAGACCGAGCTGTTGTACATTCTTTTAGGCATCACCATGGCACACACTGGCCGGAGCGGCGCGCGGCGCTCCGGGCTCGGGGAGGGTCAGCGCGCATCGCGTTCAGGCTGCGGGGACGGCGCGCGCGCACCGGACACGGCGGCTGGGCCTGTACAGGTGGCGGGCAGGGCGGAGGGCAGCCGCAGCCAGCGGTGGGGAGCCGTCCGGGGCTGCGGGCCGGAGCGGCGGAGGGAGGCGCAGTCAGTCTGGAGGAGCAGGTCCCAGCGAGCGAGCGAGCGGGAGCCCCAGGGAGCCCCTGGGAAGGCTGCCGCTGGGGAGTCAGGGTCTGCAGTCAAGGAAGGGCAGGGCCGGTCGGCAAAAAGGGTCATGGGGAGAAGGGGAGGTCAGAAGAGGAGAGGGGGGGAGCCGGGCTGCTAGGAGCCGCCAGGGGCCACAGGCCCCATACTGGGGCTCTGGGTGTGGCCCGGGAAGAAGGGGGCTCAGTCTCTGCTCCCAGCCTCTCTGCCTGGGGCCAGGTTCGCCCCTCTCCCTGCTCAGAGACCCAGCCCTGCCTCTGCCGGAGCACCCCGCGGCCCTGCCCAGCCAGCTCGGCTCTGGCGCATCTGGGTCCAGCAGGGCTGCCCGCCGGGCAGCAGGGCGGACGGACGGGCAGGAGGCAGGGTGGGCAGTCTCGGGCGGGCGGGCTTCCCTCAGGCCTTCCCGAGCAGCAGGACCCATCAGTGTCCTCGGCCGGGCTAACTGGGCAGGTGGGCGCCTCCGGGGGGCTCACACCACGGTGCTGACAGAGGGATCTGAGAGGTTGAGCGGGCCCGTGATATCAGTGGGATGGTACTGCTGCAAAATAGAAATACACAGACAAGGCAGCCCGTTAGCCGACGCTCGGGGGCACGCGCAGGGCCTGGGCGGGTGGGCCGGCCGGCCGGCCGGCGGGCAGGCGGGCGCGGCCGGGGGAGGCTGAGGGCGCTCCTCCCCCTGACCCCGTCGTGCTCCGGGACTCTGCGTGGGCCAGGCCGCGGTCCCGTCCATCTGTCTGTCTGTCTGCGGGGGAGGGGGGCGTCTCAGCTCTCCCTATGACGGGCACACATCTGCAGCTGGCCCTCCTCCCTCTCAATAGCGCGTCGCGGCAGCACTGTGTCTTTTTGGTTTTGCAAAGCGCCGCGTCCACCCCCGGTGCTCTATAAATAAGAACCAACAATCAATACCCGCGGCCCCGCGGCCACCGGGACCCCAGCCCTGAGTGCCCAGTGCCACCCTGGCCCGGACCGGCCACAGGACAGGGGCAGAGGATCTCAGCAGCCGGACCGACCCCCCATCCCCACAGAGCCCCCACCCAGACCTCCCTCCAGCAGGTGCCCGCCCGGAGCCGCATGGGAGCGGGCTGCCCTCCCGCCCGGTCTCCCCGTCGCCCTGCAGGGAAGGGCCAGGCCCAGATGCCAGAGGGGAGGGGGGCGGAGCTGGCCTGGGCTGTCCCTGGTGTCCAGGGAGGCTCGGGTGTGTCCAGAAGGCCCTGAGAGTCTGAGCTGCACCTGGACCAGGTAGGGGCAGGCCTGCCTGCTCTGGGGGCGGGGGCAGCACGCAGTGACACCCCAGAAGCAGCTTCACCTGTGGGACTGTGTGCTTCTTGAGGCTGCCTTCCCAAAGTGCTACGGGGAGACACCTGCACCCCTGGACTGCCCACCCTCACCACTCTGGGCCTGTGCACCCCCTCTTCTCCCTGCCTGCCTGGTGGTGCCCCTGGCTTGTGCCCTCCCCCCTTTCCTGGCCTGAACTCCAGCCCTCCCCACTCACTACCCACCAGCCCCTGAGGAAGAGGGGCAGACGGGCCTCATGGGGGCGGGGGGCTTGGTGCCCTCTGGTGGCTTCACCTTGAATCACATTGTACCAAGCCCTGGCTGTGCCTGGGGGCCTGCTCTCCTCCTGTACGCGGGGCAGGGTGCCAACCCACTGCTACCTTGGAGCACGCTCCTGTGGGCTCAGTGTCTACTCAGCCCCCTTCCCGCCTGGGACCAGGGTGCGCCTAGCAAGACTGGGTCGGTTTGGGAAGCTTTTGGTCCAAACGTGCACAGATTTTTTGGGACAAGATGCCCACGGCAGGAGGGCAGGGGGCCTGGGCTCAGATAGCAGGCCTGGCTCTGGCGTGGCCGGTGGGCCAGGAGCTGAAGTGCTGGTCTCCTCCGGGGAGGCCTCTGTCTAGGGGCCTCTGTGACCCACGCTCTGGAGGCCACCCCCACCCGTCCTCAGACCCTCTGGGGCAGCTGGTGTGCCTCCTGGGGAGCCCTGCTCCTCCTGGGGTGGGGGCTGCCCCCTCTGGTCCAAGCCACTACCTGCCTGAGGGTCCCCTGTGGCTGGGGACCTGTGCCAACTCCAGGCCCCAGCCGTCCACCCCGAGGGAGCCAGGCCCGGCCCCCAGCCCGGCCCACACAGAGACCACATGGAGGGGATGCAACAGGCATGGCTCTGGTGAGACAGGCGAGACGTGTCTGGGTGCAGGGCCGGCAACCGGACAGATGGACGGATGGGACGTCACAGCCACCCCTCCCCGGGAGTCGAGGGCAGCGGGCCCCGGGAGAGACCGGGCACCTTGGTGTGACAGTGAGTGGAGCGGCCACCGGAGGGGGCTCTGGCTGACCGACTGACCCAACAACATGACACAGCTTCAAGATGGCGCGTGGCTCATGGATGGGGGACTAACGCAGAGACACATGGGGACGAGGACCCGTGAGGGCCGGCGGGAGGTGGGGATGGGGCGCGGGAGGCCCGGAGAGTCGGAGAGAGAGGCCTAGTGTGCCGGGTGAGTCAGATGAGGCAGAGCCACAGCGGTTGGGATGGGTGGCGGGTGGGATGAGGGGGAGGGCACGCCTGATGCACGGGACACAGACACGCAGGGCGAGAGAAGAGTCGGAGACGGGGACGGGCGCTCTTCCCCTTACCGTGTCTTTGGAGGACCTACGTCTCTTGAAGCTGGAAGCCAGGGTGGAGGTGATAGCCCTAAAAGTGGCTTTCTTTTTAGGGTCGGGCTCTGCTCTACCACTCTTTCTATCCTAAAATGAATATGTATAAGTGATTAGACGGCTAAGGGGGACGGCCGCACCTGCCCTCGCCTGCTCCTCGGGGGCCGCTGGCCGGCCGCTCGGCCCTGGCTCCTGCCTGCCTCCCTGCGCCGGGCCGCCGGGCCCAGAGCGTGCCCACGGGCGCGCGGGCGGCCTCCGCTCCTGCCCGGGTCGGGCCTGACCTTCCTCGCGCTGGGGCTAGACTCGGGGGTCCCGTCTGGCTCTCTTCCTGGGAGGTCGCCTGGCTCCCTGGCAGTTGTCCCAGGAGGAGGGGCCCTCGGCTCTCCGGCCGTCCTGACCCTGCGGGGGCCCCTGGAGAGTCAGGAAGGGGCCACGGGGCCAAAGGTGAGCGTCCGGATGGATCGGAGCGACAGACAGAGGCACTCCGGGGACCCTGGCCTCGGGTCTGTGCCCGCCAGTAAGAGCAGCGACCGGGTCCTAAGAGCAAGACGGGCAGATGAGAGGCGGGGGCTCCAGCCACCATCCCCCCCAAGCCCTCCCTCTCTGCTCTGCCAGCTTCACCCCGGACAGACTCTGGAGAGGCACCCAGAGAAAGAGAAGAGATGCACAGGCTGACCTCTGCCAGCCCCACTGCCTGCCCCGCCCCAGGTGGGCATGGCTGCCCCTCATGCAGCCTGCCCCCTGCTGGCAGCCAATCCCAGCGACGCGGCCTGGGCAGCAGGCAGGGCCAGCTGGACCCCACGGAGCACAGGACACAGCAGGCAGCCAGGAAGGAGGCCCGGGCGCTGAGGGGGGTGCGGGTGGCAAGGGCGGAGAGGCAGATGCATCTGAGACTCACGTGCTACCCCCGGGCGGGTCCCTGTCTTACCCTGCCTCAGTCTGCCTTCCTACGGGATGGGCGCCGGCGGGCGGCTCTGGAGACAGGCCAGGCAGAGGCTCGGAGCGGGCACGCGGCCTCCCTCGGCCTGGCCCGGCCCGGCAGTGGGCGGCCACCATAGGCAGCCCCCTACCGACGCTGCCCCTGGCTGAGGCTCCCAGCTCCGGTCCGGCTCCCGCGGCTCCGGGAGCCAGGGCCACGCTCCAGCCTGTGGGGATGGAGGAGGGCTTGGCCGGGCGGGCCTGGGCGCCAGGCCTCGGGGTGGCTGCCCTACCTGCAGGTTCTTCCTCCACACGTTAACCGCGGCGAAGGCCAGCTGCATCTGCTTCCGACGCGCGTCCTTGTGCCGCTTGTAGGCGATCTCGATGAAGATGAGGAAGATCCCGGCCACGATGCCGCCGGCCACGAGCATGAAGACGCCTGCAGGCCAGGCCCAGCCTCAGTGCTGGCCGCAGGCCCCCGGGGGACCGGGGGACCCCATCCAGTGTCCTCAGGGGCGTTCAGGGGGAGCGGGCAGACCCACCTGCCATGTTCTCGAAGGTGAGGGTAGCAGGGGCGTTGCTGCGTGAGTCACACTCCTGGTACCGCACCCACGTCTTGTCCAGGTCTTCCATGAAGCCATTCTCATGGGACCTGGGGGCGGGGCAGCGGTGGGGGCGGGGCCTGGGGCGGGGCTTGGAGGCAAGTTGAGGGGCGGGGCGAGAGGAGGGGCGGGGCCTGAGAGGCGAGTTTTGGAGGCAGAGTGGGGCATGAAGGGGAGAGGGGGGGGCATTGGGGTGCGAGTTGATGGGCAGGGCGGGGTCTGCTCTGGACCGGGATGGGGAGGCTCTGAAAGCAAGGGGGGGGCGCGGGGTGAGTTGAGGGGGCGGGGTCTGAGTAGGCGAGTTGAGTGGGCGGGCTTGAGGCGAGTTGATGGGCAGGGCGGGCCTGGGCGGGATGAGTTGGGGGTGGGGCTTGGGCGCTGCAGGTTGATGGGCGGGGCTGGGGCGGGGCTTGGGCTAGTCGATGGGCGGGACGAGATGAGGGGCGGGGCCTGAGTGGAACGCGTTGAGGGGCGGGGCGGGGCGAGGCGGCTCACTTGAGGATGGACAGGGACACGTTCTGCTTCCAGGGGCTGTCCTTGCGCATGCCGATGCCGAAGCCCGAGCGGAAGAACAGCTCGCCCGTGGTCACCAGGTCGCACTTCTGCGAGGCCTCGAACTCCAGCACCGCCGAGTCCCAGATGAAGGCGTGCAGCTTGCTGCGGGCGGGGTCGGGGTCACGGGAGCCCCCACAGCCGGGCTGCCCTCCGCCCGCCCGGCATGCTGTCCCACCAGCCGGAGCCTCTCTGTCTGCGCCCCCGGTGCCCAATCCCGCTTTTCCTTAAGGTGGACGCCTGCTTGCCCGCCCCCCCTCCGACGTGCCCCGCACGGCCCGCCCTCACTTGTCCCGCACGGCCCGCCCTCACTTGTCCCGAACGGCCTGGATGGCCTCGGCCGCGCTCTCGTAGTTGTGCTTCTCCATGTGGCGGTACATGGTGCTCAGCTCCACCTGCCGCCGGAAGTAGATGTCCACGGAGCTCTGCTTCACCGTCGCGTAGATGAACTTGTCGGAGGGGTTCCTCAGCTGCGGGGTCAGAGGTGGGCTCGCGGCGGCTCCCCGGCCCCGGCCCCCCTCGAGGTGACCCCCGCGGGCCTCCCGCCTCCGCCCCCAAAGAGCCGGGCCTCACCCGCGGGTCGTTGATGCCGGTGATGCGCTCCTCGGGCCGGTCCAGGACCAGGAAGGCCGCCAGATTGGCGGTGTAGGAGGCCACGATGATCATGGCGAAGCCGGCCCACACCATGCCCAGGATGCGCGCCGAGAAGCTGCGGGGGGCGCCTGGGGACGGAGGCGGCAGCTCAGCTGTGCCCGGGAGGGCGGGCGGGCGGGGCAGCGAAGGCGCAGGACCTGGCAGCCTCACCTTCCCCGATGCCCGAGTTGAGCAGCACGCCCCAGGAGAACCACATGGCGGAAGACAGGGTCAGCGCGTCCTCCTCCTCCTCCTCGCTGTTCACCTTGAACCGGCCGAAGGGACTGCGGGGCACAGAGGGCGGGCGGGAGAGGGCGGGAGAGGCAGCCGCCCGCCTTCGCCGCTCCGCTCGCCCCGCGGGGGAGGTGGGGCCCCCGGCCGCGCTCACCTGAAGCGGTCCAGCAGGTACAGCATCACGGCTACCACGTGCACCGACAGCCCCACCAGCAGCCACAGCGTGCTCTGGAACGGCTGCATGAACGAGTCCAGCGTGCTCCGCGGGATCTCCTGCGGGGGGGGGGGGCCAGCGCGTCAGCGTCGCCAGGTTCCTGCCCGCGCCCCCCCAGGACCCCCTCCCTCCTGCCCCCGCCCCCCAGGACCCCCGCCCTCCTGCCCCCGCCCCCCAGGACCCCCGCCTTCCTGCCCACGCCCCCCAGGACCCCCTCCCTCCTGCCCCCGCCCCCCAGGACCCCCGCCCTCCTGCCCCCGCCCCCCAGGACCCCCGCCCTCCTGCCCCCGCCCCCCAGGACCCCCGCCCTCCTACCCACGCCCCCCCAGGACCCCCGCCCTCCTGTCCGCGCCCCCCCAGGACCCCCTCCCTCCTGCCCCCGCCCCCCAGGACCCCCGCCTTCCTGCCCACGCCCCCCCAGGACTCCCTCCCTCCTGCCCAGGCCCCCCTCCCTCCTGCCTGCGCCCCCCAGGACCCCCTCCCTCCTTCCCGGGCCCCCCCAGATCCCCCTCCCTCCTGCCCGGGCTCCCCAGGCCCCCCGCCCTCCTGCCCGCGCCCTCCCCAGGACCTCCTCCCTCCTGCCCAGGCCCCCCTTCCTCCTGCCCGCGCCCCCCCAGGACACCGCCCTCCTGCCGGGCCCCGCCCACCTTCTTGACCAGGATAGTCAGGCCTTGGTACTTGAAGGGCTTGGAGAACTCGATGTACTGGGCACGCTCGTTGTTGATGGTCAGTGGGGCCACGATCATGTCCGCCTGGCCGCTGAGCAGCTCGCCCATCATCCCGTTCCACTCCTTCTTGTTGCTGTTGTTCACCTGCGGGGACGCAGCCGGTGGGGTGCGGGCACCACCGGCCCCGCTCCCGCCCCGGTGCACCAACCTGAAGCCCCGCCCCGTGTCGCTCAAGACTCCGCCCAACAAGGAGGTCCCGCCCACTCCAGACCCGCCCAATAGGAAGGCTCTGTCTACTCCTGACTCCGTCCTGGCTGAAGGCCCCGCCCACTCACGACCCTGCGGGTAGCAACCCCTTCCACCCGAGGTCCTGCGGGTCCCCGGCCGTACCCGCTCCTGCGTGCCGAACTTGCCGTCGGCCACCAGGTGCACCTCGTAGGTGAAGTTCATGGTCCGCGCCAGCTTGATGAGCAGGTCGATGCAGAAGCCGTAGCAGCACTGAGGCACCGTGTGACGCGCTGCGGGAGGAAGGGGCGGTGACCACCGGGCTCCACGCGGAGCGGCCCGGCCCGGCCCGCCCCATGCCCGCCCGGCCCCCACGCACGGCTGCCCGGCGAGGTGTCGTTGGGCCCCGTGCAGATCACTTTCTTGATAGGGTCCCCGTTGACTGTGGACTCCTCCTTGCACGTGCCGTCGCTCATCGTGGGCTTGACGTACACGAAGGGCTCCTGGTGGATGGTCACGATCTGGGGGAGGAAGACCCGGTCTGGAGCACCTGCCCTCGGCCGCGGGGGGTGGGAGGGTGGGGAGGTCCGGAGCGGCCTCCTGCGACGCTGACGCGCTCCCGACCCCCCCCCCCCCATGGGCCCAGACTCCTGGAGCCCCTCCAAATCCCACATCCTGACGTTCCCCCTCCTGCTGCCCCAGGGGCCTCCCCCTCCCCAGCACCGGCCTCAGCATCACCTCCCTGCTGCCTCCAGCATCCCGGAGGGACGGGGCCCCCTAAAACATGGCCCTTCCTTTGGCCCCGTGCCCTTCGGTTCTTGGCTCACACCTCGCTCCCCCCATAAAGAAGCCGCTGGGATGGCCAGTCTGTCCCGGGCACCTTCTCTGGCGTCTCAGGGATGAGGACCTCCTTGCCCAGCCCAGAGTTGGGCCCATGAGGACAGGGCCATGTCCCCTGGTATCCCTCTGAGTCAGCACCCCATCCAGGGCCCGCAGTCTGATCGCTCAGCCTCCCCAGCAGTGGGTCCCTATCCAGCCCTCATTCTTCCTTCCCGTGTCCCCTGTGACACCACCCTCCCTGCCATGCCTGCCTCTCCCATCCGGGGCTCACTGGGGCTCATGCTGGACACTCTCTCCTCCCCTTCCTGCAGGGGCTTGCAGGCTGGGGGTGGGGAGGACAGGTCCCGGCAGAGGGGCGACAGGAGCAAGGGGAGGCTACACTGAAGCTGAGTCTGAGGCGAGCAGGGGTCCCTGCGGCGCCCTCTGCTGGGGAGATGGAGGAGCCTGGGCCTGCAGCGGGGACAGGCGTAGCCTCAGGGGCAAGGGCAGCATTTGGCTTTCCCCTTGGGGGTCGGGAGTCCCTGAAGGCACTTGGTGAGTTTTTAAACATTCACCATGTTTTTCTCTTAAGCGACGATAACATTTGTGTTTTTTAAAAGCAGGGAGCCCTGGCTGGTGTGGTTCAGTGGGTCCCGTGCACCGCAATGCCGCCAGTTCAATTCCGGGTGAGGGCACACCCAGGTTGGAGGTTCAATCCTGGGTCGGGGTGCAGACTGGAGGCCACTGATTGCTGTTTCTCTCCCTCCCTCTCTCTCTAAAATGACTAAGAACATATTTAAAATAAATAAATGAAAAAGCCAGTGGGGGGGGGGGAGTACAAAGTACAAAGCTGCAGCCCAGGTGGGACCAAGTGGCTGTTGGTGTTTTCAGACGTTTCAGCACGTGGGGCCTGAGCCTCAGAGAAAGGAGGTGGCGACCCTCAGGCCAGTGCTGGCCAAGGGCTCTGGTGAGAGGCCCGGCAGGTGGGCCCAGGACACAGGCAGGGCCGAGAGGCAGGGCCTGGGACTCGGGGAGGAGGTGTTTGGTGATCTAACACACTGGCTTGGCCCCGGCTGGTGTGGCTCAGTGGATAGAGCATCAGCTTGCTGCTGAAGGGTCCTGGGTTCGATCTCAGTCAAGGGCACAGGCCTGGGTTGCAGCTTGATCCCCTGTAGGGGTGTGCAGGAAGCAGCCGATCCATGGTTCTCTCTCATCATCGGTGTTTCTGTCTCTCTCTCCCTCTCCCTTCCTCTCTGAACTCAATAAAAACGTATTTTAAAGAAGGAACATTGGCTCAGTGTGGGTCAGCAAGGGAAGGGCCTCCAGGAGAGCCACCGCAGGAGGGAAGGGGCCCAGGAGGAACCCCAAGTCTCTGGGGAGCGTCGGGCCGAGGAAGAGTAGCTGTGAGGTTGGAGGCCGTGGGGCGGGGCTGCCAGAGGCCCAGGGAGCGCCCAGGAGGGAGTGGACCCCATGGGAACGTGGGAGGCCCGGGTGGAGAGGGCAGTGTGATCCGGTCACTGCAGGAAGCTGGGGTGGGGCTGGCTAGGGTCGCCCACAGGAGAGATGAGCAGCATGGAGTGGGCAACTCCGGGACCAGAACTCGGACAGAGAACTGAAGCTGCAGCCCACACGGTGGCCACCCCCTGCCCTGGGTCCCCAGCAGCTCGTCCTCAGAAAAGTCCTGTCGCTCACAGCGTCCCTGGACTTAAGTGGGGCTGGTCAGCAGGCCCTGGAGAGCCACGGGATGGGGACTGGTAGCTTCCCTCTTCCCCTAGTTCTACCCCTCCCCCTGCCACCCACGGCTCCCTGTGTGATCCAGGTGTGTGCTGGGAGCCGTGTGTGTGCAGAGCCGGGTGTGTGCTGAGAACCGGGTGTGTGCGGAGCTGGGTGTGTGCCGAGGACCGGGTGTGTGCAGAGCCGGGTGTGTGCAGGGAGCCGGGTGTGTGCCGAGAACGGGGTGTGTGCGGAGCCAGGTGTGTGCGGAGCCGGGTGTGTGCGGAGCCGGGTGTGTGCTGTTCAGTCCCCGCTCCCTTCCGGCACGGTCACTGGCCGCACCGGTCCTCCCCGGGGTCTGCGGGTGGTAGGGGTGTCCAGGGGGCGGGGCGGGGCAGGCGGGGCGGCGGGCCCACCTTCAGCCTGGTGGACATCTGATAGCCTCGCGGTTTCTCCGTCTCCCCGCCCGGCCAGATGATCTTCCGGTCGTTGGGGATGACCTGGGGGTGGGAGTATGAGATGGAGGGTGGCCACGCAGGGGTCTTGGCCCCAGGACCCTAAGGCCCCAGCCCCCACCCCCTCATGACCCCCACCTACGTGGGTGCCGTTGTAGATGCCCACTTGCACCAGCTTGCGGTTCTGCAGGTTCATGATGCTGTAGTTGGCAAACTTCCGGTCGCCGTCCTCATTGAACTCCACGCGGCCAGTCACCCCTTCCGCGTACTTGGAAGACATCAGCACCCTGGGAGGCAGGGGTTCCCTGTGACTCCTCAGGGCCTCATCCCCGGCCTCCCCAGGGCCTGGCCCCGCCTCCCGCACAGCCGGACCCCGCCTCCCACGCCGCCGGACCCCGCCTGGCCCCGCCTCCTGCCCAGCCCTGGCAGCCCCTGGAGCTGTGACCTGGCGGGAGGGCGCAAGGCACAGGGCTCAGAGCAGCTCCTGGAGCCGGCCCACTGTGAGGGCTCCCTGTGGGCCGGGACATTCTCTCCGCACGGGCCTGTCCTCGCTTTACTGCCCGGAGGCAGACACGCGGGAAAGGACGGAGACCGGTTTTCCATGGGGAAGGCACGTGAGGTCCTGTCTGCGTGTGCGCACCACGCATGTGCATGTGGCATACCCATCGGGACCTTCTGTGTGCCCATGTGATCCTTGGTATGCAATCCCAAGCATGCACATGTGGCATGTGTGTGCTTCATGTCTCTCTGAGCTGTGCACATGTGTGTGCACGTGTGTACGTATGCCCTACATCTGCAGCTGTGTGTGCTCCTGCTGTGGACACGATGGGCTGTGGCTCTGCACGTGCAGCTCAGTGCTTGTTACTCAGCTGGGGGTGGGACCTAGTGATGGGCTGGGCCTGCCCACCTGAGGGCTGCGAGTTAATGCCCGCCTCACTGCGGCTCTCTCCTTGGGTCTGCAGCCCACCCTGGCTCTCTCTCTACAGGCTCGCAGGGGTAGAGGGGAGGGAAGGGGGGGGAGGGACCTGGGTTAGGTGACTGTGTCTGTGGTTTGTGGGCAGCCAGCTGAGCTGGACCAGCTGAAGAGCCACTACTTCCACCTCCTAAGAGCCCTGTCCAGCTGAAACCAGTTTCTCAGTGGATAGAGCGTCGGCCTGTGGACTGAAAGGTCCCGGGTTCGATTCCGGTCAAGGGGCGGGCACATTCCCAGTAGTGGGTGTTCAAGAGGCAGCTGATTGATGATTCTCTCTCATCGATGTTTCTAACTCTCTATCCCTCTCTCTGCCTCTCTGTAAAAAAATCAATAAAATACCGTGTTTCCCTGAAAATAAGACATCCTCCGAAAATAAGACCTACTTACAGGTTTCCTTCTGAGTGAAAAATAATGCATTCCCCCGAAAATAAGGCCCCTTCTAGGCTCTGTCTCAGAATGCTATTGCTAAACATGAGAGATTTGGTCCACTGATTCTGAAAGAAATGGAGTCACAAGAAATTCACCAGGAAATTCAGGAATTGGATTGTTATGATGATGTTCCAGAAGATGACATGATTGTCATTGAGTAAATGAGTAAATTCTTGATACTGTAGGATTCACAGTTTGTCTGGTTTGTATTGACAACTACCGTACTACCGTACCATATACAGGTAATAAGTTTCCTTTATTTTCATTTAACAATAAATGTGTACCATATTCTTCTTTATGGAAAAATAAGAAATCCCCTGAAAATAAGACCTAGCGCAGCCGAAACTGGTTTGGCTCAGTGGTAGAGCGTCGGTCTGTGGACTGGAAGGTCCCAGGTTCGATTCCAGTCGGGGGCATATACGTTGGTTGCGGGCACATCCCCGGTAGGGGTGTGCAAGAGGCAGCTGGTCGATGTTTCTCTCTCATTGACATTTCTACCTCTCTCTCTCCCTCTCTGTGAAAAATCAATAAAATATATTTTTTAAAAAAAAGACCTAGCACATCTTTGGGAGCAAAAATTAATATAAGACACTGTCTTATTTTCGGGGAAACAGGGTATAGTAAAAAAAAAAAAAAAAAAAAAAAAAAAGCCCTGTCCATCTTGAGAGCGGCCCCTCCCACCTCTTCAAGAGCTGACCAACCACACTGAGCGGGCCCGCCCATACGGAGGCCCCGCCCACTCCCAGAGCGGCCCCGCCCACCTCTTGAAGAGCTGACCAATGACACTGAGCGGCTCCGCCCACTCTGAGAGGCCCCGCCTGCTCCTAGAGCGGCCCCGCCCACCTCTTGAAGAGCGGCCCGGTTTTCCAGATGTTGGTGTTGCCCACGCAGCCCCGCGGCGGGTCGGTGATGTTCTCCTTCTCCAGGAGCTCGTGCACCGCCTGGGCCACCACGCCCACCGCGTCGCTGATGTGGGCCGACTCGTTCTTGCCGTTGATGAGCTGCAGCCCGATGATGCCTGCGGCGAGCGAGGCTTAGCGCCGGGAACCCCCGTGGGGAACCGCCCGCCGCCCCGAAGAGCCCGGCACTCACCGTCCGGGGCGTAGCGCAGGGCGTTCCCGGAGATCTCGCGCTCCCCCACCAGCCACACGTACCCCGACCCCGTCATGTTGAGCATCGCGGCGGCGCGGTACACGGTGGCGGCGTCGTCCTCGCTGTGGGGCAGACGGGGGTGATGGGCCGGGACTCCCGCCTCCCCTCCCGAGGCTGGCGGCTGGCGGCGGCGGCTCCACCGGATTCCTAGGTCCCCTTCCGGTCCCTGCCTCTCCCCCGCCCCTCCCCTGAGGGGACCTGGAACCACCGCAGAGTGAGGCCGGGTGCGGCCCAGACCCTAGAGCTCCCCAGGCCTCTCTTGCTGCCCTTGCCCAGCAGGACAGGATAGCGGGGATGGCATGGCGGTGGATCATTTTCTATCGATCACTCAGTCGCCCGTTAGGGGGCACTGTTCTGAGTGCTGCATAGGGGGCGGGCACCCCCCTGTGTCAGGAGGGGAAATGGGCACCAGGGCCGGTGAGTGCTGATGAGGGCTGAGTCCGGCCTGGGCCTGAGCCGCTCACTCCGGTGCCCCTGCTCCCCTGAGCTCCGGGACCAGCCACACGCCCTCTGGCTCCCACAGCTGCGTTGGGAGCCAGAGGGCGTGTGGCTGGGGGCTCTCAACTGGTTGGAGCTGGTGGGACCCAGAGCCTGGGATCTGCCCTGGGCATCCCAGCAGAAGCCACAGCGAGCAGGAGGGCTGCTGCTCTCCCTCTGGAGTCTGGGCAAGTGGCCGGGCCCTGCCTGCCCCGGGGCCGGGACCCCTGGCCGGACAGAGCACAGGCCATGCCTGGGCACACACGTGCTTCTGAGACCTCGGAGCGTCCTCATCCCCTGGGCCGAGGCTGGGGCCCTCTGGTCAGGACAAGGACCTGGGCTGATGGGGCTGCGGGGGGGCTGGGGGGCGGGCGCTGAGAGTCCTGCCGGCTGGGCTGGCCCCATGTGGACCTGGCCCGTGCAGGTCCCTCATAGGGACAGCGGGTCAGAGGCGATGACAGACACCCAAGGGCTGAGCTGCCTAAGGGGTCTGTCCCAATGTTCTCAGGGAATAGCTGGTGGAGATAGGAAAGCCTTCGCTCTAAATGGCAATGGTAAGCCCAAACCGGTGTGGCTCAGTGGATATAGTGTCGGCCTGAGGACTGAAAGGTCCCGGGTTCGATTCTGGTCAAGGGCATGTACCTTGGTTGTGACACATTCCCAGTAGGGGGTGTGCAGGAGGCAGCTGATGGATGTTTCTAACTCTCTATCCCTCTCTCTTCCTCTCTGTAAAAAAAAAATCAATAAAATATATATATTTAAAAATAAATGGCAATGGTAGCGCCAAATGTGAGCAAAGCCAAGCAGGGCAGTGGCACCTGGGTTGCCTAAATGAGAGCATTCCACCACAATCACCAGCAAAGGCAAAACCAAACCGTGGATGTCAGGCACAGTGTGCCCACCAGCCTGGCAGGGCCCGTGATGTGGGCACTGGAATGACAAGCCTAAGTGTATATTGTGTAAGTGGTTCATCAATAACAGCCGTGGACAGAAGCCTGGCCAGGTCATCAACCTGGTTCATGAGACAGCCGTCTCAGCAAAAATCCCAGGAAGAGAAAAAGGAAATGTCTGGAAATGAATCCTCTGCACTTGGTAGAAAATTGGTAAATAAATAAATAAATAAATAAATAAATAAAATAATAATAATAATAATAATAAAAATAACAATAATAACCGGTTTGGCTCAGTGGATAGGGCGTCGGCCTGCAGACCGAAGGGTCCCAGGTTGGACCTTAGTTGTGGGCACATCCTCAGTAGGGAGTGTGCAGGAGGTAGCTGATGGATGTTTCTCTCTCATCGATGTTTCTCTCAATCCCTCTCCCTTACTCTCTGTAAAAAAAAATCAATAAAACATTTAAAAAATAATAATAAGATTGGCTTGATGGGGTTTCTCTACACAAATCCCATGAAGCAGAAGCCAACACTTGTCAGACCGGAGTGCCCGGGTCTCGGAGATGGTGCTGGCACTCCGGGGGACAGTGGAGGACAGCCTTGCCGCTGGTTGTCTGGGGCGGAGGGCTTTGGGGCTGGTCGGCCCTCTGGGTGAGACTGGCCTCTACCCCAAGGAGCCAGAGTGTGAGGGGAGGGGCCTGCCAGCCCAGAGGCCTTGCCTGGATGTATTCAAGAGGGTGCTGGTGGGTGGTGGCTGCTGTGAGTGCTGAGCCTTGGTGGGCAGTGTACCTACCTGTGCGGGATGTATGCAAAGGTAGCATGTGGTATGGTGCGTGTGGTTATGCACACACCACGCACACACATGTGTACTGTGTTACAATGACGTACTTGCACATAGGTGTGTGCATGACTGTCTATGTATTCATTTGTGTGTGATTTGCCTGCTTATGCACACATGCATTATCTTGTGCGCACGTGTGTATGATGTCTATGTGGTACCTGCGTGTGAGCATGTGCACACATTACATATGATGTATATGTTGTACATGTGCGTGTCTATAGGTATGTGTATGTGTTCACATGTATATGTAATATGCATGATGTGTGTTCTTGTATGTGCGTGTGTTTGGTGTGTATTGTGTGCCCATGGTGTCTGCATGTGTGTGGTAGTGACAATGGTGTGAATATGCTGTGCACCTGTGCACCGTGTGACAATGGTGTGTGCACATGGGTGTGTACGTGTGGTGTGCACATAATGTGTGTACATGCGGTGTACAGGGTGTGTGTTTGTATGTGTGTGGTGTGCACATAATTCCTGTGAGTGTCTCTGTCTGCTGTGACTACGTCCCTTCTCTGGGCTGACCGTTACTTTCTTTGGAGCCACATCTGGCAAACTGACTAGTGACACAGGACACGACCCTCCCGGGCCGTCCCCTTCCGTGCCTGCAGCGCGGGGTGCAGGGTCCCAGGGAGCAGAGGGAAACAGAGGAGATATGCCCCCTCCCCCGAGGACCTGGGGTGGCGGGGTCCCAGGTTGGCTCATGTGCTGCTGGCCACTCCGGTTACAGCGTGCGGATGGGCAGGCCTGGGTGGCACAGTTGAACAGCTGTGTTTGAGGTCACGGCTTCCGGTTGTGCTCTGGGTGAAGGGCCTGATCTAGTCACCTGTCCACTGGCCTGTCTACCCATTGGTACACCCACCAGCCCCTCACCTCCACCACCACAGCCTCCCAGCTCCCAGCAGCCCCAGTACCAGTGAGAGTGGAAGGAATGGGGAATAAAGGTGGGCGTCCAGGCGGGCTTGTCCTGGGCGGGGCTTGTCCTGGGCGGGGCTTGTCCAGGGCGGGTTTATTATGGGCGGGGCTTTCTCTGGGCAGGGGAGTCCAGGTGGGGCTTGCTCTGGGTGGATTTTCTCAGGGAGGGGCTGTGTGCCTGCCCTTTTGACGTTGCCTGGGGAGGGGATTTTTAAACCCTTCTCCGAAGCCCCCCCTCCCCAGGGGGCCTGGGGTCGGACGGTCAGCGTGGACAAGCCACTCGTGACTCTGAGACCATGCTCACCACTGTCAGGGGCATCTAGCTCTGAGCCCGAGGCTTGCTGACAGGATGTGCCAAACAGTCCCTGTGCAAGCGGTCCCTGCCTGGGACTCAGTGTGCCCGCCCACTCGCCTGCAGGGCAGCAGCTTCGGGGTGCCCTCTGGGCCGGTGGTCCTGCTGTTTCTCTGCCCTCGGCTGGAGCCCAGCGGTGGGCCCACCGCCCCCTCCTGGCTGCCTCTTCCGGGTGCTATTCTGGGGCCTGGACCTTCCCTCCCCAGGAGGCCCAGCCCAGGCAAAGGGAGATTTTTACTGTCCCTGGTCTCTGTGGGGGGTAGGGGGGCGGGGCCGGGCCCTGCCAAGGACATCCTGAGTCCACTATCCCTACGTGCTCCCCTTCCCTGCCGCCTCCTCCCACCGCTCCAGGCCTGTCCCTGCCACAGGCCTTCCCGCCGGACACACCGACCCCTGAGCCCGGTCCCAGTAGCATGTTACCCCACCTGCCTTCCTAAGGGCAGGAGCTGGTCCTGACGCCACCAGCCCAACTCAGGGCAAGGGGCGCGGTGACTAGGGCATGGAGAGCCAGGGAGGGTGGGCGAGAGGCATCCCCCTACAAGGTCTCCAGGCCACCAGGTCCCCGTGGAGGGCTGTCTATGGCAAGGGCCCGTGGGACACTGAGGGGCAGTGGTGCCCCCAGCCCTGGCCCAGGTGGGGGGCAGCCCCGGATGCCGTGGGGGCGGAGCCTCACCTGGCCGAGAGGATGATGACCCGGGCCTCCAGCTCCCGCGCCTCCATCAGCAGGGCCGTCACGTTCTTGGTCCCCGGGTCGAACTGCAGCACCTTCTCCGCCTGTGGTGTGAGCGGGGGCGTCAGCGGGCGGCCGGGCGGGGACACAGCGCCTCGGGGGCGAGCGTTGGGCTGCAGCCGCTAGGGCCGCCCGGGCCTGCACCTGCCACCTGCCCTGTCCACGCGCCTTCCTGGCGCCTGGCCTGCCTGACCTCGTCCTTCCTGCGCCTGCTCGCCGGCCTGCGCTGCCTGCTCTCGGGCCTCTCTCTCCGCCTGCCACTGTGGTCCTCTGTGCGCCGAGCATGCAACCGATGGGCCGAGACGCAGAGAGCGTGCAGCGGACGGACACCGGGCGAGGCGTGGATCGCACCGGGAGCGGAGACGGGGCGGACGTGGCCCAGACCACGGAGGTCCTCTCCGCCCGGCTCCGCTGCCCCGCAGAGCGGCCCGGACCCCAGCTGGCCGGGCGGGCTCCCTCCTGGGTTCCACGCGGACACCCGGGGGCCCCGTGATTCGCATGCACTTCCTCCTCCTGCATGGCCTGCTCTCCCGCAGGCCCCGGCCAGCGGGACCCGCGCAGCCGGCCCGCTGCTGCCTGCGGCTGCCTGCTCCTGACCTCGCTGTCACTGCTCGGCCTGCGCTCGCCCGGGCCGGGCCGGAGGCGGCCTCGGCCGGGCGCCGGCCAAGCCCCTGCCGTGGGTGGCGTGCAGTCCATGCATATATACCTTGGGTCCGCGCTTGTTGTCATAGGACAGTTGGTCGAGGCTGTCATAGTTCCTTTTTTTACTCTGATGAATAATGTGCACAGAGAAAATATGCAGACACAGAAGAAGATTATAAACGGTTGAAAATGACGGCGCGAAAGCAATCACACCACCTCCTCGGCACGTCTGCAGATGGCGCGTACCTGGAGCTCGCAAACACCTGGGCCCGGGGCGGGGCGGGGCTGGGGGTGCTGGGGACAGGGCCGCGGAGCTGGCTCTCCAATCAGTCATACGTGGGAGGAAGGCGCCCCTGTTCCCCCCATGCCACACGGATCCCAAGGGACTCCCTCTTCCCCCGTCCCCACACCACCCGCTCGCCATGCACCTGCTGTGCCCACGTCAGTCCGAAATGGGGTGAGCAGCCTCTCCAGGGCGTGCCCTGACTCCCCGCCTCCCCATACCCTCCTGGGCCTTCCTAAGGGCCCGTGCTCTGTCCTCAGTGACTGCCCTCTGGAGAGGAGAGGGATTGTGTACACGCGTGTGCATGGGGGAGCAGGCACGTGCCTGGGAGCATGAGCCTACGTAAGACACAGGGCGTGTGTGTGCGTGCGTGTGTGTGTGTGTGTGTGTGTGTATGTACACAGGAACATGTGTGTGAGCTGGTGGGTGAGTGTGTCCAAGGCCACATGCCTGTGCCCCGGTGCCCGGTGGCTGGCCTGAGGGAAGGGTCTGGGGGAGGTGTGGAGTGACCGTAAGGGTGTGCATGTGTGGCTGGCGTGGGGGGTGTCAGGTGAGGGTGGATGTACACTGGGCATGTGAGTGTGTGAGACCCAGTGGGTTCGCCACAGGACCTGCTTGCCCAGTTTGGTGTGCTAGCAGCCAGCCCTCCCTCCCAGCCTCAGCTGACCCCCAAATAGACCCCCCCAGGCCCTCTGGTTCTGCTCTCAGGTTCACCCCCCAACCAGCACCCACTCTTCCTTCGGGGTCTATGGCACTAAGCCTGCTGACGCCCTCTGACACCCCAAGAACATGCTCCCCCACCCCCTGGCCTGCTTCCCCCCCCCCTGCCTCCCTCCTCTCTGCCTCCCCACTCTGTGCCAGCTTGGCGCTCACCTCCCCCCCCACCCCCCGGGGCTGGGGCCAGCGCTGAGGGCCAGGCTCTGGCTGGGGCAGCCTCTCCCTGGGCCTCTGGTGAGCACCAGGTGACAGGGGGCGGGCAGTGAGGGGGGGTCACCTGGACCCCCAGAGATTGCGGTTCTTGTCGCTCAGCAGCCCTACAGCGTGGGGGCGGGGCTGGGAGGGGTCGGTGTACCCCAGGAGCAGGTGTCCCATGGCTTCCAGGCGGAGCCAGCCTGTGTTGGGAGGTGAGAGAGGGGGTGGGGCCTGATGGGGCAGAATCCAGGTGGAGGTTGGTGGAGGGTGATGGGTGCTGTGAGGTGGAGGGAGGGGCCGTTGAATGGTGGCAGCTGGGAGGCAGCCGGGCCCTTTGGGAGGGGCGTGGTGCATGAGGCTGTCCCTGAGCAGTGCACCCTGGGGGAGGCTGCTGGGGAGGGGCAGGAGCGCACCCAGTACTGAGAGTGGCTGGTGGGGGACTCAGGGGCAGGAAGGAGGGTCCAGAAGGAGGGACCCCGGAGGGCAGGCTGGGGGACTCAGGGGCAGGAGGGTCCAGGGGACCCCGGAGGGTGGGCTGGGGGACTCAGGGGCAAGAAGGAGGGTCCAGACGGGGACCCCGGGGGGTGGGCTGGGGGACTCAGGGGCAGGAAGGAGGGTCCAGACGGGGACCCCGGAGGGCGGGCTGGGGGATTCAGGGGCAGGAGGGTCCAGGGGACCCTGGAGGGTGGGCTGGGGGACTCGGGGGCAGGAGGGTCCAGGGGACCCCGGAGGGTGGGCTGGGGGACTCGGGGCAGGAAGAAGGGTCCAGACAGGGACCCCGGGGGGCGGGCTAGGGGACTCAGGGTCAGGAGGGGGTCCAGGGGACCCCGGAGGGCGGCGGGCGGGTGTTTGCGGAGCTCCAGGCGGCCCTGCCTCGCCCGCAGGGACGGACACAGAGGAGATTCGGACTCGATGGCAGAAGCGAGTGAAATGAGCCGAGGACAGGCCGGGGCGGGCGCCGGACGAGGTGCTGGCATGCAGGATGGAGAGAGACAGCGGGCGGCGGCCGCCCGCGCCCACCTTGGACTCGCGCTCCTCCAGCAGCGTCTCCAGCCGCTTCTGCGCGGCCCGGCCCTCGTGGTCGTCGCTGACCAGCAGGATGATGTGGTTCCAGCTGTAGACACGCATCATCTCGAACCACACGCTGGACTGGTGGGAGTAGGGCGGCACAGTGCGCAGGAAGCTCAGGTGGATGCTCTGCGGGGAGGTGTGGGGGGCGGCTGAGTGTGCGGCTCCCCCTGCTCCCCCCTCCTCCCCACGGCCGCACCCGCTCTCAGCACCCCACGGAGCCGGCGGGGGGTGTGGGTGAGCCCCACCTCCCCACGGCCAGCTGCCGCCACTGGGTGATGTGGGCTCAGGAAATGCCGCTGACTCGGGCCGGTGTGGCTCAGCGGTTGAGCATCGACCTATGAACCAGGAGGTGAGGGTTCGATTCCTGGTCAGGGCACAGGCCTGGGTTGAGGGTTTGATCCCCAGTTGGGGGCATGCAGGAGGCAGCCCATCCGTGATTCTCTCTCATCATTGATGTTTCTCTCCCTCTCTCTTCCTCTCCGAGATCAATAATATCCTATATAATAAAAGGCTAGTATGCAAATCAACCAAATGGCAGAAGGACCAGTCGCTAAGATGCACACTGACCACTAGGGGGCAAACACTCAACACAGGAGCTGCCCCCTGGTGGTCAGTGTGCTCCCCCACTCAGCCAGAAGCCAGGCTTATGCTGCCTTTTCCTCCTCCTCTGCAGCAGTTGGACATCCCCCGAGGGCTCCAGGGCTGTGAGAGGGTGCGGGCTGGGCTGAAGGCCCCACCCCAGTGCACAATTTCATATGCTGGGCCTATAGTAGCTACACTAATAAGAGAGAAATATGCAAATTGACTGTACCTCCAGGACACCCATCAGACAATCAGGAGTATGCAAATTAACCCATCAAAGATGGTGGGTTAATTTGCATACGCAGGTGTGGCAGGGCCGGGTAGGGCAGGATTTCTGCTATGGGGAGGGTGGGGAGCAGAGGGAGCTACAGGAGCTGCACTCTGGCCAGGAGTGAAGACTTGCAAAGGCTCCAGCGTGGTGGCTGGGAGCGAAGCCAGGGGAAGGAAGGCCTGTTCTTGCAGGAATCTCTGCGCAACGGGCCTCTAGCATATATATATGGTGCTCCCTGACATTCAGCCTCTCAGATATCCCCGCTGGGCTTCCCCCAGGTCCTTCCCAGTGTCAGGTGACCAGGATACGTCAGGAGGCTGTGCCTCCTGCCCTGCCCTTGGGCTCAGCATCTCTAGGGGAGGAAGGGGGAAGAGGCCCCATCTTCCCAGCTGGTCCCCGGACTGTCCAGGCAGCACTGGCCGCCCCACTGGTGTCTCTGCGACCCCCACTCTTGTGGACCTGGGACCTCCAGACTGTTTTCCACCTGCTCCCCTGTGGCCTGGGGCAGTGCCTTGGAGGCCCAGGGCGGGAATACCTCTTCAGCCCTGGCTGGTCGTCCCAGTGGTTAGAGCATCTTCCCACAGGCCAAGAGGTCCTGGGTTCGATTCCCAGTCAGGGTACATGCCCTGGTTGTGGGCTCAATCCTCAGTGCAGGAAACAGCTGATCAATGATCCTCTCTCATCATGGATGTCTGTCTGTCTGTCTGTCTCTCTCTCTCTCCCTCCCTCACTCCCTCCCTCTCCCTTCCTCTCTAAAATCAATAAAAATATACTTTAAAAAACAAGAATCGCCCTTTGGCCCTCACTGGTTTGGCCAACTGGTTAGATCTTGGCCCACGGATGAAAGGGCCTTGGGTTCAATGATCAGTCAATCAGTCAGGGCATGAACCTCAGGGCAGGGTCCAAGCCTGGGCAGAGACGGGTGCGGGAGGCAACCAAGCAGCGTGTCACTCACTTGTGACTGAGTGTGTGGTGTGAGGGTGTGTGTGAAAGAGATTGAGTGTGTGGTGTGAGGGTGTGTGTGTGTGTGTGTGTGTGAGAGAGAGAGAGACTGAGTGTGTGTGTGTGAGGGTGTGTGTGAGGGTGTGTGAGGGTGTGGTGTGAGGATGTGTGTGTGAGGGTGTGTGTGTGAGGGTGTGTGTGAGGGTGTGTGTGTGAGGGTGTGTGTGTGTGAGGGTGTGTGTGAGGGTGTGTGTGAGGGTGTGTGAGGGTGTGTGTGAGGGTGTGTGTGTGTGTGAGGGTGTGTGTGTGTGTGAGGGTGTGTGTGTGTGAGGGTGTGTGTGAGGGTGTGTGTGTGTGTGAGGGTGTGTGTGTGTGAGGGTGTGTGTGAGGGTGTGTGTGAGGGTGTGTGTGTGAGGGGGTGTGTGAGGGTGTGTGAGGGTGTGTGTGTGTATGAGGGTGTGTGTGAGGGTGTGTGTGAGGGTGTGTGTGAGGGTGTGTGAGGGTGTGTGTGAGGGTGTGTGTGTGTGAGGGTGTGTGTGTGTGTGAGGGTGTGTGTGTGTGAGGGTGTGTGTGTGAGGGTGTGTGTGTGAGGAGGTGTGTGAGGGTGTGTGAGGGTGTGTGAGGGTGTGTGTGAGGGTGTGTGTGAGGGTGTGTGTGAGGGCGTGTGTGTGTGTGTGAGGGTGTGTGTGTGAGGAGGTGTGTGAGGGTGTGTGAGGGTGTGTGAGGGTGTGTGTGAGGGTGTGTGTGAGGGTGTGTGTGAGGGTGTGTGTGTGAGGAGGTGTGTGAGGGTGTGTGAGGGTGTGAGGGTGTGTGTGAGGGTGTGTGTGAGGGTGTGTGAGGGTGTGTGTGAGGGTGTGTGTGTGAGGAGGTGTGTGAGGGTGTGTGAGGGTGTGTGAGGGTGTGTGTGAGGGTGTGTGAGGGTGTGTGTGAGGGTGTGTGTGTGTGTGAGGGTGTGTGTGTGTGAGGGTGTGTGTGTGTGAGGAGGTGTGTGAGGGTGTGTGAGGGTGTGTGAGGGTGTGTGTGAGGGTGTGTGTGAGGGGGTGTGTGTGTGAGGGTGTGTGTGTGTGAGGGTGTGTGTGAGGGTGAGAGCTCGCACAGCTGCATGTGCTGGCGCCTCGCCCTGGTCCCTGGCCCAGGCCCAGCCTGAGCAGCCGCCCGTGTGCCCGCCATGGCGGGGGCGGCCGTGGCCGGGGTCTCAGGGCCGGGCGGCCGCGGCCGGGAGGCTCACCTTGTCCGAGTAGATGGACATGCGGGTGGTGAGCCCCAGCACGGGGATGCGGTAGAAGCCGGCGGTGTAGGACACGGGCGTGGGCGTGAAGTGCTCATTGGGGGTCGGCGGGTGGCTGACGAGGATGGCGTAGACCTGCGGAGAGGGCAGCGTCAGCGTGGGCGTCACCTCAGCGTCAGCGTCAGCGCGAGCGTGGGCGGCCGTGCCCTCACCCCGGCCGCGTCCGGCAGGGGGCGGGCGCGGGCGCCATCTGTGCCCACACAGCACGGGGAGCGTCCACAGGCAGCACCCAGCCCCGCCCCTGAGATCCACAAATGGCGGGTGAGGCAGAGGCCGAGGCGGCCAGGCTGGTGGCGCTGAAGACAGTCAGGGGCGAGGCCCCGCCCCCACACAGACAGGGTGAGCCCCGCCCCCTCACAGGCAGGCTGAGGCCCCGCCCCTCACAGACAGGCTGAGGCCCCGCCCCCTCACAGAGAGGGTGTGAGGCCCTGCCCCCTCACAGACAGGGTGTGAGGCCCTGCCCCCTCACAGACAGGCTGAGGCCCCGCCCCCTCACAGACAGGGTGTGAGGACCCGCCCCCTCACAGACAGGGTGTGAGGACCCGCCCCCTCACAGACAGAGTGTGAGGACCCGCCCCCTCACAGACAGGGTGTGAGGCCCTGCCCCCTCGTAGACAGGGTGTGAGGCACCGCCTCTCAAGGCAAGGTGTGAGGCCCTGCCCCTCCCTGATAGGGTTTGAGGCCCCGCCCCCTCACTGACAGGCAGAGGCCCCGCCCCCTCACAGACAGGGTGAGGCCCCGCCCCCTCGCAGACAGGGTTGAGGCCCCGCCCCTCACAGACAGGGTGAGGCCCCGCCCCCTCACAGACAGGTTGTGAGGCCCCGCCCCTCAAGGCAAGGTGTGAGGCCCTGCCCCTCCCTGATAGGGTTTGAGGCCCCGCCCCCTCACTGACAGGCAGAGGCCCCGCCCCCTCACAGACAGGGTGAGGCCCCGCCCCCTCGCAGACAGGGTTGAGGCCCCGCCCCCTCGCAGCGGGGAGCAGGTCCAGGGCGGCCCTGCTCTTACATAAGCGGCTGCATTGCGGTGTCCCGCAGGCTCATTGGCATTCAGCGGTCGCGCGGAGCGGATGGCTCCCAGCGCGCCACCCCAGTCGTGTCCTCCCCCGCAGCCTGGCTGCCCTACTCCCCCGCTGTGCCCGCTGCCTCCTGCCATAGCCCTGCTCCCGCCTCCAGCACTGGCATGACCCCAAGCGGGCAGACCCGTGGCCGGGGCGGGAGGAGGGGAAGGGGGACTAAAAGCCGGAGCGATGATGCCCGGGGCGCCATCCTGCTCAAAGCCTTGCTTCTCTGACTGAACAGGCGCCTCCGCTGGACCCAGAACCCCATCCTCTCCCCACCACACACACACACACACACACACACACACACACACACCGACTGCCTGTCACACGTCTGCACACACTGGTCAGGCCTGAGCCCTTCTGAAGGGTCGCTGGTGGGTGGCAGGTGCCCAATCTGGGGGCCAGATGGACGCTAGCTGCCAATGAATCCAGCCCCTCCAGCCCGAGGCAGCTGACGGGCCCTCTCCACGGGGGGGGGGAGGAGGAGGAGGAGGAAGAGGAGGGCTGGAAGGTGGATGGAGGGGGGAGGGGGGAGGGGAGGTCAGGCGGGGAGGGGGAGCTGGGGCAGGGGCGCACCTGGCTGGAGATGAGGTCCTCGCACACGGACAGGGCCATCTGGATGGCGTTGGGCTTGTGGGTGACGGACGTGGCGTTGAGCTGGATCTTCCAGGCGCCGTGCCGCTTGTTGGCCTGGTTCACGGCCTCGCGGAACACCTGCTCGTGCTTCCGCGTGCTCAGCACCGCGCCGATGTTGACGATCTTGGGGTCGCAGGCGGCGCGGGCGAAGGAGCAGGAGAAGAGCAGCGCGAGCGGCAGCAGCCGCATCCTGCTCATGGGCGGCGGGCGGCGCGGGGCCCGGCGCCTCCCCGGCCCCAGCGGGGGTCCCGGCCGGCCTGCGCGCACCCGACCCCGCGGGCGGCGGGCGCCGGGTCCCCGGAGCCTCAGGCCCCGGGCGTCCTCTGGAGGGAAGGGGGTCCGGCGCCCTCGGCCGGAGGAGGGACCGTCCTGGGCGCGCGCGGGTCCGGGCACCGAGCGCCGGCGCTGTCCGCGGTGCTGACGGTGCGGGTCCTGACGCTGCGGCGACTGCGGCAGCTGCGGAGCCGGGAGCGGGACCGCGTTTCCCGCCCCTCCCGCCGCCCCCGCTTCCTAACACGGAGCCGCGGGGGCGCCTCCCGCGCCGGAGCGAGCGCGCTGCCGGCGAGCCTGTGCCAGCGCGGGGCGCGCGGGGGCGCCCGGCGCTGCGGGTGCGGGTGCGGGTGCGGGTGCGCGTTCCGTGGAGGCGTCGCAGGGACGGAGCCCGAGGTGTGAGCGGCCCGCGGGGGGTGGAGTGAGGGGGGCTTCCCGCGTCACGGTGCGCGGCCCCGGGTGGCTCTGAACACGACCGCACGCTGCGTGCCCATGTGTGTGCGCGCCTGCGGGCACGAGCCCTCCTCCTCCTCCTTCTCCTTCTCCTCCTCCTCCTCCTCTCCTCCTCCTCCGGGATATTTCGGGAAGATTCCGGGGCTGGAGACCCAGGGTGTGGAGGGGCCTCAGCCACATTCTCCTGGAAGAGGGGGGGCGGGGGCTCTCTTCTCCAGAAGCTCAGACATGAGGGACTCCCCACCTGCCTGACCTGAGACTTGGACACCCCCCCACCCCCCCACCAAAGGCTGAAGGGAACAGAAGGATGGCAGGCTGCCGGGCGAGCTGGACCGCCCAGCAGAGTCCGGGGGTCTGGCCCCAACCCCGCAGTGGGGAGACCAAGGCAGCAGTGGCGTCAGCAGCAGAGGGGACTGAGGTTAGACTCCAGGAGGCACTGCCAGGAGGGACCTGCGGGTAGACGTGTGTCTTCTGCTCCCCCCCCCCCAAAGGCGCCTCCTAATTCCCTCCCCGCACCCCCATCCTGCCTCCCTTCAGAGCCCCGCTCCTCCCTCTGGTCCCGGCGACCCTAATTCTTTGTCCCCTCCACCCCCAGACCTGCTCCCCTTCCCTAACCAGAAGGATAACTAAGCTCCGCCCCCGCCCGTGACATCACCGTTTCCAATAGCAACTGAAGGCTTTTGCTGCATTCCCAACAGAAGCCCCCCAGTGGGGACAAAGCAGGTCGCCCCCACTCCTCAGTGCCGCTCTGAGCGAGGAGAGGGGAGGTCCACGCCTGGCCCGCCAGCCCCCCTTCCCTCGCACCCCCTGCCGTTCTCACACCGGGCTGAGCCCAGCGCGGGCCTGGCACGGAGTCGGCGCAGCTTGGCAGGCTCCCCTCCACCCGTTCTCCTCAGTGAGGGAAGCAGGGCCTGAGGCTGATGGGCCCACATCCTGTGCAGCCCCTCCTGCCTCTCTCTGCGATGGAGGCTCACCGTGGGGAGACCCCCAGCCCCCCAGCCCTGAGGATGCTTACTGCTCCCAGGGCTCACCGAGGGCTAGAGTTGGCTCCGTCCCCAAAGGGTCTGTGGCCCTGGCAGGCCCCAGCCTGGAGGCTGCCTGGGTGCAGGGGGTGGACGGCCAGTGGGTCAGCCAGCGCAGGGACAGGGGGCGGGGGGTTGGGGCCGAACTGTGGGCCTGTCTCTCCCACCCCCTCTTCCAGTGGGAGCTCCAAGGACCCAGAGAAGCAATTTCTAAACATCCAGGACCCTGTGGGCCAGGGGTTATGCAGCGGGGAGCCTGCATGTGGGTGGGAGGGGGAAGGGGGAGTGTTTATGAGGGGAGCCGCCCAACCCCCCACAGCAGGGCCCTCTTTCCATCAAATGGGGCGTCAGCACTCCCTGTCCCTTCCTCCCCCAGGTCCCCCAGGCCCGGGGGCTGCAGCTTCTGCCTGGAGCCCCCGGCAAGCTACCTGACACCCAGGGGAGGGAGCGGCCGTGCCTGCCCCCGGATCACAGGCTCCTGGCAGGAGCCAGGCTCCCGTGTTGAGCTGGAGGCTTCCTCCACCCCCATCATGGGTTGGGGTGAAGCTAGAGAAAATCTTTTTTAAGAAAATGTATTTTTAAAAATGGATTTCAGAGAGGAAGGGGGAGGGACAGAGAGATAGGAACATCAGTGATGAGAAACACTGATCGGCTGCCTCCTGCACGCCCCGGACTGGGGATCCAGCCTGCAATCCAACCCGGGTTCGACCAGGAATCGAACCTCAACCTGGTTCATAGGCCGATGCTCTCACCGCTGAGCTTACTGGCCAGGGCTGGAGGACGCCTTTGACTGCCTGCCCTGCCTTGGCAGATGAACTGGCTGAGACAGGGACCCCTCTGAATGCTGGGGAGGCAGAGTCTGGGGGGAGGCCCAAGGAGACCTGAGCCTCGGCCTCTGCCCAAGGGCTCCCCGTGGGAAAATGTTCTTGGGGTGCACGGCCCCCCCAGTGCTGACTCATTCTGCCCAATAGCACGTGGAGGGACCCGTTCCCACCCCTCCCTCACTCCAACCACCAGCACTCCAGTAAGGGCCGTCAATCATCAACACAGCCCCTCCTTGGTCTTAGCCCATTGGCTGAGGGTGTGTCACATGACCCAGGCAGACCAATCCAGGTTCTTCCCCAGGATTTTAGCCAGATCAGAGCCTGGGACAGCAGCCCACGTCTGCTCCTCTCTAGGGGTTCGCCCTGAGAACAGGGAGACACAGTTCTGCCGGGAAGAAGCCAGTTGGCCAGGACGCCAACAGGCCGGCCTGGCAGGTGTGCGGGGAGGATGCTCAGACACCTTCCCCAGGCCCAGGATGAGCCTTCTTCCCGAGCCCCCTGCTGGGAGGGCCCCCTCCAAACTGGGGTGGGGGGGCTGGCTGCCAGCAGGCCTCATCGGGATCTCTGTTCCCTGATCTGGGGAGACCCGAGGGCCTCCCGACCCGGAGCAGCTGCCGGCCCCGGCGGTGCTGACAGCCAGGTGCACACCCTGTCCGCACGACGTCACCGCCTGCCTGCCCCGGGTCCCCCGCCCGGGAGGCCATCTTCCCAGCATCACAGGGTCCCTGCACGTCCCACGTGGGCAAGACCCATCACCTTCGCTCACCCGCAGGCATTGACTGAGCACCTACTGCGCACCAGGCACAGCCCAAAAGGCTGGGGCAGCGGCAGCAGCAAAGTTAGGCCCAGCTCATCCGCCCGCCAACGAGGACCTCAGACCGCTGCGTGCAGCTCAGGCACTCAGGGAAAAGAAAACCGGAACGGGCCGGCGTGGCTCCGTGGTGAGCATCGACCTGTGAACCAGGAGGCCAGGGTTCAGTTCCCGGGCAGGGCACCTGCCAGGTCGTGGGCTCCATCCCTAGTGGGGCGTGCAAGAGGCAGCTGATCTGTGATTCTCTCTCCTCATTGAGGTTTCTCTCTCCCACCTCCCTTCCTCTCTGAGATCAATAAAACATCTATACAGCGTATGGATCATACAAAGGGGGGGGGAGGGCGGAGAGGAACCAGCTGGGTTCCGGGACCGGTTTCATTGCCTGATCTCCAATCGAGGGCCTTGGGTCAAGACCTACGACAAAGAATAACCATCGCTTTATTTCCGACATTCGCCTGTGTTACAATCCGCCGGCCGGTTCTCAACGGCGCCGCCTGAGCCTCCGTCGGGTCCAAGGCCCAGCGGCCCGTCCCAGGACGGAAGGAAGTCACACTGGACCCAGCGGCACGCGGCCTCGGTGCACACACGTCAGTTTAATCCGCAAAATCCCTGCCGCGGGAAACCTCGTGTCACACGTCACGTCCTGTGGCCTTGCTGTCTGTCCTCGGCCAGAAGGCGGGATTTGGGAAAACCTTCGGCCCCAATGTTTGGGGACCCCGTGGAGGTTCGGGGGGCTCTCCTGCGGGGCCGGGAGCAGGAGTGCGGCCACTTTGAGCCCCGGTGTGTCCCCGGTGGTCTCGGGGCGCCCACAGGACCCGTCTGGCAGGGGCAGGTCCATTGGAGTGGCTCCCCGCAGCCGTGTGCGGACAAAAGCACGCTTGACGTCCATCTCTGTCCTCATCCTACCTGCCCCAGTGCATTCTGGCCCCGGCATCCGGTCCAGCCGGTCACCGGACACCAGGAAGCTGCCCCCAAGCAGCGCAATGGAACGGCCCCGGGACCTGGGAGCCCTCCCTGGCCTCAGCGAGGCTGTCCCCGGGGGAGGGTCCCACGTGTGTTCTGTCCAGTGAAAGGGCCCCTCCCACCCCCGCCTCAGACATGGAAGCAGCTGTCCAGGCTCCAGCAGAACGTGATCCTCCTCTTCCTGGCCTTCCTGCTGTGCTGTGGGCTCCTGTCCTACCTCAGCGTGGCCGACCCGTGGCCAGGTACCCGCCCGAGAGCGCCGGGGGCCGCGGAGGGGCCGAGGCAGCAGCGGCTGAGACAGCCCGGGAGCCATGAAGGCAGGGACTGGGCAGCACACCCAGGGGAAGGGTGGACACGGCGTGGCGGCGAGTCCTCGGGCTGCTCCCGCGTCTGCCGTGGGCAGGTGTCCGCCCGCCCGCTGCCCTGAGGCGGAGGCTCACGGTCAGCGCACCGCTGTGTCCGGAAAGGAGGAAGGACGGCTGGGAGCTGGGCGGGTGCAGGGACCCCCCGAGGCGCCTGAGCTGCGGGTTTGACAGGAAGCTGACAGGCTGCTGGGGCCCGGAGTCCTGCCCGAGTGGAAATGTCCAGGCCACGCCGTGGGGCTGTGGGTGGGGGTGCGGACAGACAGCCACGGGCGGGAGAAGGGGCTCTCTCTCTGGCTGCTCCTGGTCGCACGTGGGGACCACCCGGGCCTGAGGGCCCTTGGTGAGGAGGCAGGAAGCAGGCGGGGTGTCCAGGGAGCTCTGACGTCCTCGGGGCCTGGGCGCTGGAGCTGAGACAGCCCCCTGGTTCAGCCCCGCATGGCAGGCCGGCGGAGGAGAAGGGGAGGCCCCCACGCCCGCCCGTCTTGCCGGCTCCTCGGAAGGCAGATGCCGACCCGGGACAGGGCCCGCGGCCGCCGCCTCAGGTACGTGGCACTGGTGTGGTCAGGCGGCACCGGCTCGGTCCCAGAGCCCTGGGGACCGGACGCGGGTTCCCGCCGATGGCCAGGACTGTTCCCGCATCTGATGGGCGTCTCCCCCTCACACATCCGGGCGGTCGGGTGGCCCCTGGGGAAGGAGGAGGCGGGTCTCTCTTCCACCTGGGCTGTGTGCCTGCTGCTCCCGGGCCTGGGTTTGGTGGCAAACAGGGCAGCCCTGTCCTCTCCCTGGGCCAGGGCAGCCTCTCTGAGGACAGGAGCCAGAGCAGCGCTGGGGGGGAGGGCGTCAGGTCAGGGCACCCCACAGATGCGGGGGACAGGCGGCAGGATGACGGGGAGGCGGGAGGAGGGACAAGGCTCCTCAGGGAGAAGACCTGCCGGGTTGGTTGGTCGGTTGGTTAGCTGGTCAGTCGGTCGGTCGGTCATCAGGCAGCAGGAGCCACAGTGAGTGCCGGGCCGAGGCTGCCTGTGGTGTCGCCTCTGGAAAGCAAGCAGAAAGGGACAGCGTTGGTGTCACAGCCTGGCGTGGACACTGGGGTCTCTGACGGACCCCCAGCACACAAGCAGCGAAGGAGGAAGCAGCCCGGCTGGACACACTGGCCAGAGCTCACCTTTGGTGTTTCTCCCAATCCCTTCCTTTCTGAAATTAATTTTTTAAAAATTTTAAAAAGGAGGGATGTTCTGACACATGCTAGGACACACATGACCCTTGAAGACATGATGCTGTGAAACAAGACAGACACCCAGACCCGCCTGTGAGGTCAGCAGCACAGGTGGACCACGGACATGGCCGGGCCACGGACACACCGGGCCACGGACACAGCCCTGCGGAGCTGTCAGGTGTCCCGGCTGTGGAGAGGGATCCGGAGCAGCTGCCTGAGCCCTCCTCGGGGAACTGGCTGCGGCAAGACGGGCACTTGGGACCCCCTCATCCTTACCTCCCGCTGCTGCCGCCTGCAGGTCTAAGCCGGCCGAGCATGGGTGCTGGGGTCCGGGCCTGCCTCCCACATCTGCACACTGTGGAGGGGATGAGGCCCAGCTTTGGCCCCAGAGCTCATGGCCCCAGGCGCTGAGGGGGGGCCCTGAGGGCAGGCTCGGAGGGGAGGCTCTGAAGGGAGGCTCGGAGGGGAGGCTGCTGGACCCCACACGCGCCCCCCTCCCCCCATGCAGGGCTACCACGTGGGGCAGGACCGTCCGAGAGGGAACAGGACACTCCTTCCGGGTGACCCGAGAGCTGCCGGGGCCCGCGGGGCGTCCGTGCTGAGGGGGGCTGGAGCAGGAGCAGTGAGGGGGCTCCTCATCTCTGCCCGGCCCCCCCTCTGCCGAGGCCACGGGCCCCGGGCGGGCGGCTGCCTACTTCACACAGGACAGGCAGCCCTGGGTGCAGCCGCGGGAACACAGGAACATGGACACGGGGACGCGGGGGCACTGGTACTTGGAGATGCAGAGACGGGAGGAGGGGGACACGGAGACGCGGGGCGGGGGGCAGGGGGACACGGGGACGCGGGGGCAGGGGCACAGGGCCGTGGGCGTGGTGACAGGCACGCAGGGGCTACGGCACAGGGACACGGGGACACAGGGCCGGGGGCAGGGGGGCTGGCACACGGGGACGGGCACGGGGACGTGACACACAGCACACAGGGGGCACGGGGAGCACGGGGCACAGGGGGGCACGGAGACCGAGACACAGGAGCAGGGGCACGGGGTCACGGGCACACAGGGGCACGCGCAGAGGGACGGGCACGCGGGGACAGGGGCTCGGGGGCATGGGGGGCAAGGGGAGCAGGAGGACACGGGGACGGAGACACAGGGGCACAGGGACATGGGGACACAGGGGCAGGGGGAGGAGGAGGACATGGAGGCAGGGGCCAGGCAGGGACTGGGGGCTCTGGGCGGCCGGGGGGCCACGCCCGTGCCTGGTGTGATGTCGGCTCATTGTCATCCTCTGTTGCCTCAGTGACGGCCCTGGGACTGGGACCCTGGCCCCCCAGCGGCCAGAGCTCCCCAGGCAGCACCCAGCACCCAGCCCCAGCCCTTTCCCGCACCAGGCCGGCGGCTGGGCAGAGCCGGGGTCAGCCTGGCCAGGGGCAGCCTTGGGCGGGGTGTCGCTCCTGGGGGGCGGGGCGGCTCTGGGGGTCTGGGCCTCCCCCAGGCCCTGGACTGGGCGCTGGCAGGGGGGTCCTCTCGGTCCTCAGACCGAGGCCTTGGCTCCCCGCCCCCTCCAGGCTTTCAGCAGCGACATCCTGACTGCCCCACCCCTGCCTGGGCCCCGGCCCGGCCCGGTTTTTCAGGCAAGGTGCCCGGGCATGGGGGGCATGGGGCACCGCACCCCACGTTCCAGGGCTCCCTCCCTCCCTCCCCCTTGGCCGCCTGCTCCCCGCCCGCCCGCCCCCAGGACTGTCTGCAGGGGGACCTGGCCCAGGACACTCAGCGGGGCACTGGTCACCCCTCCCGCCTGGCGCCTGGCACGGGCATGGCATGAGCTGGCCCGTCTGGTGACCGGCGGGGAGGGGAGCGGGGAGCGGGGAGAGGGGGGCGGGGAGCAAGCCCCGGCCCCAGCCCCGGCCCCAGCCCCAGCCCCGAGCCCCCAGCCTCCGCCGCCCCGCAGCGTCCGTCTCCATGGCGACACGGCGGCCGGCGCCTGAACCGGCCGGCCCCGCCCCGGTCACGTGAGGCTGCCCGCCGGCCACGTGACCGCCCGCGATGTGCCCTGCGGACATGGGCCCGCGCGCCCTGCCCGGGGCCCTGGCCCTGCTGCTGGCGCTGGGGCTGCGCGGCCCGGAGGCGGCGGGTAAGTGGGGATCCCGGGCCCCCCGCTCCCCCCGGACCCCCCAGCGGCCGGTCCGCTCAGCGGCGCCCTCCAGCCCGCAGCGCCCCGGACCCCGGCTTCCGGGAGGACTACTTCCCGCAGCTCCTGGACCATTTCAACTTCGAGCGGTTCGGCAACCGCACCTTCCCGCAGCGGTTCCTGGTGTCAGGTGAGCTGGGGGACCCCCGAACCCGCGACCCGACCCCCGATCCCCCCGCCGCCCGACCCCCCCAACCCCGACCCCGACCGCCGATCCCCCCGCCGCCCGACCCCCCCACCCCCCGGCCCCGGCCCGCGCAGCGGTTCTGTGTCGGGTGAGCTGGGGGACCCCCGCTACCCCGGCCCCCCGGCCCCCCCGGCTCCCCCCCTGATACCCCCCCCCGCCCCAGAGCGGTTCTGGCGGCGCGGCGCGGGCCCGCTCTTCTTCTACACCGGCAACGAGGGCGACGTGTGGACCTTCGCCAACAACTCGGGCTTCATCCTGGAGCTGGCGGCGCGGCGGGCGGCGCTGGTGGTCTTCGCGGAGCACGTGGGTCCGGGCGGCGGGCGGAGGGGCCGGGCGGGCGGGCGGCGGGCGGCGGGGGCCGGGGGGCGGGCGGCGGGGGCCGGGCGGCGGGCGGAGGGGGCGGGCGGGCGGCGGGCGGCGGGGGCCGGGCGGCGGGCGGCGGGGGCCGGGCGGGCGGGCGGCGGGGGCCGGGCGGCGGGCGGAGGGGCCGGGCGGCGGGCGGAGGGGCCGGGCGGCGGGGGCCGGGCGGGCGGCGGGCGGCGGGGGCCGGGGGCCGGGGGGCGGGCGGAGGGGCCGGGCGGCGGGGGCCGGGGGGCGGGCGGCGGGGGCCGGGGGGCGGGCGGCGGGGGCCGGGGGGCGGGCGGAGGGGCCGGGCGGCGGGGGCCGGGGGGCGGGCGGCGGGGGCCGGGCGGGCGGAGGGGCCGGGCCCGCGCTCACCCCGCCGCCCGCAGCGCTACTACGGGAAGTCGCTGCCGTTCGGCGAGCGGGCGGCGCGGCGCGGGCGCCTGGAGCTGCTGACGGTGGAGCAGGCGCTGGCGGACTTCGCGCGGCTGCTGCAGGCGCTGCGGCGGGACCTGGGCGCCGAGGACGTGCCCGCCGTGGCCTTCGGCGGGAGGTGGGTCCCCTCCGCTCTCCCGGGACCCAGGGCCTCAGACCCCGCAGGTCCTCCCGCCCCGGGGCGGGGGCAGAGGGGAGGGGGCAGAGGTTTGGGGGGCAGAGGGGAGGGGGCAGAGGGTTGGGGGGCAGAGGTGAGAGGGGCAGAGGGTTGGGGGGCAGAGGTGAGAGGGGCAGAGGGGAGGGGCGCAGAGGGGAGGGGGGCAGAGGGTTGGGGGCAGACAGGGGCCGGGGAGCAGCGGGGAGGGGGCGCTGTGTGGACCACAGCCTGGGTCTGTCCGGCCCAGCTACGGCGGGATGCTGGCCGCCTACATGAGGATGAAGTACCCCCACCTGGTGGCCGGGGCGCTGGCGGCCAGTGCGCCTGTGGTGTCGGTGGCGGGCCTGGGCGACCCCCACCAGTTCTTCCGGGATGTCTCTGCGGTGAGTGGGTGGGGTGAGGGGCTGGGCCGGAGGAGGGGATGGGGTTCGGGCGTGGCCCCGGTTGCAGCCACCGTCCTTCCTCCAGGACTTTGAGGCCCAGAGTCCCAAGTGTGCCCAGGCCACGCGGGACGCCTTCCAGCAGATCAAGGACTTGTTCCTGCAGGGGGGTGAGGAGGCCGCCCGCTGGCCAGCAGCCCCCACAGGCCTGGCTTACCCCCACCCCTCCCCCCTCTGCACTCCCCTCCCCCCTCTGCACCCCCCCCAGCAGCCCCCAAAGGCCTGGCTTACCCCCACCCCTCCCCCCTCTACACTCCCCTCCCCCCTCTGCACTCCCCTCCCCGCTCTACACTCCCCCCAGCAGCCCCCAAAGGCCTGGCTTACCCCCACCCCTCCCCCCTCTGCACTCCCCTCCCCGCTCTACACTCCCCCCAGCAGCCCCCAAAGGCCTGGCTTACCCCCACCCCTCCCCCCTCTACACTCCCCTCCCCCCTCTGCACTCCCCTCCCCCCTCTGCACTCCCCTCCCCGCTCTACACTCCCCCCAGCAGCCCCCAAAGGCCTGGCTTACCCCCACCCCTCCCCCCTCTGCACTCCCCTCCCCGCTCTACACTCCCCCCAGCAGCCCCCAAAGGCCTGGCTTACCCCCACCCCTCCCCCCTCTGCACTCCCCTCCCCGCTCTACACTCCCCCCAGCAGCCCCCAAAGGCCTGGCTTACCCCCACCCCTACCCCCTCTACACTCCCCTCCCCCCTCTGCACTCCCCTCCCCCCTCTGCATTCCCCTCCCCCCTCTGCATTCCCCCCCAGCAGCCCCCAAAGGCCTGTCCCCCCCCAGCACAGGACACGGTCAGCCGGTTGTTCGGCACCTGCCAGCGGCTCTCGGGCGAGAAGGACCTGGCCCAGCTGTTCGGGTTCGCCCGGAACGCCTTCACCATGCTGGCCATGATGGACTACCCGTACCCCACCGACTTCATGGGGCGCCTGCCCGCCAACCCCGTCAAGGCAAGGACTCCCCCCGCGCACCCCCAGGCGGGCAGGCCGGCCAGCTTCCCAGGGGGGCGATGCCAGCCCCCGAGGGCGGCCACCCCACACAGCCTGGGGCTGGGCAGGGCGAGCGGGCAGGGGAGCGGGCAGGGTTCAGGCTGGTGGGGGGTGGGGGCTCTGCTGAGGCTCCTGCTCCCCCAGGTGGCCTGTGGCCTGCTGCTGAGTGAGAGCCAGAGGATCGCAGGGCTCCGGGCGCTGGCAGGTGCGTCCACCTCGGCCTGGGCCCTGGGTCTGAGAGGGGGCCCTAAGGACACCCCACATCACCCCCTCTCCCCAATGGCCCAGCCTGGGGTCACTGCTGCAGACTGGGGCCTCGCCCTCTGGGCACAGAGGTCCTGAGTGGGCAGGGGGGTGTCCCGGCACCCACTCAGCCCCCTCTCCCCAGGGCTGGTGTACAACTCCTCAGGCACGGAGCCCTGCTTCGACATCTACCTGCAGTACCAGGCCTGCGCAGACCCCACCGGCTGCGGCTTGGGCCCCGACGCCAAGGCCTGGGACTACCAGGTATGGGGGGGCCTGGGACTGCGGGGTGAGGGGGGATGGGTGCTGTGGGGGGAAGGGGACCGAGGGCTGCAGGGTGGTGGTGGCTGGGGGTCCAGGGGCTGCCGGGTGGCGGGGGCTGGGGGCTGCGGGGCGAGGGGGACTACGGGTTGGTGGGGGCCGGGGGCCGCGGGGGTGGTCAGGGCCAGGGGCTGTGGGGAGATGGGGGCACGGGGGCTGTGGGGTGGCGGGAGGCTGTGGGGTTGCAGGAGGCTGCGGGGGCCAGGGGCTGGGGGGTGGCGGGGCTGGGACTGGCTGGGCGCCGGGCGCTGAGCGCTGAGGGAGGCTGCGGGGGCCGGGGGCTGGGGGGTGGCGGGGCTGGGACTGGCTGGGCGCCGGGCGCTGAGCGCTGAGGGAGGCTGCCCGCAGGCCTGCACGGAGATGAGCATGACCTTCTCCAGCAACAACGAGACGGACCTCTTCCCGGCGCTGCCCTTCACGGAGCAGCACCGCCAGCAGTACTGCCTGGACACCTGGGGCGTGTGGCCCCGGCAGGACTGGCTGCACACCAGCTTCGGCGGGGCCGGTGAGGCTGCTGTGGGGGCGGCCCGGCTGGGTCTGACCTGCCTGCCCAATCTCACTGAACTCGGGGCCCCGCCTGGTACCCCCAACCTGCTCTGTCCCTCCAGACCTCAGAGCTGCCAGCAACATCATCTTCTCCAACGGGGACCTGGACCCCTGGGCCGGGGGCGGGGTGAGTCCACGCTGGCTCCCCGTGGAGCTGCGCGTCCCAGGAGCCCCTGGGCCTGGTCATGTCCACCCCGCCTGCCCCTCCCCCTCCTGGCTGACGGGACCTGGCCTCCGGTCACCTCCGGGAGGCCCGTCGGGGCTGCACCCCACGGCGGGCGTGTGCAGGGGCGCGGGCGGGCGGGCGGGCAGGCGGGGGCGGCTGCCCAGTCCCCTCCTCCTGACGGCGTCTGGCTGACAGATCCGGAAAAGCCTGAGTGCCTCGGTCCTGGCCATCACCATCCGAGGGGGCGCACATCACCTGGACCTCAGGTGGGCTGCCCTGGGGGTGCTGCCCCGCCCAGCCCCCAGACCTGGCAGGTGCTGACCCCGCCCCCACCTGCTCCTCAGGGGATCCCACCCGGCAGACCCCCCGTCCGTCCTGGAGGCACGCCAGCTGGAGGCCGCGCTCATCGACCAGTGGGTGGAGGAGGCCAGGCGGGCGCAGCAGAGTCTCCGAGGCTGAGGGCCACGCCTCCCGCTGGGACGGCAAGGACGCCGGGCTCGAGGGAGGGGCCGAGCAAGTGGGGCCTCGCCAAGCCCCCTGGGGGAGGGAGTGGACACAGTGCACACATGCCCACCTTCCCCGCCAGCCACAATAAACGTCCTGAGCCCCAAGTGTGCTGTTCGTGGGTGATGGGGGCCTGCGAGCACGGGGCCAGCTGAGCTGCGACACCAAAACCCAGAGGCCACCCCAGCGATTGTACCTCCCTTCGCCGGGTTCACCGTCGTCACCCCTCCCAGCCCTCCCTACCCCTCCCTGCCACTCCTCCCAACCTTCCCCGACCCCCCTCCCCACCACCCCTCTCAGCTCTCCCCGCCGCCCCTCCCAGCCCTCCCCCTCCATCTCTGGGGGCCTGGGCACCGGTGCCTCAGGCCCAGCCTGCAGCGGAGGGCAAGGCCAGTCCTGCTGCACAGCCCGGCCTGCAGAGCGGCCCTCAGCCCTGGGGCCTGTGTGGGGGGAGGGCCTGCGTGGGGGGAGGTCCCGCAGGGGGGACTCGGGGTGCGGCAGCCACAGGGAGGGGCCAGAGGTCACTTCAGGGTTGCAGCTTTCCGACCCAGGAGAGGGGGGCTGGGCCCGGGGCCATGGGGAGCAAGGGCAGCATCTGAAGGCCCGGGCCCGGGGAGGCCATAGCCGAGGGGTGTCCGCGCCCCGGAGGCCTGGCTTCAGAGGGAAGTGCGTTTCCTGAAGTGGCTGAGGGCAACGGGCTGCCCACCTACCATGGCAGAGACGGCCTGTGCCCTGGTGCTGGGGCGGGCCCAGGCGGTCTCTGCGGACACTAGTGGGCGGGTCCTCACCGACGCTGCGGGAGGGGAGGGCGCCCCCAGGCCCCTCGGGCCACCTGAGACCACGCCCGGGAGAGCAGCACATGGGGGTGAGGTGCCAGTGGATCCTGAGCTCCGCGGACAGTGGGGTGACCAGCCCAATGCCCTCCCCCCCATGCCAGGCGCGGGCGGCGCACACGTACGCACGCGCACACACGACAGCGTCGGAGCAGATCTGCTTTATCCAGAGTGAAGTCCGTCCCGTCGGGAGGCTGGGCGCAGGGCACACCTGCCACCTGCCCGCGACCCCGCGGGATCCCTGAGTCCAACACGTAAACAGCACAGCCAGCCAGGAGCCCCTCGGACAGGACAGGCCAGACAGACCCCGAGGCTGCTCTGGTCCCTCGCTCTTGCCCTGACCACGAGGTCCTGGCCCCTGAGCCGGGCCCTGAAGCCCGTGTGCTGCTGGCTTTGTCCAGGTTTCAGGAATGTGAGCCATGGCGGATCCTCAGGAGGGGAGGCCGCACGGGCCCCGCACACGGCGCTGGTCGCCTCCTGGTCCCTGACCACGTCCGAGGGAGCCATGGCCGGGCAGACACCCGCTGCCCGTGGCCACCCAGCTCCTCGCAGCCCGGCAGGGCCGGCCCCGCTGCCTCCTGGCCCGTCGTCCAGCTGGGCCGACGCCACGGCCAAGGTCAAAGGAGGGTGGGCCTGCCCAGGGCCAGGCCCTCACCACCGGGAGCAAGACCGCTACGCGGGGCCCCAGATGGGCAGCGGGTGGGCCTCGGTGTTGAACACGTAGGCGTCCAGGCTGAGCAGGTCTATGTCGTCGGAGAAGAGCAGGAACAGGTACTTGAGCGTCTCCCCGAGGAAGAAGCTCTCCATCTTGTCCCTGGGCTGCGGGTTGTGCGGGTCCTGGACGTTGCTGATAGAGGAGTAGCCGCCCGAGGGCACCTGGAGGGGCCGAGGCAGGGTCACTGCGTGGCGGGGCCTGGGGTGAGGGCTCCGAGGGCCCGGGCTGGCTGCCCGGGCGGTGCCAGCTGCCCGGGGACTGACGGGAACGCTGCCTCCAGAGCCCGGCAGAGGCCTTGCTCAGGCCACTCCCAGCTCCGCCCGGCGCAGTGGCCCTGGCAGGGCGTGAGCTCTGCGCTGGTCCTGGTGCGGTCTGGGGGAACAGGCTGCCCGGGCCGGGCGGGACCCTCCCCACCTGGCACCTGGGGGACAAGGGCGGAGGGCGGGCGTGAGGGCGGCCGGCGCTCACCCGCGTGTAGGTGTTGAAGCTCTGCAGGATCTCCCAGCCCCAGTCCTGGTACTTGCGGTCCCCGGTGAGGCGGTGCAGGTAGAAGAGGCTCTCCACCGTCTCAGGCCGCAGCAGGTTGTGCCTGTCGGCCGGCTGGGGGCACAGGGGCGTGAGGCCCACACCGGCCCGGCTGCCGCCCGCTGCCGGCCCGCCCGCCCGCCCGCCGCCCGCCCGCCCTCACCTTGACCTGCACATCCTTCTGGTCCTTCTGCGCGTGCAGGCTGAAGTGCGCGATCTCGGGACTCAGCCCCGTCGCCATCTGCCGGTTCATCTGGTAGCAGGTCTCCATGAGCGCGCGGGCCAGCTCCATGTGGTCAGCGGGCAGCCCGTAGTGCGCGCCCAGGGCCAGCGTCCCCGGCAGGAAGCACACCAGGTGGTCCTGGAAGGGAAGGGCCTCCTCACCACAGGGCCCGCCTCCCTTCCCAGGAGCCCTCGGCCCACGCCAGGAGCAGACACCCCCCAGCCCCCAGCCCCCCAGCCGCGGTGGGCACAGCCTCACTCGGGCCGGCGCCGGGGCCGGGGCCAGGGCCTGCCGCAGCACGCACCATCTTGGCGCTGAAGCGGCCGTGGGCGAGCTCCCCGACGAAGGTGAGCTTGCTGGGCTCCGAGCGGTGCAGCAGGTGCCTCCTGACGCCCTCGATGGCCTCCAGGTAGTCGTCCCGCAACCTGGGTCAGGCCCTCCTCAGCGGGGCGCAGTGGGGGGGCCTGCTTCCCAAACAGGCTGTCCCCCCACCAGCCGGAGGGAGCCCTGAGGGCGGCTCCCTGAAGGAAAGCCCCGGCGGGAGGGGCAGCCCCCCCCCCCCGCCCCAGGGGTGTCCGGGTCTCCCACGCCCAGTGGGCTGGCACTGTAGGGAGCGGCCCCCTAGCTCCCAGGAACCGCGGAGGGAGCCAGGGGGCCCTGGGCCCTCTCCAGTGGGACCCTCCTCGGGGAGGGAGCAGGGCCGCGCCCCCACAGGGCCCCGGAGCGGGGACGGCGGGCGGCCTCACCGCGCGTCCTGCCGCCGGCCCTGGATCCACTGCTTCAGCAGGTACTCGTAGTAGCTGTCGGCCCGGGCGCCCAGCGTGAACACGCCGCCGTGCGTGAAGAGGCCGCTGTGCGTGTTGATGAACATGGGCACCAGCCCGTCCTTCTTCCCCGACAGGTCGTGCACGCGCCGGCTCACCTCCTCCGCGGCCTCCTGCAGCCGGGAGGGCGGGTAAGCGGGGCGGGCAGCCAGAGCGCTGGGGGCCATCCAGCCCGGGCAGCAAGGCCTGTGCCCGGACGCTGCTCCTGGCCACCGCCCGGCCGGCCCACACCTCACAGCGCCCTGCTTGTCCGCAGACGTGGCCGCCTTGGGGCCAGCAGCCAGCACAGGCCCCGATGCAGGGCTGGCCTGTCCTCTGGGCAGGTGGGGCCCCTGCAGGGACGGGCCTGAGGCCAGGCTCCTCCTGGGGAGGCAGGCACATCCCCGAGCCCAGGGCTGCCCGACTCCTGTCCCTAGTGAACGCCTACCCACCCTCCCAGACCCCCGCCCGGCTCGCCCGAGCGCACCCTCGCCGGGCAGCACCACGCAGGAGCTTCCCGGGCCTGTGCACCTTCTCCGAGGTCAGGACCCCACAGGGGCGCTTTCTGGGTCTCTACCCAGCACGGCCCCCTCCCGGCTGCTAACTTCCTCTGATTCCGTTTGGTCTCCACGCGGCCCGAGGCCGTCGCAGCAGCAAACAGGTGACGCTGAGGCTGTCACTCCACCTCAGCACGAAGCCGGCACTCGCACCGAAACATGAGCTCGGCCCCATCCACGGGCCACTGCAGGCCACGGAGGCCACCGGTGGGGAAAACCACAATCCCACCAGCACGTCAACACGTCTGACCCAGGCAGCCGCGACGGGCCTCGCAGGCTGCCTCCGAGGCGGGGGACACAGTGCCACCAGCCGCCAGCTCTGTCAGGGCCAGGCGGGCGGGGGAGGGCGCAGGAGGGTCTCACCAGCCAGCAGTGCCTCCTGGGCCTGATCCCTGGCATCGGTGAGGCGGAGAGGCAGGGCCAGGCGGCCGGGACCAGGGCCGCGGTAGGCACCCGCCGTGCCGAGCCAGCCTCCGCAGACGGCAGGCCGTACCTGGAACTTCTTGTCGCCCGTGAGGCGCGAGAGCTCGCGGAACTCCAGCTGGATGCTCGTCACCTCGGCCACCGTGCTGTCCGAGGTCCACCAGGGCGGGTGGGCCACGCCGGTGCCGATGTTCACGTCCGAGTACGGGATCTTGGAGGGCGTCCGGAACGCCGGCATCAGCCGGTTCCCAAAGTCTTCCTGACACACACACAGCGAGGTCAGTGCTGGCGGTCAGAGCGTGGCCCACCCCTCACTCTCCGCCCCGGCCCTCAGGAGCCCGCCCTCCACGGAGCCCGGGCTGCAGGGGACAGGTGTGCGCTCGGCCCCGCTCCCGCCAAGACAGACACGTGGGCTCGAGGGGAGGGAAGCGGAAGAGCCCGCCCATGCCCCGGAGAGGGGAAACGGGGAGCAGGCGGGCACACACGGCTTTCTGCAGGAAGAGGGCGTCCCCCGTCAGGTGGTAGGTACTCAGCAGGCCCCCCAGGATGCGGATGGTGCTCTCAAACAGGTTCACGTCCACGTCCTTCTGAAACTGCAACTTCGTGGACACCCACCGCCTGGCTTCTCCAAACTCTATGCGGACGGGGAGGGAGAAACACAGGATACGCTCACGGGGCCAGCACTGCCCTCGGGCCCCCCCGTCCGGGCCACACGTGCTCCTGTCCCCTTTTCTGCGGAGGGCACTGGCTCACTCGCCCGCCGGCACAAGCTCACTCGCCTGCCAGTACAGGCGGGAGCTCGGGGCGAGCGGGGACAGGTACCTTTCTTCAGACCCAGGATCCACATGGTGTCCAGGGCGTCGACCAGCGTGAGGCCGAGGCCGAACCACTCGCTGAAGGACTTGGACACGGGCTTCAGCTCGTCGTGGCCCCAGGCGAACTTGCGGTACCCGGCCCACGCGTGGCGGAAGGCGTCGATGACGGCCCGCTGGCGCTCGTTAGGGGCGGCTGCAGGGGAAGCAGGTCGGGCAGGGCCTGGTCAGAGAGGAGAGTCCCCTGGGGCCCCGCGCAGGGAGGCTGATGCGCTGGGAGCACCGTCCAGGACCACAGGCCGCAGCGGGCAGCATGAAGGCCGGGGGCAGCCCGAGTGAGACCCTCAGGCCGGGCAGGGCTGTGGAGGGAGAGAGCCGCCAGGGCCTCACGAGAAACTCGGCCCACGCCCACCAGGCCAGTCCGCCTGCCGGGCCACGGGGAGTGTGCACCCCCGCCCTCGCCCTCAGGATGCCAGGTGTGGCCCACAGGGGCGTGGGGGCTCACCTCGTTGGTTCTGAATCCTGGGGGCCTGCAGGGAGGGCCGGTCGGGGGCCTCCGCCTTCCGGGAAGGAGCCTCAGTGCCCGGCTCCGGCTCTATCACTGCTCCCCGCCAGCTGCAGGGAGAGGAGCGTCAGCAGCACGGGGCAGACCCGGTCCCCCCGGCCCCGGCCACCTGCAGGAGTGCGCGGACTGTCTGCCTCAGAGGGAGGACCTCTGTCTGCCCGACGCCGTCCCTGTCTGCCTGTTTGCAGAAGGGACGCCACAGGCAGCCTCCTCGCCGCTCCCTGTGGCTCCTGCTACCTGACGACCGTCCTGGGCGGGCTTTCTCCCTGCAGAGCCTCCGCCGCCGCCTGGTCCCTCCTGCCGTCCTCCTGCCGCCCGTCCTCCGCGTCTCTGCGGGGTGCTCTGATCTGCAGGTCGGGGGGGCCCCGCCGCCCGTGCCTGTGGGGCTTCTAGACAAACATCACAACCGGAAGGTCGCTGGTGAGAGGAGCTCCCTGCCCAGAGGCTGCCATTCCCTGTCCACCGGCCTCTCCCATCAGACCCGACCCCCGGGCTGTGCACACGCTGGACTCTTCCTCCTCAGTGGCCCGCAGATCGGGGGCCTTTCACCCCGTCTTCTGACCCTGACCGGCCTGGTGAGGCTGCACACGCTGGTGCCCCAGGGTGAGGGCTAAGCCTGCCTGGAACGTCTCTGCTGTCACAGGCCCAGGAATCACAGGGCCCGGCCTGGCCCGGCCTGGCCTTGGATGGCCCCTACCCTGTCCGGACCCTGCTGTGTCACAGCCCCCAAAGTACTGCTCCGACTCCTGTCCTCAGAGAGGCTGCCCTGGCCCAGGGAGAGGACAGGGCTGCCCTGTTTGCCACCAAATCCAGGCCCGGGAGCAGCAGGCACACAGCCCAGGTGGAAGAGAGACCCGCCTCCTCCTTCCCCAGGGGCCACCCGACCGCCCGGATGTGTGAGGGGGAGACGCCCATCAGATGCGGGAACAGTCCTGGCCATCGGCGGGAACCCGCGTTCAGTCCCCAGGCCTCTGGGACCGAGCCGGTGCCGCCTGACCACACCAGTGCCACGTACCTGAGGCGGCGGCCGCGGGCCCTGTCCCGGGTCGGCATCTGCCTTCCGAGGAGCCGGCAAGACGGGCGGGTGTGCGGGCCTCCCCTTCTCCTCCGCCGGCCTGCCATGCGGGGCTGAACCAGGGGGCTGTCTCAGCTCCAGCGCTCAGGCCCCGAGGACCTCAGAGCTCCCTGGACACCGCGCCTGCTTCCTGCCTCCTCACCAAGGGCCCTCAGGGCCGGGCATTCCCCACGTGCGACCAAGAGCAGCCGGAGAGAGATCCCCTTCTCCCGCCCGTGGCTGTCTGTCCGCACCCCACCCACAGCCCCACGGCCTGGACGTTTCCACTCAGGCAGGACTCCGGGCCCCAGCAGCCTGTCAGCTTCCTGTCAAACCCGAAGCTCAGGCGCCTCGGGGGTCCCTGCACCCGCCCAGCTCCCAGCCGTCCTTCCTCCTTTCCGGACACAGCGGTGCGCTGACCGCGAGCCTCGGCCTCAGGGCAGCGGGCGGGCGGACACCTGCCCACGGCAGACTCGGGAGCAGCCCGAGGACTCGCAGCCACACCGTGTCCACCCTTCCCCTGGGTGTGCTGCCCAGTCCCTGCCTTCACGGCTCCCGGGCTGTCTCAGCCCCTGCTGCCTCGGCCCCTCCGCGGCCCCCGGCGCTCTCGGGCGGGTACCTGGCCACGGGTCGGCCACGCTGAGGTAGGACAGGAGCCCACAGCACAGCAGGAAGGCCAGGAAGAGGAGGATCACGTTCCGCTGGAGCCTGGACAGCTGCTTCCATGTCTGAGGCGGGGGTGAGAGGGGCCCTTTCACTGGACAGAACACACGTGGGACCCTCCCCCGGGGACAACCTCGCTGAGGCCAGGGAGGGCTCCCAGGTCCCGGGGCCGTTCCATTGCGCTGCTTGGGGGCAGCTTCCTGGTGGCCAGTGACCGGCTGGGCTGGATACTGGGGCGAGAACGCACTGGGGCAGGTAGGGCGAGGATGGAGACGGGCGTCGAGTGCGCTTCTGTCTTAGAGGGGTGTGGAGGGCTCAGGCCCCGCTGGACCTGCCCCTGCCCAGACACGTGTGGGCGCTCCGCGACCGCTGGGGACGCACCGGGGCTCAAAGTGGCTGCACCCCTGCTCCCGGCCCCGCAGGAGAGCTTAACGGGGAACCTCAGGTTTCCGTTGGGAACCCGCTGGGGGTGCCTCCGCCCTGCCCGGCGCCCTCCCCGCCCAGGCCGCCGGGCTCGGCCCGCGGACAGTGCAGCTGGGACCAGCGCCTGCGCCTCCGGCCCGAGGCGGCGTGCGGGGCGGAGACAGGGGCCGCGGGGCCGTCCTCACCCGCCAGCACGAGCGGCGCCGCCGGGTCTTGCTGCCGTCGACGCTCTGGTCAAGGCTCAGCGTCACGGAGATGAAGTCCCGTCGCGGCGCGGGCGGCGTGGGCGCATACATGACAGCGGCGGAGGCGGCCCGGGGGGGCCCGCCCGCGGGCGGCGTCAAGAGGCCGGGCCGTGCGGGCGGCCGGAGACTCGGATCCCGGGACAGCAGCGGGCAGCCATCGCAGCTCGGGCAACACCCCGCCCATCGCGCTCGCCGCCAATGCGCGTGCGCCGCGCCCTGCTCACCTCACTGCGCGTGCGCGGGACTCCGAGTTGACGTTTCCGGACACCTGCGTCTGTTTACTCCGGCGCCTGGCTGTGACGTCACGCCTGCGCCGCCGGCCCCGTCCCGCGCCTGCGCACCTCTCGCCTGGGTGTGGGCGTGTCCTCGGCTGGGAGGCGGGCCGGGCTGTCAGCGTCCGGCCGCCCGCGTCGTCCGGTTTCCCCGCAGCGGAGCCCGTGTGCACCGAGGCCTGTGGTCGGTGAAGCCCGGCCGGCCGCTCCGCCACCTTCGCGCGGGGCCGGGGCGGTGCAGCCTCCTGGATGCAGCCTTCACTGTCACGGCAACCCGCCGCGGGGTTTCCATCCCTCGGACAGGCGGGTCCTCGGGGCGCCCTGCGGTGCCGCCCCCGGCGGGGCTCTGTCCCACCCGGAGCAGAACCTCCCGCTGCTTGGGGACCTTCTCCGCTCGGGGCCCGCCGTTGCGCCCGGCAGCCATGCCTGGGACCTGTCCGGGCGTCTGCAGGCTCCCCGCCGTGTGCGTGGCCAGCTGTGCCCCGGACTGGTGTGAGCTGTCCCAGGGAGCCCCCTTCTGGGGCCACCCCTGCGGTTCCGGAAGGTCTCCTCCCGCACACAGCTGTGCGGGTAGTTCTGGCGCCGCCGTCAAGCATGCCTCCCCGCCCAGCCGGTTTTCAGCAGAAACGGCGGCTCCTGGGGGATGCAGGGGCAGGAGGGCGCAGTCCCGGTCTCAGACCTGAAAACGCAGGAGCCCGGCCTGGAGAGCTCCTTCAAGGGGCAGGTCTGGGCCCTCTCTCCAGGGGCCCGGCCCACTAGGTGGTTGCAGAGCTCCCCCCCTCCCCATAGGAAGCAGGGCAGTTTAGAGGGATTCCTCGTCGGCCCAGGGCGGTCCGGCTGACGGACAGAGCTGTGGACACTGGCGCTGTCCCCCCACACACATGCTGGGCCGCCACAGCACGTGGTTTACTGGTTATTCCCCTCCACCCTGTGCAGAAAAAAACAAGACTCTGGCGATGTTTCGAACACAGTTGTTTCATTAGCAGTTGTCTGGGGTTGGAGGTAAAGGCACCACCCAGCTTCCAGAACACAGAGCGGACGGACACGGAGGCACAGTGGTGGGAAGTCCCAGAGCTCAAACCTTGAGCCACCGAAGCTGCCCATGTTGTGGGAAACTCGGTGAACGGCACCTGTTTTGAAACTATCTGAAAATAGAATTATCTGAAAATATATGTGTTTCTACATGAGCTGTTTCTATCGTTTGCCCGGAAAACGTTACTCATGAGAGGGACTGTGCTGTGTTCCGGGTTCCAGTTCTGGTCGTGAGCAGCTCTGGGCAGGACCTGGACCTGAGCCTCCGCCCGGCGGACCCTGTGCCCTCGGCCCCTGCTCGCCTGTGGAGCTGCTGAGAAGAGGATCCTAAGGCACATGGTTTGGTTTTGAGGTTTGCAAGAGACCGGGAGACCTGGGCGTGGCCCTGACTCAGCCACGGTGCCCAGGTGGTGGCAATGCATAGAGAAGCCGCCGTCCACGCCAAGCCCCCGGAGAAATCAGCTGCACCTGACCCCGCCATTATGCCAGCGCCCTCACCTGGGGAACCGGCGTTCCCTGCAGGCTGGTAAGGGGCTGTGCAGGGAGGGCAGGGGCTGCTTTTCCCATCTGCGGGGAGGTAGATGGTCCTGGGCCGCTGGGGCCAGAGCAGCAGAGCCGGACGAGCTGTCGTGTGTGTCCTCCGTCCCCCCCCCCCTCAGCCAGGCTGTGGGGGTGCAGGAAGGGTGCTGTGGTCCCAAGTGTGGAGGCTGCGCCCAGGCCCCTTCGTAGAGCAGGGGAGGAGTGTGAGCACCAAGACGGGAAGCCGCTGGCAGACAGGGTGAGGAATGGCGCCCCCATCTGGTTAAGTTCCAGATTAGTGACCACCACAGGACGCAGAGTACTGGTCCCACAGGTTCTGGGGGCAGCATCTAACCCTCAGCAGCTCAAACCGGCCACAGACGTGACAGAGGGCTGAGGCCTCCAGGGAATGGGGAGAATTCGGTCCCGGGTGCCGCCAGCCTTCATGGTGAGGAGTGAGGCCTCTGCCGTCGGCCTCGGCCGGCAGGCTGGGCTGTGCGACCCCAGGTGCGCCGTTACTGGTTCAGCTGCCAGGAGGGGGCAGCCCCCCTAAAAAAGTCACCCAGAGCCCCGGCCAGGGCTGCACCCACCGTCCTGAGCCCTGGGGCCGGTGGAGCCAAGCGTCAGGGCTGCGAAGCCCCGATCAGGTGCTCATCCAGGATGAGAGGGGACTGGAACTCCCGGCCTCGCAAGTGCACCTCCAGACCCTGGAGACAGGCCAAGAGTCCACCTCGTGTCCCCAGGAGGGGCCCCAAGGTTTCAATTCTGCCTGCAGCGGGGGAGGGGCTTCCAGGAACAGGGGTCAGGTGTCATCTCAAGACCGCAGACCAGCGGGAGCCCTCCCCGCAGGCTCAGGCCAGAGCTCCCGCCAGGGGAAGGGCGGGCACACCTCACTAAGGAGGCCACCCCGGCTCTTCTCCCCGCCTGGCCCCCCCAGGACCTTCCAGGGATCCCTCCCGCCCATCTCACGTCCAGGAAGGTCCCTGCAACCTAAGGACCCACTGACCCCCTGTGAAAGGAGGCAGAGCCCCCCCCCCCCCCCCCCCCGCTCCCCGGACCGTCTCCCTGCCCTGACTGGGCAGGCCTGACCCCACCAGAGCCAGGGTCGCCAGCATGCTCACCTCTCCAGCATAGGACACCAACGGCGAGATCTCGCAGACGGCCGGAGGCTCTCCACCGCTGGGCGGGCTGAGGGGGCCACTGTCAGCATCTGCTCAGGGCACCTCCCGACCCCCGGGCCCCCCCATGGGAGCTGGCCCTGTCCTTGTGGCCCAGCGGGCTGACCAGCCACGCCCAGCTCCCCACAGTCCTTTCCTTGGTCATCTCTACCCGGGGACGCCTAGCCCTGAGCACGCTGCCCCTGCCCGAGTGACAGCCCCCGAGTGGCTGGCACCCGACCCCCTGTCCACGGCCTCCCTCCCAGAGCCTGACCCCAGCTTCGGGGTGGCTGTGGGCGACCGGGGAGAGAGCAATGGAACGTTCTCTTCTCTCCGGGCCCTAAAGAGGAGGCTCCCTCGCCGCCCTCTGACTGTCCGGCCTGGGTCCCGGGTTCAAAGCTGAGTGAGCCGGGTGAGGCTGCGTCCTGCCCACTCCCAGGCGCCTGAGCAGACCGTCCCCGGGGCCTCAGGCTGCAGGGAGGGGGGGGAGGAGCCGCTGTCTGGCCGCGCTGGGCCCACCCTCACCTGGCCAGCCCCGGGAGCGGGGCCCCGTGGGCGTCCAGGAAGCGGGCCCCGGCCTGCAGGGCCCAGCGGAGGTGCTGGGCGAGCAGGGCCCGCCGGGCTGTGGTGGGGTTGTCCCTGTCGGCCGCCTCGGCGTTCTTCAGAGGGGAGAACTCCTCCTCCCGCAGCACCTCGAAGGCCATGAAGTTCCTGGGGGGACGGGGCGGGGAGAGCTGGGGACCCCGCTCCGGAGCAGCAGGCTCCGGAGGGCCCATGTGCGGCCTGGAGTCCCCCAGGGCCCCGGCACCCTGACCTGGGACCGCAGACGAGGGCTCCGAGGGGCCAGGTGTCCCCCAAACTCCACGGCCCCCAATGTTCCCGATGCCCCCCCCCAGGGGCCGCTTCCTCCGGCCTTCTCCCCAAGACCTGCCTGTAGCCCCCCCCAGCTCCCCACCATGAGGGGGCGCCCCCACTGTGCCCCCACCTCAGCCTCTACATTCCCGCCCGCCCGCCCAGGACAAAAGGAAATGCCCGCGGCCACTAACTCAGCGAACGGGAACACGTCGAACACGAACTTCTCCATCTTTATCCCGTTGGGCTCCAGCGGCTGCACCTGGTTCCCCTGCTCGTCCACGTAGGGGACCTTCTTCACGGCCACGTGGGGCTGCAGCAGGGGCTCGAACTCCCTGCGGGACGGGAGGGCGAGGGAGGCAGGGTGGGTCAGACAGGACCCGGAGGGCCCAGAGGGCCGGTGGCAGGTGGCTCTGCAGGGCACCCGGTGGAGGGCACTGGTACCCGCCCCTTCCCTGGCCCGAGAGCAGGCACCCTCCTCCCTGCCAGGTGAGGGGGCCACTGGGGCAGAGGTGGTGCTGGGTGGACACACACCACAGGAGGGACAGCCACCTGGCCGGAGCCTCACCTGCTGCTGGGCTCTGGGGCCTCTGGCTTATTTGTTATTGTTGTTGTTGTTGTTGTATTATTATCATTAGAGACCTGGTGCTTGGATTCTTGCACCTGTGGGGGCCCTCAGCCTGGCCTGTGGGGATCGAGTCTAAACCGACATTCAGACATCTCTCTCGTAATCTGGGACCGCTGGCTCTTAACTGCTCACCTGCCTGATCGCCCCTAATTGCATCTGCCTGCCTGCCTGGTCACCCCTAACCGTCTCTGCCCGACTGCCTGGTCATCCCTAACTGCCTTCCCCTGCCAGTCTGATCTTGGCCCCAATGGCCCTCCCCTGCTGGCCAATTTGGTTCTGATTGGTCGGTTTCTATGCCAGTCAGTGTCTCCGGGGCTGATCAGAGAGGCGGGGCTGATCAGCAGCCCTTGTGGAGGCCTGGAGAGAAAGGGAGGTGAGGCTGCTGGCCAGGCCCAGAGAGAAGGAGAGAGGCAATGGCTGATCAACAGTTTCCACAGAGGCTGCGGGTCAGAGGCTGCCTCTCTCTTCAGGCCTCTCTCCAGGCCTGATCCGAAGCCCCCTCGGCAGTCAGGCTGCAGGACTGACTTCTGGTCGGTCCAGCCTTCAGTCATTGTGGATGTTTGTGGTCCCTGGCTTGTTTTTTTTTTTTTTTAATTAGATTATTATCTGTGTACATATTTTAACAATGCGCGCCCCCCCCCTCCCTGGGTATTTCATATATAGGGATTATTATTTGTTTAAAGGCAGAAGAATATTTCATTTTATAATTTCTTTTAATTGACTTCAGGAAGGAAGAAAGAGAGAGGAAGAGATAGAAACATCAATGATGAGAGAGGATCATCGATTGGCTGCCTCCTTCATGCCTCCCACTGGGGATCTGAGCCTGCAAACCAGGCAGGTGCCCTGACCGAGAGTCAAACCATGACCTCCTGGTTCATAGGTCAGCACTCTACCACTGAGCCACACCGGCCCGGCCCTCTGGCACCTCAAACGCCAGGAACCTTTCTCCACCCCAACCCCCGGCCCTGCCGACCGCAGCCCAGGCCGCCCGCTCACCTGGTGACCGCCTGCAGGAAGCTGCGCGTGAAGAAGTGGTTGCAGATGTTGCCTGCGCCGTAGAGCAGGCCCCCGCCAGGCGTGCGGAGGCTGGCGGTCTCGGGGCTGATCTCGCTGTACTCCACCACCTGGGGGGCGCCGTCCACCAGGCACACCACGCCCACCGGCTCCTCGGGGTACGCCTTCTCCACCACCTGCGGCCAGGACAAGCGCGCTGGGCACTGGGACTGGGGCGGGCGGGGGGGAGGCCGGGGGGCCGGCCGGCTCACCTTGGCGCCGCAGTCCGCGCCCCGCAGCACGCAGAAGCCGATGAAGACGGGGTCGGCCAGCCGCACCAGGATGTTGTCCACGCAGTACACGTGCACGAACTCCACGCCCCGCCGCGCCATGTCCTCCAGGATCCCGTGGTCGGCCAGCGCGCAGTACAGGCCCCCGTTGCCGTCTGCGGAGGGAGGGGGCCCCGTGAGGGTCCAGCTGAGCCCCAGCGCGCTGCCCAAGCTGGAGGCAGGAGGCCCCGGCCAGGGGCTGGACCTGGCGCCCCGAGGCGCCCTCACTGCCCAGAGAGGCCTGCGGTGAGGCCCGTGACGCGCGGCAATGAGGCCGAACAGGGAGGCCCCGCTCCCCAAACCTGCACAGCCTCCGGCGGCCCCTCCCGCGGCCCCAGCTCCCGCCCCGCAGCTGGCCGGGCGGGCGGGCGGGCACACCTGGGGCCATGGCCACCTTGTCCTTCCGCTCCAGGATGGCCCTGCCGTCGAAGGCCACGGCGGGCAGCATGCGCTGCTCGAACATGACCACGTTGCCGGGGTCCAGGCCGAAGTAGCCGTGCTCCTGGAAGAACTGGGCCGTGGGCCCCAGCGTGAACTCGCTGGTCATGATGTACCTGAGGGAGGACGGGTGTTAGGAGGGCCGCTCCGTCCACAGGGCCGGCCGCGGGGCCCTCCGGGGGACGCCGGGTGCTGTCCAGGGCGACGCGGGGCTTTGGGGGGCAGACCGGGCGCCGTGGGGGACTCCCCCGGGGGCCAGAGCCGTGCAGGGAGGGCACACACACCAGGGCACCGTGCAGCGCGTCCCGTGGCGCCCACCGGCCAGCTGCTCCACCCGCCGGATCCGCTCGGCCTGCAGCTGGTACAGCGTCTTCCCGCTGGGCAGCCCCACCTGGTACATGCCCTTGGGGTAGGCCACGCCCAGGCGCGTGCCCTGCCCGCCGGCCAGCAGCAGCACCGCCACCTTGTTCAGGGCGATCTGGCGCAGACCTGGAAGCAGGGGTGCGGTGAGGGCCGCCACTCCCGCCACGCACCGCCCTGCAGTCAGAGCCACCAGGCCGGGGGTGTGGGGGGCGAGGAGGGAGGATGGAGGCTGAGCAGGCGACTGTCCACCAACACCGCCTCGCCTCCAGGCCAAGACCCCAGGAATACCCGCGCCCACGGGGGTGTGAAGGGGGTCCCCGCTGCCAGGACGCCTGCGGGCGGGCACCGGCCGGCCAGGTTGCGCATGCTCAGCATGGGGGGGGCGGGGAGCTGGTGTGGGGGCGGGAAGCGGACTCCACGGAGCAACCGACACACTGACTCCGGGCACCGCCTTCCCTTCCGGCCGCCGGGATCCCCGCGTCCCCCCGCCCGCCCCCCGGCCCCGCGCCCACCTTCCTCCTCCCACAGCCGCCGCGTCGCGGGGTCGCTGCGGGCGGCGCTGCCCAGGCGCTCGGGGGGCAGCGGCCGCAGGCGCGCGGCCAGGCCGGGCGGGGGCCCCGGGGCGCGGGCCCGGGCGGCGGCCGCGCGCAGGCAGTGCTCGCGCAGCGCCCCCGGCTCCAGCGGCGCCAGCGCGGCCAGCAGCGCGGCCCGCGCCCCGGGCGCCAGCTCCGCGCTGAACCGCAGCAGGTGCTCCTGGCCCGCGCGCCGCAGCCGGGCGCGCACCGCCGGCTCCGAGGCCATGTCCCCGCCGCCGCCCGGCCCCGGCCCCGTGACCGGCCCGCGGCCCCACCGGCAGGCGTCACGGGACCGGCGGGCGGCGCCGCCCCAGCGCCCCGCCCCGGCCCGGCCCGGCCCCCGGGATGCGGCGCCCCGACTCCGCCCTCCGCCCGGGGGGGGGGGGGGGGTCCGGGGGCAGCTGTGCGCGGAGGGACTGGCGGGGCGCCGGGAACGCCGAGGCCTGGGGGCCCTTCCCGGCGGTGCTGGACCCCTCCACCCCTCCACCCCTCCGCCCGCTGCCCGGAGGGGGCGCTCCCGGGGGGGGGGCATCCAGGGGGGAGGCTGGGTCTGTCCTGCTCCTGCCCGTTTGCACTGACTAAGGCGCCTCACAGCCCTGGCCGGTGTGGCTCAGTGGGTAGAGCATCAGCCTGCAAACTGAAGGGTCCCGGGTTCGATTCCGGTCGGGGGCATGTACCGTGGTTGCGGGCATATCCCCAGTGTGGGGTGTGCAGGAAGCAGCTGGTAGACGTTTCTAACTCTCTATTCCTCTCCCTTCCTCTCTGTAAAAAAAAAAAAAATCAATAAAATATATTTTAAAAATAGCCAAAACCGGTTTGGCTCAGCGGTAGAGCGTCGGTCTGCGGACTGAAAGGTCCCAGGTTCGATTCCGGTCTGGGGCATGTACGTTGGTTGCGGACACATCCCCAGTAGGGGGTGTGCAGGAGGCAGCTGGTCGATGTCTCTCTCTCATCGACGTTTCTAGCTCTCTATCTCTCTCCCTTCCTCTCTGTAAAAAATCAATAAAAATATATTTAAAAATATATATATATTTTTAAAAAATAATAATAAGGCGCCTCGCAGCCGGGACATCAGCCCCAGAGGAGGCCAGACTCGCGGCTGGACCGGCTGCACTCACGTCCAGCAAGGCCCTCCTGCATCCTTTGGGGGTTCCTCTTGGTCGCCCCCAGCAGCCCCTGGCCCCGCCTCACTGTCTAACCATCAGGCTTCACAGCTAACCATGGCCCAGCTTCCCCCACCCTGGCCTTGCTGTCTGTGACCTAACTTGGCACAAGTTTCAAAGTACCTAAGGCTGTTTGGGCACTTTTAGGAACTAGTTTTATTACTTAAAAGAAACGTATGTGGGAGGGGCAGAAGTAGCATTGGGGCCAACTGCCTTCCTGCCTTCCTCCCCCCGCCACCCCCCACAGGAAACTCCAGGAGACATGGCTATTGGCTCACTGCCTGCCCATCACCGGTCAGTGCCCCGCCCACAGGAGGGCCAGTCCGTGCTGTTGGCAAATGAATGGGTGTTGGTCCCAAGCCCAGCAAGTGCTCAGGGAGGCTTGCTGAGTGAATGAGTGAATGAATGAATGGTCTGTGGCCGGCGAAGGGCCGTTGGGGCAGATGTTGGCGGTGGAGGGTGTGAGAGGGAGCAGAGAGGCCTGCACCGGGGACAGGGCCATGGGGACTCTCAGCGCCCCTGCACAGGTGCCCTGGAAACCCCGTGTCAGAACATGAACTTGGGGCCTGTCTTGGCCCCTGGGGACCCCGAATCCTGCCTCAGGGTGGGAGTGGCCTGTGATTGGAGGTTTGGGCCACTGGGACTGTGTCACCGGAGGCACCTGCCAGCCACCTGGGCGGACGGGCGCCCACGGGCGGGCGTGCCGGCCAGGCAGACCGTTTCCTGGGCCCCCTGCCCAGAAGTCACCTTCCCTTCGCCCGGGGCCTCATCCCAGGGTTCAGGGAGCAGGCCCAGAGCAGGCTGGGAAATGGCTGGAGGAGGAAGTGATCAGAGTTCGGGCTGGAACCACACAGGCCACACCTGAGCCCCACGCCCTGAGCCGGCACCCGTCCCAGTTTCTTCTGGATGTTCCTCCAGGGCTGGCCCGGGGCCACGGGGAGCCCACAGGCCAGCGGTCAGCGGGGCGCCTCCCCCACGGCGTCGCCTCCTCTGCTCGGTGAGCTCAGCGCTGCCGGCTGCGCTGGCCTGGGCTGCAGCAGCACCACCTGCCGGCCGCCGGCTCCGCACCCTCCACAGAGCCCTCCCCAGCCCTCCCGGCCTCAGCGGGCTTGGTGTCTCCCCGGATAAGGTTCCTCTGGTGTCGGCCAGCTGGCCACGGAGCACCCACTGTGGGCTGGGCAGATGCCGGGCCTTGGGGTGCCCCTCCCCCAAAGGGCACAGGAACATGGGGGCGGCCGCCCCCTCAGCAAGGAGAAAGCAGGCTTCGAGGTCAGGGCACCTCAGCGGCTGAGGCGGGTCAGGGACCTGATGGCGTTTTGAGATGTGCCTCCTGTGTCAGCCAGGGCCGTGGTCGGCAGGCAAACTGCACCCAGACGTGAGGAGATGCCAGGTGCCCTAGGCATGGGGGGCGGGGGGTGCTGGGAGCAGGGGAGCCGGGGGAGGAACTGGGGGGCAAACGGCTGGGATGCTCCCTGGACGGTGGCCAGTCCTGCCGTGAGGGGGAGCCCGGGCAGGCCAGGCTCCAGGGGAGGACTCCCGGCTCCCAGCTTTCCAGGCCCCCTGAATTCCTTACCACAGAGGAGCCCTGACCTTGGAGGGGTACCCCGGGGAGATGGCCCAGGATACTCCCTGGCCTGGCAATAGCCCCTATAAACTGAGACACAGGCACCAGTACTTTGGGGCCCAAGGAGTGGGCCACCCAAGACGGACTTGAGGGAGGCGAGGGACCAAGGGGAGTCCTGACCAGGGTCTGCCTGGGGGAGGGGGAGGGATTGAGGGCAACTCTTCACCGATTTACCCCTGAAGGCCGGCAGTCTGCCTGGAAAGCAGCCGGTGACACGTGAGACTGCCCGGTGGCCAGTGCAGGGGACGGGGGATGTCTGGGGAGACTGAGGCAGGGGCACGGGGACCGGGCGGGGCCTGGAGGACAGGCGAGGGTGAAGGCAGGCAGGGCTCCAGGCAGACACCTCTGGGGCAGTTCTCTGGCTCCTCCTCCATTTATTTTATTTATTTGTATTGAATCCTCACCTGAGGATTTTTTCCATTGATTTCTAGAGAGTGTGGAAGGGAGAGGGGAGACACACACACACACACACACACACACACACAGAAAACATCGATGTGAAATACATGCCCTTGACCGGAACCGAACCCGGGAGTCTTTAGTCTGCAGGCTGACGCTCTATCCACTGGGCCATCCCGGCCCGCCAGGGCGAGGGTCCTAGGGTTTAGTCCAGAGATGGGCACTCGGGGCTGGACGGCAGGCTCAGCTCCGTTGTGCCCACCGGACTGACCAGTGACTGGATCTGGCTGGGAAGGAAGCAGGGACCCCAAGGAGGCAGGGCGGCCTGGCCAGGCCTGGGAGGCCGTGAGAGCCGCTGGCAGGGGCGTCCGGCCAGAGGCGAGGCCGCCGCAGGGGACCTCGGGGCCGGGGAGCGCTGGGCACAGATGGGATCTGGGGACACAGGAAAAAGGGGCTTTGTCCTGCCTCAGGCAGGAAAGGCCAGCCGGTCCCCGGGGGCCGGGGGAGGGGCCCGCGGCCGGAGGGACAGAGAGGCCTCTGTGAGGGGAAGCGCCCAGCTGGCGGGACCCACAACCCCCAGGGGGCCCGCCTGGCGCGGGAGGAGGAGGCCCGGAGTCCGGTGTCTTTGCCGGGACCCCCGGCGCCGGGCGCCCGGGGAGCGGGAGGGGGAAGGCGGGCCCCAGAGGGGGCGCCCCGCCCTTCTCCCCCCGGGCCGCCTGGGGACAGGCTGTGCGGGGATAGAGAGGACGGAGCCCGGGAGGCCCGGAGGGAGGGGCACGGGGGCCGCCCCGCCGCTCGGCCCCGCCGCTCCGCCCCGCCGCTCCGCCCCCCGCCGCTCGGCCCCGCCGCTCCGGCCCCGCCGCTCCGGCCCCCGCCGCTCCGGCCCCCGCCGCTCCGGCCCCGCCGCTCCGGCCCCGCCGCTCGGCCCCGCCGCTCGGCCCCGCCGCTCCGGCCCCGCCGCTCGGCCCCGCCGCTCCGGCCCCGCCGCTCGGCCTCGCCACTCCGGCCCCGCCGCTCGGCCTCTCCCGGTTCCGCGGTGGAGCGGCCGGGGCCGGGCCTTTCTCCGGGAAAATCAAACCGGGCCGGCGGCCTCGCAGCCAATCGGGGAGGAGATGGGCCGGCCTCGGCCAATGGCCGCCGCGCATGCTAATGAGCACTGACGTCACGCGGAGGCCCATTCAAAAAGTAGCCGCTATTGTCGGGACGGGCTGCGTGCGCCCCCGGGCCCGCCGCCGTCTGGCCGCGCGCGGGGGACCAGCCGGGGCGACCAGTCCGGGGCGGCCGGGGGGACCAGTCCGGCGGGGGGGACCAGCCGGAGCGGCCGGGGGGACCAGCCGGGGGGGACCGGCCGGGGCGACCAGCCCGGGTGCGGCCGGGGCGACCAGCCGGGGGGGGGGCCAGCCGGGGAGGGACCAGCTGGGGGCGGCGGGGGACCAGCCGGGAGGGACCAGCCGGGAGGGACTAGCCGGGGGGGACCAGCCGGGGACGGAGCCCGGCCGGCGGCCCCTCCATGGCCGGAGCCGCGATGGCCGAGCCGGGCCGCGCGCCGCCCGCCGCGCCCGCCGCGCCGGAGCCGGGCACCGAGGGGCTGCCGCGCGCCTTCCTGCAGAGCCTGCGCACGCTCTTCGACATCCTGGACGACCGGCGGCGCGGCTACGTGCACCTCCGCGAGATCGAGTCCCGCTGGCGCGGCGCCGACGCGCGCGAGCTGCCCCGCGGCGTGCTGGAGGGCCTGCGGCGGGCGGCCCCGGCCAGCGGCTACCTCACCTTCGAGCGCTTCGTGGCCGGCCTGCGCGCCTCGCTGGGCGGCGCCGACGGCGGCCCGCGGGGCCCGGCGCGCGCCCCGGCCGGGGGAGGCGGCCCCGCGCGGCCCCCGCAGCCCCCGCAGCGCCTGGCCTTCCCGGCCGCCGAGGAGCCGCGGACCCTCCTGGAGCGGAAGCCCCTGCCGCTGGGCGCGCGCCCCCCGGCGGCCGGCCCGGGCGGCGCGGCCCGGAGCCTGGAGAGGCTGTGCGCCCCGGCCGAGGCGGCGCCCGGCGGCCCGGAGCCCGAGCGGCCGCAGGGCGCGGCGCTGGAGCGGAGCCCGAGCGCGGACGCGGGTGAGTGCGGGCGGCCGGGCCTGGCTGCCAGCGGCCGGTGAACCCTCAGGCCTGGGGAGGAGCACAGCCCGCAGCCTCTGGGGTGGCAGCAGGCTCCCCGCCTCGGGCAGGGGCGGATGGCTGATGTGGGGCTGCCCCCCGGGCAGTGCCACCCGCTGCTCGCCAGCCTCGCTGGACTCGCCCATCTCTGCCCACGGGCTTCCCAGCCGGACGGCCAGGGAGCTGTGAGGTGGGGACCTGGATAGTGTTCCTGGGCCCAGGTGTTCTGGGGTGTGTGCCTCCTCCCTCACCCCGCACCTTCCCGCCACAGCTCTGCAGGTTGGGACGGGCTGGGCCCGCCTGGAGCATGAGCCGGGCTGGCTGCCGGCCCACACACCTGCCGGGCACCCCCCTGCCAGGCACACCCCTGCCGGGCACACCACTGCCGGGCACACTCCTTACATCACGCGCCCGCGCCCACAGCCTCTACAGATGAGCTGGTGAGGTGGGCCGTGCTAGGGAGCTCAGAGAGGGGCCCTCCACACCGCACCCCCGCCCCTCCCGGGAGGTCCTGCACAGGCTCCCCGTCTCCCTTCCCCTCGCCTGTCCCCCCTCACCCACCATGGAAGCCGACTGGCCCCCAGGACGATGCTCTCAGGGAGCCTGGGCTCCCAGCTGCGGGTGGACTCGGGGTGCAGACACTCCTGTCGGGTGGTGGGTGCACAGAGCAGGACTCAGCCACCGGGATCCCCGCCTGGAAGTTAGGTCCCCGCCACCCACGGCCCCGTGTTCCCCCATTAGCTCACCCTTAAAGGCCGGGCTACACGGAGGGGATGGAGGAGCCCAGAGCCCCCCCTTCTGCAGCCTTTCAGCCCCGAGGTGGGCTCTGGAGGTGCAGGGACAGGCTGGGCAAGCCCCGCCCTTAACATCCAGGCCCTGCACATGTGTGTACACATGTGTGTCATGTGAAGACATGCATGTACAGGCCCCAGGCCTGTGTGAGGGGAGCTGGTGGGAATCAGTGAGAACCAGACCCCAGCCCGGTACAGAGGTGAGGGTGGGCTGCACCGATACGGGGAGGGGCCCAGAGAGGCTCCGAATTGCCAATGACCCCAGAGGCGATGACCCCGGAGGCCAGCAGGCCTGGACGGGCTCTGCATTGCTGGGGGTGGGAGCGAGGTCGAGGTCGGGAGGGCCTGGAGCCAGGCTGTGGTGGAGCTGCCCAGCCAGGCCCTCGCTCTGCGGCAGATGCAGGGACCTGCAGGGCCTGGGAGCTGGGCCTGGGGGACCCCCGGCGGCCCCCCCGAGCCCGGGGCGAGCGGCGGAGGCACACCATCACCAACGGAGTGGACTGTGAGCTGGTGAGCGGGGCCCTGGGACGCTGGGGCCCCCATTGTGCCTGGGATGGGTCTCCTGGACCGTCGCCCTGCCTGGGCGGGCGGCCGGGCCTGGGTCCCAGGGGTGGCCTGTGACAGGAATGGGCTCAGTTCTCAACACCTCCCCCTCCCCCCGCTGGAACCGCCCGAGGACTGGAGGGGCCCAGGGTCAGGCAGGAAGTCTTTCAGGGACAGGGGCCTGGCTGCGCTGTGGCCTTTGGCTTGGCCCCTGTCCAGAGCCGCCCCCGCCCCAGCCCGGGCCCAGGCTCACCGCTCCCCTCAGGAGGGGCTCGGGCCGCCGGGCAGCGGCCCAGGTCCCAGGAGGCCCGTGTGGAAGGCTGGACCCCGGGGAGAGGGTTCGGGTGCAGGGTGTCCCGGGTGAGCGCAGGCGGGCCCGCACCACGCGTGTGCGCTGACGGCACGCGTGTGCCCCGCCGGCAGCTGAAGCAGATGGCGGAGCTGGAGCAGGAGAAGGGGGTGCTGCTGCAGGGCCTGCAGATGATGGCCCGCGGCCGCGACTGGTACCAGCAGCAGCTGCAGCGCGTGCAGGAGCGCCAGCGCCGCCTGGGCCAGCGCCGGGCCAGCGCCGTGAGTGACCGCCGGGCCCCAGGCGGGTGACCCCCCACAGTGCCACCGCCCGCGTGCCGGGATCCCCCCAGCACCGCTCCCCGACCAGCAGCTCCTTGGACTCGGTTCTGAGCAGGAACTTGTGGGGGCAGGCGGGCCACGGGGGGCCCCCTCAGGGCACAGCGGCCGGTCCCCGGCTGGCCTGCTCGCTGACCACCTCTCCGCCGCTTGCTTTCAGGAGTCCGGGGCTGAGGGGAGCCCTCGCCCTCTGGGGCATCTGCTGCCCAAGGTGCAGGAGGTGGCCCGCTGCCTGGGGGAGCTGCTGGCTGCGGCCTGTGCCGGCACGGTGAGTCCCCGGGCCCCCCACGCCCCGCCCGGGAGCTGAGCCGGGGTGCCCGCCTGCCTCACCGTGCCCTCCTGTAGGCTCTGCCCTCGGCCTCCTCGGGGCCCCCGGGCCCCGCCCCGGCCCCCGCCTCCCCCCCGGCGCCCGGCTGGCAGCAGCAGACCATCCTGATGCTGAAAGAGCAGAACCGGCTGCTCACGCAGGTGAGGTGCGTGCGGGGTGGGGGGCCGGGGTGGCTGGCCGCCTGGCGGGCCCTGACCGCCCCCGCCCGCCCGCCAGGAGGTGACGGACAAGAGCGAGCGCATCACCCAGCTGGAGCAGGAGAAGTCGGCGCTCATCAAGCAGCTGTTCGAGGCGCGAGCCCTCAGCCAGCAGGACGCCGGGCCCCTGGACTCCACCTTCATCTGAGGCCGCGCGCACGGACCTGCCTGGAGGCCGGACACTGGCCCGGCAGAGCCCTCGCTCCCGGCCTCGCAGGCTGACGGCCACCCGCCGGCCTGGACACGGCTCTCCTGCCTCCAGTCTGGGCCCCCAGCCTCAGGTGGAGCCGGCAGGGGGCTGCTCTAGGACGCCTGTCCATCCTGGCCTGGGACGGGGCTGACCTGGGCCAGGGCTCCATGTGGGGGCCCAGCCTGAGGCTGCTGCTCCCCCTTTCTCTCCGTCCGACCCACGGACCCTCCTCCCGGTGTCCGGGTGTCCAGCCTGCCTCGTGTTTACAGCTGGCCTGTCGCCCCGCCCCCTGGCATCTCCAGTAAAAGGTCCTGGTCACGCGGGGCTGCACTTCTGACTGCAGCCAGCAGAGGGCACCACCTGCATGCTGGTCATGGATCCTGAAGCGCCCCCCCTCCCGAGGTCTCACGTGGGAGCTGGGAGTAGGGGACCTCGGGGTGTGGACTGGGGCACCTGAGGGCCAAGCAGGTGACCTCTCTCAACCCAGGACACCCAGACTACGGGCCCCTCAGCAGGAACACAGGGGGGGGGGGGATGGTGCTGATGGGGGCATGGGGTCTGCCTGTACCCGGTCCCAGGGACCCTGGGATGGATGAAGGTGCCTGGGGCGGGGCCTGCTTGTCCCTCCACACAGACTTCGGTCCCCAAATCAACATGGCTCAGCCGTCATCCCTTCTGGCCAAGACTCAGCCCGGACAAGCCCACAGAGCTGTCTGACCCGGCTCAGGGCCTTGGGGCCCAGACACCCGGGCCAGGGCGAGCTGTGGGCTGGAAGACCTAATGTTGCTCAGAAAGGGGAGCTCAGGACTCAGGCGGAGGCTGGTTCGGTCCTCCCAGGGGGGCGGGGAGCAGGTCTGGAGGGCGGGACAGGCTCCAGCAGGCAGACGGGGCACCCGTGCCAGCCAAGAGGGCCTGCCCTCAGGGCTCCCCAGATCTTCCTCTCCCGTGGTTCTTGGATCTGCCCCTCCCTTCCTCCCTCTCACCCCACGGCCACTCCCCCAACCGAGCCCAGGCCTGAGCCCGCCCTCCCTGGGGGTCCCTCTGCTCCCCAAATGCAGCCTGTGACGCTTCCAGAATGGAAGCCCACAGTCCCCTGCCCCTGAGTCCTCCCGTGACCCCGGCACCTGCAGTACCAGGCCCCAGGGGTGCAGCCTGGAGCCCACACCCAACCCTCTGGTTCTGTGCTGCCTGCCTCCCACCTCTGGGCTTGGCTGGAAAGTCCCGCCCCGCCTCCCCTGGCTCGCTCCTCCCCACCCCGGCCCTCCGGGATGTCAAACGGCCAGGGACCTGGGTCTGCCCCAGGGGGCTGTCACCAGGTGACCTCCCACGTGAGGCTGGCCCTGGGGGAGCAGGGTAACCTGGCTACAGAGGGGAGGGAGGTGGCAGGCGGCATCAGTTGCCCGTGTGGCCCTGCAGCCTCAAGGGCAGGATCTCGGGGTCCCAGGTTGGCAGGGCCTGGCCGCTGGCAGAGGCAAACATCTGGAGAGGTCCCTCCGGGCCCACAGTTCAAGGCGGGGCAATCCAATGGGGAGCTCTGTGCTGAGGGGGCCGTGGCTTCCCCGCAGGGGCAACCAGAATGGGGGGGGGGGGCGGGGCGGGGCAAACTGCCCCATGAAGCCTCTATAGAAACTTTGACGAGAAACACCAATCAGCTGCCTCCTGCACACACCTTACTGGGGACGTGCCCGCAACCAAGGTTCATGCCCTTGACCGGAATCGAACCTGGGACCCAAAATAGTACAAGTTCCAAGGGAAATCAGCACCCTCAGGCTAGAAACAAGTTTTCCCAAACTCTGCCAAGGAAAGACTCCACCATCGGAGCCACAGAAACAACAGACTAGAACCCCAGATATTGGGATTGCCTGAATCTAAGGTAACTTTTACATGTGTGAGGAATAAAGGCCCGTGAACATGTGACCAAGGAGCCGTCTATGGTTTCTTTTTTCAAAATGGGTTTTTCTTGATCAATTAGAGGGAGAGAGAGAAAAACATTGATGAGGGATGGATTCATCCGTCAGCTGCCACCTGCACGCCCCACCATGGGGGGTGGAGTCTGCTACCCCAGCAGGTTCCCTGACCAGGAACTGAATCAGTGACCTCTTGCTTCCTGGGCCCGTGCTCAGCCCCTGAGCCATGCCGGCCAGGCGCTATGCAGGTTTTTCAGAGGTAAATCTGCGAGCTCAAATCTGTAACATGGAGTTCAAACCCCAACTGGGATTTTGCAAGAATGGAAAAACACAGTCTCACCCCATCCCAGCAACAAAGAAAGCGAGTCTGTCCAACTTGGGCCAGCCCCAAGGCAAGATTAGTTAAACGTTTTAAAATGTGTTGTCATTCGCAGAATGAACAAATTAAAGGAGAAAACACGACTGCAAGGAATGCAGAAAAAAACATGCAGCTGTAGGCAATTCATGTTTGTAAGAAGCTTTTGGGAATGAGGCAATTACCCAAGAGCCCTCAGCGAAACCGGGCCAATGGTGGAATGTTGAAGGCACCCTCCCCTGATGAGGAAGGAACTAGGAATGTCCTCACTTTTACTGATAAAGTCTTAGAATTATCACGAGTTTAATAAGAGTCTGATTACAAAATGAATTTAAAAAATATAATTATTATAAACCAGCAAAAACAACAACAGCACAACTTAGAAAATGTAATTTAAAACTCAAATTCTATGTTCCAAGTACTAAATCTAAGAAATGTGTGAGACATTTAGGAGAAAATTACTTAAAAACTTTTTCGAAAGACCTACAAGAAAATCTATGTCAGTAGATTAGGATAAAAGACTCGACGTTGAGATGTTCACGTTTTGCCCTGGCCAGGTGGCTTGGTTGAAGGTGTGGGTTCCATTCCCCTTCGGGGCACGTGCCTAGGTTGCGAGTTCAATCCCCAGTCCGGAGGCAACCAATCAATGATCTTTTCACATCCATGTTTCTTGAAATTGATTAGAACATGTCCTCAGTGAGGATTAAAAAATGCAAGGATGGCCCTACGCTGGTGGGCTCAGTGGGCTCAGTGGATAGAACGCCAGCCTGCGGACTGTAGAATCCCTGTTTTGATTCTGATCAAGGGCACAGGCCCAGGTTGTAGGCTCGATCCCCAGTGTGGGGTGCGCAGGAGGCAGCCGATCAATGATTCTCTCTCATCTTGGATGTTTGTATCTCTCCCTCTCCCTTCCACTCGGAAATCAATAAGATTTTTAAAAGAATGAATGAATGAAGTTGGTGTTCCCCAATTGATGTGTAGATTTAATGTTATCGCAGTTGAGCGCTTAACCATTTTTCAAGGCATTTGGGCAAGTTGCTCCAAATGGTCACGGCAGAGCTGGGGGCTCCGGGAAGGAGGCGGAGGGAGGACTTTCCTGGGAGGAGTGTCCTGGGTGGGGGAGAGAGACACCGGCTGTGACCTCAGGGCAGACACCTGGCACGTAACACTTGGCACGGGGACAGCAGCTGGGACAACCAGTTCTCTAGACGGAAGGCAGGAACTGGAATAATTTCTGCACATCCTGCAGGACCCCTGCAGTCAGCCATAACCCACCTTCCGATGCGTCTTCAGACCTCGGGGACTGTTCTCGGAGACCTTGGGGAGCAGGGATAGAGCCTCTACGAGTTCCCGGCCAGAGGACTCGTGTCCAGGGCACAGGTGACCCTGAACAATGTGGGGTTGGGGTGCTGCACCCCCAGAGCAGTAAAAAAAAAATCTGTGTCTAACTCTGACTCAACCAACATGTGACTATCAAGACCCTGCTCTGACCTGAGCCTCCCTGCTAACACAGTCAATTAACATGTATTTTGTATGTCTTATTATCCACACTAATAAAAGAGAAAGATGCAAATTGACTGTACTTCTGCAATGCCCACCAGCCAATCAGGAGTGAGCATGCAAATTAACCCAACAAAGATGGTGGGTTGATTTGCATACACAGGTGGGGAGCGAAGACTGAAGAGGCTTGGCTTCTCTGCCACAGCTGGAGCTCTGGCCGGGGTCCCGGGTTCCAGAGGAAACCGGTGTGGGCCGTCGGGGAAGGGAGGCTATTGCATGGATCTTTGCACCATGGGCCTCTGGTATAATAATACTACATTCTTACAAGAAAGTAATCTAAAGAAAAGATAATGTTAAGAAAATCATGAGCTCATGGTTGAGTCTTGACCTATGAACCAGGAGGTCATGGTTCGATTCCCGGTCAAGGCACATGCCTGGTTGTGGGCTCCATCTCCAGTGGTGGGTGTGCAGGAGGCAGCTGATCCACAATTCTCTCTCATCACTGATGTTTCTGTGTCTCCCTTCCTCTCCCTCTTTGTGATCAATTAAAAGAAAAAAATGTGGGGTTGGGGTGCTGCACCCCCAGAGCAGTAAAAAAAAAATCTGTGTCTAACTCTGACTCAACCAACATGTGACTATCAAGACCCTGCTCTGACCTGAGAAAGAAAGGAAAGAAAGGAAAGTCTGCTCCCCAGGACAGGTGGGGAGGGCTCCCAGGTGCCCACAGCACCGGGTCCCCTGTGCCCACCTGCGCCTGCGGTGCCCACCTGCACCTGCGGTGCCCAGGCCGACAGGCAAGCTCAGCAAGCGTCTGTCGAGTGAGCACATGAGCCTTCCCCATGAAGGTGGCTCAACCGCTGGACACGTGGTTTCTGATGGGGAAACTGAGGCAGAGGCAGCCAAGACCAGTGAAGTCCCTGCCCTTGGAGGTCTGGTTCCTGTGGAGGGGGCTCTGGGACCCCTCCCCGAGGGGGGACCCTCCACACCGCTCTGCAGCCCTTCCTTCCTGAATTCCTGCCCGGGCGGGGGCCAGAGCAAACATCTGGACCCCACCCCACCGAGGTTCCCCAAGGCGGCCCCGCCCGCAGGCTCCTGCCAGGGCTGCCTCCCACTCGAACCCCCACCTCCCACCGCCTGACAGACCCAGCTCCTCGCCAAGGAGGGGCCTTCCCACGCGGCTCCCGCCTCCCTCCCAGGCTCCTCTGGGCCCTGAGCCGCCCGCGGGGCCCCTCCGGGCAGGTCCCAGCTCCCCCTGCCTGCTGGGGCCCCACCCGAGGACAGCTGACTCCAGGAGCCCTGCTCGCCTCGTGGGGCGAGGAGGGGGTTCTGGGGCCAGCCAGGGGGCAGCCTGCAGCGCCGGCCGCTCATGCCCTTTTATGGCCTGGCTCTCTGGGCCGCCTGCCCGCCTCCTGTGCCTCCTGGGCCAGCCTCTCCCTCCGCTGGGCTTTCTGGGGAGAAAGGACCCGGGAGGGGGTCCGGGGGGCGGGTGCTGGCGGGAAACCTGCCCCACCCGGAGGCTCCGCTGGGGCTCCGCCAGGCCGGCTGGGAGGAGGCAGCCAGGCCGGGTCCCCGCCCTTCCCGCCAGGGTCCGAGCGGGAAGAAAGGCTCCTTTGCTGAGCCGTGACTCCAGACCCTCGGCCCGCCGGCCGGGAGCCAGCCCGCTGTCCCCGCCTTTCCGACCCGGCCCGGGCCAGGGCTGCCCCTCCACCCCTCAAAGGCTGCCCTCCCGGCCCGCTGGGTGGCCTTGCCCCGGGGCTTCCTGCCTGTTCGCCGCCTGTTCGCCGGGTGCTCGGGGCTGGAACTCCCAGTCCTCCCAGTGCATGCAGGCGGGTGGCCTCTGGCCACGGAGAGGGGTGTGTGTGTGTGTGTGTGAGTGTGTGTGTGTGTGTGAGTGTGTGTGTGTGAGTGTGTGTGTGTGTGTGTGTGTGAGTGTGTGTGTGTGTGTGAGTGTGTGTGTGAGTGTGTGTGTGCGTGTTTGTGTGTGAGTGTGTGTATGTGTATGAGTGTGTGTGAGTGTGTGTGTATGTGTATGAGTGTGTGTGAATGTATGTGTTTGTGTGTATGTGTGTGAGTGTATGTGTGTATATGTATGTGTGTATGTATGTGTGTATGTATGTGTGTATGTGTGTGTGAGTGTGTGTTTGTGTGTGAGTGTGCGTGTGAGTGTATGTGTTTGTGTGTGAGTGTGTGTGTGTATGTATGTGTGTGTATGTATGTGTGTGTGAGTGTTTGTGTGTGAGTGTGTGTGTGAGTGTGTTTGTGTGTGTGTATGTGTATGAGTGTGTGTGAGTGTGTGTTTGTGTGTGTGTGAATGTATGTGTTTGTGTGTGTATATGTATGTGTGTATGTATGTGTGTGTGTGTGTGTATGTGTGTGGGGGGGTGAAAGCACAGAGGCGGGCATTGTGGGGTGGAGAGAGGGAGCTGGTTCTGGGGCTGCACTGGCCACCCCGGAGGCTTCTCGGCTCTGCCCTCCCCTTGGTCCTGAGACCCCTGGGACCCATGTCAGGCTCCACGCTGCCTGCACCCCGAGGGCAGCCCAGCAGGGCCAGCTCGGCGTCCCTGTCCTCCGTGCTCACAGCCAGGGCCCGGTCAGCCCAGTGCCCGCGACCGGGGCCAGTCAGCTCCGAGCCTGCGGCCAGGGTCTGGTCAGCCCGGTGCCGACGGCCGGGGCCTGGTCAGCCCGGTGCCCGCGGCCGGGGCCAGTCAGCTCCGAGCCCGCGGCCGGGGCCTGGTCAGCCCGGTGCCGGCGGCCGGGGCCCGGTCAGCTCCAAGGCTACAGCCAGGGCCCGGTCAGCCTGGTGCCCGCGGCCGGGACCGGGTCAGCCCGGTGCCCGCGGCCGGGGCCAGTCAGCTCCGAGCCCGCAGCCGGGATCCGTTCAGCCCGGTGCCCGCGGCCAGGGTCCGGTCAGCCCGGTGCCCGCGGCCGGGGCTGGTCTCTCTCTCCTGCCGGAGGGGCAGCCAGCACAGCCCACCCCTAGCCAGGCCTCCTGCCCAGCAGCACCCCGATCACCCCCAGCGGGATGGGTTCTCTGGGTCCTGGCCCAGGGGAGCCCTGGGGTGGCACCGGGCCTCCGGCGGGGCTGAGCCTTCGGGGGCGGGGATGGGGGGCGGAGGGCAGGCACAGCCTCCGGGCTGGTGCGGGGCAGCGACCCACCTGGAGCCGCCGGGAGGGGGCGGGGCGTCCGCCTGTGGGCGGGGCTTCACACTGGGCGTGGCCTCCGAACAATAGGCGGTGCTTCTCCAGTGGGCGGGGCGTCACCAGGTGGGCGTGGTCATCGGGGCCGGGCGGGGCCGCTCCGCCCCCAGCGCCTACCCCGCGGTCCGGCCGGGCCACCGGCTCCCCGCGCCCCCGCCGCGCCCGGTCCGCCGCCCGGTCCGCCGAGCCCCCGCCGCGCCAGGTCCGCCCGCCGCCAGGTCCGCCGCCCGGTCCGCCGCCCGGTCCGCCGCCCGGTCCGCCCGCCCGGTCCGCCGCCCGGTCCGCCCGCCGCCCGGTCCGCCGCCCGGTCCGCCGCGCCATGGCCGGGAAGCTGCTGGCGCTGCTGCCGCCGGCGCTGCTGGCCGCCGCGGGCCTGGCCGGCCTCCTGCTGCTGAGCGTCCCGACCCGCGACGTCCGGGAGCCGCCCGCCCTCAAGGTGCGCGGGGCCGGGCGCGGGGCGCGGGGCGCGGGGCGCGGGGCCGGGGCGCGGGGCGCGGGGCCGGGGCGCGGGGCGCGGGGCCGGGGCGCGGGGCGCGGGCCCGGGGCTGCCCAGCCCTCGCCGCCGCGCTCCGGGCCGGACGGGGTCCCCGGTGCCCGCGGCGCTTCCGGGGAGACGGTGCCCGAGGCCCAAGTTTGGGAAGTGCCCGCCCCGCCCCGCCCCGGAGCCACGGGCGCTGGTGCAGCTGCTCCCGCTGCCGCTGCCTCAGGCCGACCCCGCGGGACCGGGCTCCCACGGGCACCGCAGTTCAGGGCTCAGCCCAGACCCGGGGCCGGGCCCCTCCCCGAGGTCCTGGCAGCGGCTCCTGAGGGGCCCGGGGCGGGGGAGGTGGAGGGGGAGGGGGGAGAGGGTCAGACCGTGGGTCCCAGGCCCAGCCTCCGGGAGTCCGGCAGATTCCCTTAATCCCTTTGGACCTGGGGCCGGATGCTTGGGGTGTGTGTGTGTGTGTGTGTTGGGGGGCAGGGGGCGCCCCAGGATGGCCATGGCAGCCAGAGGCCTCCTCCAGGCGGGTGGGTGGCAGAGCCCTCACCCCAGCCCCCGGGCTCCAGGGCGCGTTCTCTGTCCCTGGGGCAGGTGCAGGGAAGGGGCGCTCGGGCTGGGTGCAGGCTGGGTGCTCACTTCGCTCGGACCCGGACCGCAGGAAGCGGGGAGGCCTGATTGGAGACCAGCATGGGGGGGAGGTGGAGCCGCTGATGCTTCTCCCTGCAGCAGCTTCACTCCCGGCCCGGCCCCGGCCCAGGACAGGGACCCGGAGGTGGTGGGTCCTGGGACTCTGAGCCGCCCGGCCCTGGAGTGTGGGCGGCAGGAGAGGCCTGCCCCCTCCGAGGCTCCTGGCCCCTTCTCCCCCACCCATCTGTGCGGCTGAGGCTGGGCTCGGCCTGGACTCAGGGTGGGGCGGGTGGGGGTGGGAGTGGGGCAAGGAAGGCCTTCGGGCCCCTCCCTCACCCCTCACCCCTCACCCCTCACCCCTCACCCCTCACCCCCCCAGTACGGCATCGTCCTGGACGCAGGCTCCTCCCACACGTCCATGTTCATCTACAAGTGGCCGGCGGACAAGGAGAACGACACGGGCATTGTGGGCCAGCACAGCTCCTGCGACGTGCGGGGTGAGGCCCCGAGCGCGGGCGCCCGGCCCGATGCCCGCTCGCCGTCCGGCCGCGGTCTCTGCAGCCGGTCCCCCCGCCGGGCGCTCCAGGCCGAGGCCGTGGGAGCCCACAGGGAGGCGGGTCCCGGCCGGGGGTGGGGGGGCCTGTGGGCACTGCCGTTCCAGAACGGAGCCCCGGCCCAAGAGGGGCCTCGACACCCCAGACGGACGAGAGGGGCTCCAGGAGCTGGCGGGCACCCCCCTCCGCAGGCCCGAGGCCGGGCCCAGCGGGCAGTGCCCAGGGCTTTGTCCTGCACCTGGGCACACACCCACGGCTCCGGCGGCAGCCTCAGAGACCGGCGCTCGCCGGCGCCCCTTTGTCTGTGAGCGTCTTTGTCCCTAAGCTGCCACCTGGTTTGGGGGCCCCCGCCCCGCCCTGCTGGCCCCCCTCAAGGCCGATGCCAGGCTGGAGCCCCGCTCACGCCTCCCTGCAGGTGGGGGCATCTCCAGCTACGCAGACAACCCCGCGGGCGCCGGCCAGAGCCTGGTGGAGTGCCTGGACCAGGCGCTGCAGGACGTGCCCCAGGAGAGGCACGCGGGCACACCGCTGTACCTGGGGGCCACGGCGGGCATGCGCCTGCTCAAGTGAGTGTGCCCGCCCGCCCTTCCCGGCCCGCCCCACAGCCTGGGCACAGCCCCGCGGAGGGGCCGATGCCCTCGGCGGCAGGCAGCCCCGGGCAGGTGGGGGGCCTCTGGGCTGGCATCAGGGACCCCAGGCCCCCGGCCCCGGGAGGAAGCCGCTCAGAGGCCTCCCTGTACCCCAGTCTGACCAGCCCGGAGGCCGCGGCCAGCGTGCTGGAGGCCGTGACGCGGACGCTGACCCAGTACCCCTTTGACTTCCGCGGCGCCCGCATCCTGTCAGGCCAGGACGAGGGGGTGTTTGGCTGGGTGACGGCCAACTACCTGCTGGAGAATTTCATCAAGGTGGGCCGGGGCCCCACCCCCTCTGCCCAGGGGAGCCCCCGAGGGGAGCCCCCGAGGGGAGCCCCGAGGGGAGCCCCCGAGGGGAGTGGGCGCCCGGCCTGCTGGCCCCGCTGACCCGGCCTCACCCCGCAGCACGGCCGGGCCGGCCGCTGGTTCCGGCCGCGGAGGGGCACGTTGGGGGCCATGGACCTGGGCGGCGCCTCCACGCAGCTCACCTTCGAGGCGGCCGGCCCGGCCGAGGACCCGGCCAGCGAGGTCCAGCTGCGGCTGTACGGCCAGCAGTACCGCGTCTACACCCACAGCTTCCTCTGCTACGGCCGCGACCAGGTCCTCCAGCGGCTGCTGGCCAGTGTGCTCCAGGTGCCCCCGCCCCCCTCGGGCCCTCCGGGGAGTGGGAGGCGGGAGGGCCAGGGCTCAGTGGCCGGGGGAGGGCCCGGCCAGGCTCCGCTCTCGGCCGCTGGCAATGGGAGCCATGGGGTGCTCCTGAGCACAGAAGTGACCACACCAGTGGGCCCCGGGGAGGGTCATGGGCTGGGGAGGCCCCCGAGGGCCCCGGGGCGGGCAGTGCTTAACCTGGGGGGTGAGACCCACCTTCGCCACCCCCAGACCCACGACGCCCACCCCTGCTGGCCCCGGGGCTACTCCGCCCACGTGCTGCTCCGGGAGGTGTACGCGTCCCCGTGCACCACCGCCCTGCGGCCCCCGACCTTCGACCCCACCGCGGAGGTCAGCCTGGTGGGCAGCGGCGACCCCGCCCTCTGCCGCAGCCTGGTCTCCGGGCTCTTCAGCCCGGCGCCCTGCCCCTTCTCCCGCTGCTCCTTCAACGGCGTCTTCCAGCCGCCCGTGGCCGGGGACTTCGTGGTGAGTCTGGGCCGGGCGGGGGCCGGGCGGGGGCTGGGCGGCGGGGGCCGGGCGGGGGCCGGGCGGGGCCGGGCGGGGGCCGGGCGGCGGGGCCGGGCGGGGCCGGGCGGGGGCGGGGCCGGGCGGGGGCGGGGCCAGGCGGGGGCCGGGCGGGGGCTGGGCGGCGGGGCCGGGCGGGGCCGGGCGGGGGCCGGGCGGCGGGGGCCGGGCGGGGGCCGGGCGGGGGCTGGGCGGCGGGGGCCGGGCGGGGGCCGGGCGGGGGCCGGGCGGGGGCCGGGCGGGGGCCGGGCTCAGGGTGGCCCTCGCCCCGCAGGCCTTCTCTGCCTTCTTCTACACCGTGGACTTCCTGCGGGCGGCCATGGGGCTGCCCGTGGGCACCCTGCGGCAGCTGGAGGCCGCCGTGGCCGCCGTCTGCAACCAGACGTGGAGCGAGGTGAGCCCCGGCGCCGACCTGTGAACCAGAGGTCACGCCACAGGCCAACGCGCCACCCACTGAGCCACCCGCTGGAGCCGGGCCTTTGTCTTTCTGCTGCATTGCCCGCGTGTGTGCCCTCCTGTGTGCGTGTGCATGTGTGTGCTCCTGTGTGTAGCCTGTGTGTGATGGGTGTGTATGTGCATGCACGCTCCTGTGTGTATGTGTGCATGTGTAGTGTGTGTGTATGTGTGTGCACGCTCCTGTGTGTATGTGTGCATGTGTAGTGTGTGCTCTGTGTGTGTGTGTGTGTGTGTGTGTGGTGCAGCACCTGGCTGGCCGCCCACCACCCACCTCCTGGGGCCGGACCCTGGAAGCCGGGCTAAGGTGGCCCCTCCCGTGTCCAGCTGCAGGCCCGGGCTCCGGGGGCGGGGCCCCGCCTGCCCAACTACTGCCCCGCGGCCATGTTCGTGCAGCAGCTGCTCAGCCGGGGCTACGGCTTCGACGAGCGGGCCTTCAGCCGGGTGACCTTCCAGAAGAAGGTGGGCGCTGGGGGGGAGGGGCCCGGCGGAGGGGCGGGGCGGGGGGAGGGGGCAGGGGGTCTGGGAGGAGGGGGGAGGGGCGAGGGTAAGGGACGGGGGGAGGGGGCAGGGGGCGGGGGGGGCCGGGGCCGGGGGCAGGGGCCGGGCCGGAGGCTGAGCGGCGCCCCCCGCAGGCCGGGGACACGGCGGTGGGCTGGGCGCTGGGCTACATGCTGAACCTCACCAACATGATCCCCGCCGACCCGCCCGGGCTGCGCAAGGCCCTGGCCCTGAGCGCCTGGGCCGCCCTGATCCTGCTCTTCGCCCTGCTGCTCCTGGCCGCGCTGGTGCTGCTGCTGCGCAGGGCGCGGCCCGCCAAGCCGCCCGGCGCCCTCTAGGCCCTGCTGGGCCCCCTGTCCCTCCCTGTCCCTCCCCTCCCCCACGGGGCCCCCTGTCCCTCCCCTCCCCCACGGGGCCCCCTGTCCTCCCTGTCCCTCCCCTCCCCCCACGGGGTCCCCTGTCCCTCCCCTCCCCCCACGGGGCCCCCTGTCCCTCCCCTCCCCCCACAGGGCCCCCTGTCCCTCCCCTGTCCCTCCCCTCCCCCCACGGGGCCCCCTGTCCCTCCCCTGTCCCTCCCTTCCCCCCACGGGGCCCCCTGTCCCTCCCCTCCCCCCACACTCAGCATCGCTGCTGCCAAGCAGCCCAGAAACCGAGGCAGGGCCTCCAGCACCCACTGCCACGGGCCCGGTGGGGAAGGGCACCGGGTCCGGCCCCTGCTCCTCCTGCTCCTGAGGGGTCATGCCCACGCCCGCAGCCGGGACCACAGGGGGCTCCCAGGAGAGGAGCCCCTATTCCCATCCTTGGGGCCCTCCGACCCCAGCAGGTCTGCACTAGGGGAGGGAATTAGGGGGGAGAGTCTGTATGGGGGGTCTGCACTAGGGGAGGGTCTGTATAGAGGGAGGGTTTAGGGGACGGTGTTAGGGGAGGGTCTGTAAGGGGGAGGGTTTAGGGGAGGGTTTAGGGGAGGGTCTGTAAGGGGGAGGGTTTAGGGGAGGGTTTAGGGGAGGGTCTGTAAGGGGGAGGGTTTAGGGGAGGGTTTAGGGGAGGGTCTGTAAGGGGGAGGGTATTGGGGGGGTGTTAGGGGGGACGGCCTGCCTTAGGGGACGGTCTGTACTAGGAGCCCGCAGGCGGGGAGCTGCCCTGCACCTACTTGTAACATTTTGTAATAAAAGTTTGTCCTGAAGCCGCGCCTGCCTCCTTCCCCACAGCTGTGCGGGTCACGCAGCCACTCCCGGTCCCCCGGGCGGCCCTTGGCTCTCCGCACCTCCTCTCCACGCCCGGACCAGGTGGTGCTGACCACCGCCCGCACCGCGGCGGCCAGAGCCCCTGCAGCCCCGCCTCCTCAGGGGCCAGGCCCGCGGCGAGGGCTCACGTGGGGTCGGGGAGAGGAGCAGGCGGGTTGGCAGGTTGCGGGCGCCAGGCCCGGCAGCGCTCGGGAGGCTGGCGGAGGGCAGACCCTGCAGGTGGGTGAGGAGGTGAGGTTGGAGGGGAGGGTGCTGGGCTCCATCCCCGGAGGAGGGACCTGGTGAGGAGCCTGCTGTGGGCCCAGCGTGGCCAGGGAACAGGGAGACGGACAGCCGCCTCCTGCAGGGGCTTCCCACACGGACAGCTGCACCCCCTGCGCCCCGCAGGCTGCCCTGAGCGTGGGCGGGGCCTCATGAGGGGTGCAGGGAGGTGTGGGGGGCGTGGGGGCCTCAGCGGGGTGTGGGGAGTGTGGGGGCCTCAGGGGGGTGTGGGGGGCGTGGGGGCCTCAGCGGGGTGTGGGGGGCGTGGGGGCTTCATGGGGAGTGTAGGGAGGGGTGGGGTGGGGCGTGGGAGCCTCATGGGGGGTGCAGGGAGGTGTGGGAGGCATGGAGGCCTCAGGGGGGTGTAGGGAGGGGTGAGGGTGGGGAGCCTCATGGGGGGTGCAGGGAGGTGAGCTCAGACACGCTCTGTCCGGCCAGGCTGTGTGAGGGGACAGCATCAGTGTTTTGCTCCCGCCACCCGGCACCCCATCACTCCTGCCAGTTTGTGAGCGTCTCATTTATTTATTGCTGCTAATCCTCACCCATTGCCCTGAGAAAGAGTGGAGGGAGGTGGAGAGACGGATGTGAGAGACACAGGGCCGCCTCCTGCAGGTGTCCGGCGTGGCGGGGTCCGGTCAGACCGCCGGCCGGCTGAATTCTCCTGATGTTGGCACCGAGGCCCAGGAGGGGTGCACCAGGCCCAGGAGGGGTGCACCAGGCCCAGGCTGTGCAGGACAGGCTGCTGGCACTCCCAGGAGGGTGCACCGAGGCCGCACCGGAACCAAACTGACCCGGGACCGTCAGCTCCCAGGCGGCTGCTCCGTCTGCTGAGCCACACCGGCCGGGACGCGTGAGCCGGTTTGGACCCTGAGGGCAGCCAGTCCCGTCCCATCGCCCGAGCTCAGCGCCCAGAGGCCTGGGAGGGAGCCGGGTTGGGGGCCTCAATGGCATGAACCGGAGCGGAGTTCCCGGTGCGGTGGGGTCTGTGCGCTCCGGGGCCTCCCAGCGGCGGTCCTGTCCGGGCCTCCGGCCGCGGGGAGGGCAGAGCTGGCACCTGGCACCGCGGACAGCGCCCGGGGCCGCCCACAGCGCTCCGGCCGCTGGCGCCCCCTGGCGGCCCCGCCGAGAGCGGCTGCCGCTCCGGCCCCGCGGCCACCGAGCGGCCTAGTGTCTGCGTTTCCCTCCGAGGGTCCCCGCGCCCCCGGTCCCCTGTGCCCCCGGCCCCCGCGCCCCCGGTCCCCGCGCCCCGGTCCCCGCGCCCCGGTCCCCTGTGCCCCCGGCCTCGCGCCCCCGGCCCCGCGACCCCGGTCCCCCCCCGCCCCCCGTCCCCGCGCCCCGGTCCCCGCGCCCCCGGTCCCCGCGCCCCCCGGCCCCCGCGCCCCCGGCCCCCGCCCCCCACCCCGCGCCCAGCCCCGCGCGCGTCCCGCCTCCGGGGGGAGGACACGGGGTGCGCGGGCCGCCCGCAGCGGGGCCGGGGGCCGGGAGGGGGGCCGGGAGGGGGGCCGGGGCGGCGCACGGGGACCCCACCTCCCGCCGGGTTTGCGGGACGGAGCTGAGCGCCCCGCGGCCGGAGACCGGGGACCCCCGATAGGGAGGGGGCGGGGCGCGGCGGCTGGCCCCGCCCCCAGGAGGCGCGCAGGCGCACTCCCCGCGGCTCGGCGCCCACAGCCCGGCCTCCGCCTCCCGCTCCGCGGCCGCCGCCCCCGCCCCCGCCCCCGCCCCGCGGCCCGGAGCCCGGACCCGGCGCCCGGCCCCGCCGCTGCCATGCTGCCCCCGCGGCGGCGCTGAAGGATGGCGACGCCCGTGCCCCCGCCCGCCCCGCGGCTGCTGCGGCTGCTGCGGCTGCTGCTCTCCGGCCTGGCCCTGGGCGCCGCCCTGCGCGGGGCCGCCGCCGCGCCCCCGGGTGAGCGAGCGCGGGGCGGCGTCCGGGCCGGGGTCCCGCCGGTCCTCCCGGGCCTCCCCGCCCGCCCGCCGCCGCCCCGCAGGCCCGGCCGCCGCCCCGCAGCCCGGCGGGAGGACTCCGCCGGCGGAGCTCGTCCCGGCCCCGGGGGCGAACGCCACGTTCACGCGCTGCTTGTCTTTGTCCTGAGCCTGTCCGTCTGTCTGCCTGTCCGTCTGCCTGCCTGTTTGTCCGTCTGTCCGTCTGCCTGTCCGCCTGTCCGTCTGTCCGTCTGCCTGCCTGTCTGTCCCGGGGCTCGGGCCTGGGCCTGCTGTCAGCGGCCCGCCCTGTGCGCGCAGCTGGGAGGCGCGGCGCGGCGCGGGGTGCGGTGCGGGGCCTGGGGTGCGGGGTGTCGGCCCCCAGTGCCTGCCACCCGGTCTGCCATGGGCCGGTCCCAGCCTGGTCTGCCCCCTCCCCCGGGCCGGCGGCGCGCTGGGCGGCCCTCTGGGCTGCCGGCACCAGGTCTGGAAGTTCCCTCGTCTGACAGCTCGACGGGGGGCGTAGGGCCCTGTTCTGGCTTCAGCGGGGCAGGAGGGACTCTCGGTTTCTGCCCTGAGGACCCGCCGTGCTGTCTCCTGTGCTGGGGCCTGGGGCCCCTCCCAGGACAGAGGCCTGCAGAGAGCCGTGGGCCCGGGCTCCTGGGGCCTCTCCCTGCTGCTCCGTTCCAGCCTGCAGGGCCCCGTGGCCGAACTGGGCCCCTCTGGGCCCACACATTCCCACGGTCCGCCTGGCAGCCCCGCCAGGAGGCACACGGAGGCACAGAGAGGCAAAGGGGCTGGTGCTGACCTGGGCCGTGTGGTTCTCTGTGTGTATGGCTCAGAGGCCAGGGGAGGGCAGGCTTCCCCTGGGCACAACACCCTGGGTGAGGCTGGCACGGCCAGAGGTGCCCGCAGAGGCCTGGGGGCCGGAGCCTGGCGGGCAGAGGTGCCAGCGGAGGCCTGGGGGCCGGAGTCTGGCGGGCAGAGGTGCCCGCGGAGGCCTGGGGGCCGGAGCCTGGCGGGCAGAGGTGCCCGCAGAGGCCTGGGGGCCGGAGCCTGGCGGGCAGAGGTGCCAGCGGAGGCCTGGGGGCCGGAGCCTGGCGGGCAGAGGTGCCCGCGGAGGCCTGGGGGCTGGAGCCTGGCGGGCAGAGGTGCCAGCGGAGGCCTGGGGGCCGGAGCCTGGCGGGCAGAGGTGCCTGCGGAGGCCTGGGGGCCGGAGCCTGGCGGGCAGAGGTGCCTGCGGAGGCCTGGGGGCCGGAGCCTGGCGGGCAGAGGTGCCCGTGGAGGCCTGGGGGCCGGAGCCTGGCGGGCAGAGGTGCCTGTGGAGGCCTGGGGGCCGGAGTCTGGCGGGCAGAGGTGCCTGTGGAGGCCTGGGGGCCGGAGCCTGGCGGGCAGAGGTGCCCGCAGAGGCCTGGGGGCCGGAGCCTGGCGGGCAGAGGTGCCAGCGGAGGCCTGGGGGCCGGAGCCTGGCGGGCAGAGGTGCCCGTGGAGGCCTGGGGGCCGGAGCCTGGCGGGCAGAGGTGCCTGTGGAGGCCTGGGGGCCGGAGCCTGGCGGGCAGAGGTGCCAGCGGAGGCCTGGGGGCCGGAGTCTGGCGGGCAGAGGTGCCCGCGGAGGCCTGGGGGCCGGAGCCTGGCGGGCAGAGGTGCCCGCAGAGGCCTGGGGGCCGGAGTCTGGCGGGCAGAGGTGCCAGCGGAGGCCTGGGGGCCGGAGCCTGGCGGGCAGAGGTGCCAGTGGAGGCCTGGGGGCCGGAGCCTGGCGGGCAGAGGTGCCTGCGGAGGCCTGGGGGCCGGAGCCTGGCGGGCAGAGGTGCCTGCGTAGGCCTGGCTCCGGGGCCTGCGGGTGGGGCCTCCTGAGGAAATGGGCCCCCTGGCGTGGGTGGGCAGGAGCCATGCCAGCCAGCTGCTCCTGGCCGGTGCTCTCCAGCTCCGGGTGGGGTGCCAGCCACTCTCCAATGCCATTGTCCCCGGGCCTCGTGCGCCCGGAGGCTGGCATGGGGGCCGGGAGTGCAGGGGCCCGGGCCCAGGCCTGGAGCCGGGTCTGCCGTACCCTTTGGCCTGGTGCGTGTGGCATCCTCGGCCTGCTGTGGGATGCCTGGCTCCCGAGCGCCCAGCCAGCGGGTGGGGTCCAGACAGACCTGCTGGCACAGGCTTAATGTTTAACCAGCCCAAACCCCGGCCCAGCTCACCGGGGTTGGCGCCTCCTGACCCAGGCTGTGCCCACGGGGGCTGCTGGCGCTCTCTGGAGGGATGCCTACAGCCAGGGTGCTGAGTGTTTGGTTACCGTGGAAACCAAGTCAGCCCAGTGGCGGTCAGGAGAACAGAGTGGGCCTTCCCCGCCCCTCACGTCGCCCTGGGCTCCCGGGCCCTCCTGCAGCGTGAGGGCCGAGGCTGAGGGTCCCGGTCCTCGGGGCACCCCACCCTCACGTCCCCAAGTGGGGCCCATGGTCCTGCTGGGTGCCCCACCGCTCTGATGCCCAGTGGCTGGAGCCAGTGCCCCAGGCCTCAGGACCTTCCTTAGCTCCGAGGGAATTCGCCTTTTACTTTATTTTTTATTTATTTATTTTTTAAAAATATATTTTATTGATTTGTTACAGAGAGGAAGGGAGAGAGATAGAGAGCTAGAAACGTCGATGAGAGAGAAACATCGACCAGCCGCCTCCTGCACATCCCCCACCGGGGATGTGCCCGCAGCCAACGTACATGCCCCTGACCGGAATCAAATCCGGGACCTTTCAGTCCGCAGGCCGACGCTCTGCTGCTGAGCCAAACCGGTTTCGGCACCTTTTACTTTATTTTATTTACTTATTTTTAAGTATATATTTTTTTTTATTGATTTCAGAGAGGGAGGGAGAGGGAGAGAGAAATAAATAGAAGCAACCATGACGAGAGAGAGTCAGGGATCAGCTGCCTCCTGCACGCCCCCACCGGGGAGGGAGCCCGCACCCTGGGCCTGTGCCCTGACCGGGAATCGAACCTTGATCTCCTGGTTCCTGGGTTGAAGCTCAACCCCTGAGCCACGCAGCCAGGCCAGCTCTCCTTCTGCATCAGAGGGGAAACTGAGGCAGAGGGGACCACTGCCCAGCCCCTTCTCCCTCCCCTCCCAGTGTCAGGATGGGATCTATGGGGTCTGGAGGCTGTGTGTATAGGACACTGGTCTGGGCCCCTGACAGTGCTGGTTTGGGGAGCACCCCGCCCCCCAGCCCTCCACACCTGCTCTGGTCTTTATCCAAAGCATGTGAGGAGGCTGGCTGCCTCCATCCTGGTCTCCCACCCCAGCGGCTCCTCTGCCGGGGACCAGCTGCAGGCGGACCTGGGCCGTGACTGGCTTCAGGGGCACCTCTTTGTCCCCTCCGCCTCCGCCCTGCCCCTCGGGCTGTGGGCTGGCAGGGCAGAGGCTCTGCGGGGGAGATGGGTCGCCTGCACCTGAGCCGAGGGAGACCTGAGCCCCACCCTCCGGGCACCCCGAGGCCAGAGGCTGCTGTGGGCCCGAGGCCCGCGGCAGGAAGTGGAGGCTGAAGGGCTGCCCGGAGCGTGGGTGCTGGACGGTGAGGGTCAGTTTCCGCCCGTTGGGCCGGCGCCCGCGGGAGTGGGACCCAGGGGAGTGGGTGGGGCAGGCGAGTTCCCATAAGTCTCCGGTGTTTGCCTTCCTGGTTCTGGTGTTTGCCTTCCTGGTTCTCGGCGATCCGGATCCGAGAGGGAGGAAGGGCCCACCCAGCGCGGGACGGGAGCCAGGCCCTTGGCGGGGGTGGGGGAGGCGCTGGGACTGGGCTGCCTCCCGGAGGCCTGACCCTGCTGCCCCCTCTGCTTCCTTCCCAGATGGGGACACCTGTCCCGGGAGCCTGGACTGTGCCCTGAAGAGGCGGGCACGGTGCCCCCCAGGGGCTCACGCCTGCGGGCCCTGCCTGCAGCCCTTCCAGGAGGACCACAGGGGGCTCTGTGTGCCCCCGGTGCAGCTGCCTGTGGGTACGGGCCCCCACCTCGTCCCTCCCGCCTGACACATCGACCCCCGCTCCCCGGTTCCCGAGCTCTGTGGGCGCCCTGGATGCTCAGGCACCTCCCAGCAGCCCTCGTGCCCTCTCCATCGCCCACTCCTTCACTCCTGGGCACGGGGGGGGGTACGGGGGCGCCCCACTTTCCAGCCGGAGCCCAGAGTGGGAAGGCGGGCAGAGGCTGTGGTCCAGGTGTGGTGGGCAGCCCTGGGGCTGCGGGGGCGGGAGTCTGGGGGCTCCTGGGGGTGATCCTGGGAATGAGGGGGGCTGAGACCCTGGACGCCTGCTGGGAGCCTGTCTGGCCCGCGGAGCCCACCCCAGGGAGCAGGGCCCAGCCGCCAGCGCCCCGGACAGCTGCCCGCCGGCCGTGGAGGTGGGGCCGGGTGGGCCTCTCCCGCTCCTGCTTACGGGGAAGGCGGAGGATGCAGGGATGTGTGTCCCACGCCCTGCGCCCCTCTGTTGGTAATGGGTGGGGTCAGGGCACCCCTGCCCTCCTGGCCGGGGCACCTCCCTGCCACAGGCACCTCCCTGCCCACACATTTCCTGGGAATGTGGCTTCTGTTGTCACCATGGCAACCCCGGAGGACTAGCGGCAGCTGGGTACCAGCCCAGCCTCAGGCCCCAGCCTGGGAGGAGCCTGGGCAGATGCAGGCTCTGGGCCTGGGCCCGGCTCCAGGATGGAGCCACCTGGGGGTGCCGGAGGGTCTGGGCTCCCCCTGACGGCCCCTCTCCTCCCAGCGGGGGCACCCCCCCAGCCCAGACTGGAGGATGACATCGACCTCCTGGCCGAAAAACTGGCCCAGCAGGAGGCGGGGCGCTGGAAGCACCCCACCCTGTCCCAGACCCAGACCCAGGCGCCCCTGCAGCAGCAGGAGCCGGGTGAGAGCCCCCCACCTCTCCTGTCTCCCCCTTTCCGTCCCCCCCTTTTCCCGCCCCCCCCCATCCCGTCCCCCCACCCCCATCCCATCCCCTCACCCCCTTTCGCACCCCCCCACCCGGCCCCGTCGGTCCTAAAGGCCTTCTCTCCGCAGCAGCCACCCTGGGGCTCTCATCCAAAGGCCAGGGCCCGGGCCTCCCCTCCACCCTGGGGGCCCCTGCGCCCACACCCCGCGCCTCCCTGGGCGCTCCCGTGCACATGTCGCCCCTGGATGCCCGGCCTGGGCGCCTGTACGGCCTCGCCCTCGGTAGGTCTGGCGGGCGGGAGGCAGGGCTGCGGTGGGAAGAGACCCTCGGCGCCCTCCCTCTGCACCTCACTGCCCGCCCCCGTGCCCTCACCTCCCCCTGCGCCCTCTCCTCCCGCAGCGCTCATCTTGGCGGGCTCCGTGGCCGGCGTGGCCGCTGTGGCCGTGGCTGCTTTCTGGTGGTGCAGGTGAGCCGGCTGTGGGCGGGCGGGCGGGCGGGTAGGTGGGCGGGTGGGCGGGCGGGCAGATGGGCGGGTAGGTGGGTGGGTAGGTGGGCGGGTGGGCGGGCGGGCAGATGGGCGGGTAGGTGGGTGGGTAGGTGGGCGGGCGGGCGGGTAGGTGGGCGGGTGGGCGGGTGGGTAGGTGGGGGGGGCCGGCGGGCGGGCAGATGGGCGGGCGGGCGGGGCGGGCAGCGGGCAGGCGGCCGTGACCCAGGGTCTCGGTCTCCGCTCCCGCCCCCAGGCTCCAGCGAGACATCCGCCTGACCCAGAAGACGGACTACACGGCCCAGCAGGCGGCCAGCCCCCCCCACACGCCCCGGACCTCGGTGTGTGCCCGCCCGGCCCTGTGCCCGCCCCGCCCGCCCCACAGCCCGCCCCGCTCCCCCCTCAGCCCCGGGACCAGCGGCCGCCCCGCCCCCTGCCCCGCCCCGCCCCCTGCCCCGCCCCCGCCCGCCCCGCCCGCCCGCCCCGCCCCCGCCTGCCCCGCCCCGCCCCGCCCGCCCGCCCCGCCCCCGCCTGCCCCGCCCCGCCCAGCGGCCTGACCCCCTGACCCCCAGCCCGGCGACCAGCGGCTGGCGCAGAGTGCCGAGGTCTACCACTACCAGCACCAGAGGCAGCAGCTGCAGATCCTGGACCGGTGAGTGACCCCCCCCGAGGCACCCCCCACTGCGGGCCCCGGGGATCCCACCCCCAGGCCCGGCTCCCCTGCCCCAGAGCCCCCACCCGCCCGGAGCCCACCCGCCCGGCCCTCGCCCCACAGGCACAAGGAGCCCCCCAAGGAGCCGGACGAGGAGAACGAAGACGGGGACTTCACGGTGTACGAGTGCCCCGGCCTGGCCCCGGTGAGCGTGGGGGGGGCTCCCAGCTCCTGGGGCGCCGCCTGCTGCCCCGCTGCCCCCGGCCCTGACCCGCCTTCCCCTCTGCAGACCGGGGAGATGGAAGTGCGCAACCCGCTGTTCGACCAGGCCTCCCTGGCCGCGCCCCCGCCGCCCCTGCCGCCGCCGCCCAAGTGACCGCTGCGCACGCTCCGAGGACCCCGCGCCCCCGGGGGCCCGGACCCCCATTGCCCAATAAAGAACCGCTCTGAGCCTGGCCGTTCCTGTGTCTGGACTGGGGCGCCCGCGGAACCCCCTGTGGGGACAGGACCCCTCTGCTCCCCCTGCATCGGGCGGGGAGTGGGGACCCCAGAGGAGGGGGAGCCCTGAGGCCGGCAGGGATGGGGTGCCGAGACCAGCCCATTAAAGGGCTTTCAGACCTGGGCTCCGCGCTGGAGACCACTCTCAGCCCCCGGTCCTGGGGGAGGGCCAGAGGGAGCACCCCTGGGCCCTGCGGGTCGGCCTCGCCACCCCCTCCCCCTCCTCCAGGCCTCACCCCTCCGACAGTCTGCCCCAGGGGCGGGCGGGTGCAGGGCCAGGCAGATGGGGATTGCTGCTGCCCTTCCAATCCTTTCCCACGTGTGGCCCGGCCGGCGGGCTCCGTGGTGAGCGCTGACCTGGGAACCAGGAGGTTGCGGTTCGATCCCCGGTCAGGGCACAGGCCCGGGTTGCGAGCTCCACCCCCGTGTGGGGCGTGCAGGAGGCAGCTGATCCGGGATGCTCTCTCATCATTGATGTTTCTCTCCCTTCCTCTCTGAAGTCAATGAAAATATATATTTTTAAAAGGGCTGGGCATCGGGCGCCCAGGGACACGTGGCATGGGCCCCAGGGCCTCCGTCTTCGCCTGCAGGCCACACCGGTCTGGTCCCTACAAACACCGTGTCCACCAGGATCGGAAGCAGGCGGACCAGGACACAGCCTGGGTGGCTGTGTCAGAGGCGCCACACGGGTTCCAGAACCCCTGCACCGTACGTGGGGGAGCTGCCAGGCAGAGGGCACCGTGGGGGGGAGAGGGGGAGGGGATCCCAATACCAGGAGCAGCCGGGACCGGTTTGGCTCAATGGATAGAGCGTCGGCTTGGGGACTGAAGGGTCCCGGGTTTGATTCTGGTCAAGGGCATGTACCTTGGTTGCAGGCACATCCCCAGTAGGGGGCGTGCAAGAGGCAGCTGATAAGAGGTAGCTGATTGATGACTCTCTCATTGATGTTTCTAACTATCTCCCTCTCTGTACAAAATCAATAATACATATATATAGATATATACATATATACATATATACATTTATAAAGAGTGCTACCAATACCAGGAGCAGGGTCTTGGCCCCCTTCAACCTCCCTCTGTGGAGCCAGGAGGCCCCGAGTGGGTGTGGAGGGTACTGTCTGGTCAGAGCTGCTGAGGCTGGGCCTGGAGAAGGGGTTTGTGGGTTCAGCGGACCAGACCGTGTGCCCTGCAGGCGAAGCACCGGGTTCGGAAGTCCCTGGTGGTGGTCGGCCGGGGTGGCTCAGTGGGTGAGCCTCGATCAGAGTTTGATTCCAGGTCAGGGCACAGGCCTGGGTTGTGGGCTTGATCCCCAGTGTTGGGTGTGCAGGAGGGTCAATGATTGCAATATGACTGAATGACAGAACGACAGGATTCACACTGGCCACTAGAGGGCAGACAACGTAGGAGCTGCCCCTTGGTAGTTAGTGCGGCTGCTGGCTCACTGCTGGGGAGCACAGCGGTGGTGGCAGGAGCCTCTCGCCTTCGCTAAGCCAGTTGGACATCCCCTGGGCTCTAGTAAAAATATATTTGAAAAAACAACTCAGACCCCTGACCGGTGTGGCTCAGTGGGTAGAGCATCGGCCTGCAGACTGAAGGGTCCCAGGTTCCATTCCGGTCAAGGGCATGTGCACATCCCCGGTGTACATCCCCGGTGGGGGTGTGCAGGAGGTGGCTGGTCGATGTTTCTCTCTCATCGGCGTTTCTGGCTCTCTCTCTCTCTCCCTTCCTCTCTGTAAAAAATCAATAAAATGTATTTAAAAACAAGTAAGATAAATAAAGCAGCAGGCTCCTCGGACCAGCGCCCACCCAGGCTGAGCCGGACAAGGGTGGGTGGTGCCCGCTGTTCGCTCAGCTGTGCCACCAGAGTGTAAACGGGGCGCGACAACAAAGGTTGCCTGGCACCTGGCGTGTCGGCCCAGCCCGCTCCTGTCGTCCACTGGATCCTGCAGACGCTCCCTCTCCAGCCTCCCGTTCCGCGGTGGTGCCTGGCTCCCGGCAGAGCAGCCATGGGGTATGTCCCGTCTCCTCCCTCCTCGGCCGCCCCGTCCCCAGGTCCCTGCTGCCAGGCAGAGAGGGTGCCGGTCGGCGGCTGTGGCCGTGATGGAGCCCCCGGCCCGGGCCGGGGAGCAAGAGGGACTGTGGACCTCCGAGCGAGGGGCCTGACCCGGAACTGAACCGTGACCAACAGCCCCTGCTTTTGTCCGAACTCCCACAACCCCCTTCCTCCCACAGGCCCGGGGCGTGGGGGGCTGCCCTGCGGCCAGGGTTTGGGGCTCAGGGAGGCCCTGGCTCCACAGGACCCCAATCCTGGCCAAATCCGGATTCGGAGCCCCCACTACAGGAGTGGGTGTTGGGTCTCAGTAGAGAACAGAGGGGTGAGCCAAGCCAGGCACGTCCGGCAGGCTCTGGGCTCCTCTCGGACAGGCTGCGGCTGGGTCCCGAGCCCGGGAGCCTGGGGGGGAGTGAGGGGCACAGGAGGGGAGGGGTGGCGCCTGCAGGATCCCTGGGCCCAGGTGGTCCGATGGCTCCTGGCACCACCCGCACCTCAGCCTCAGGGCACCCACCTTCCTGAGGGCTGCCGGGAACTACCCCGCCCCCCCAATAGCTTGCCCTCTGGCTCCCTCTGCTGCCTCCATTCCCCCGGGGCCGGCCGCCCTGGGGCTCGGCCACCAGGGGGCCCCTGCACGTGTCTGCCCTCTGCCCTGTGCAGGCCACCCCTGGGGCAGCTGGGCGCTGGCCCTCTCTCCCGAGGCGTCCCTGGGCCTGGGGCTGCACAGGGTGTAGTCTGCCAGGGGAGGTGACGGGGGGGGGGGGGAGGGGGAGAGCTCCCCACCCTCTGTGTGCCCAGCCCCGGTTTCCTGCAATGGGTGCCCCCGGGGAGGGCTCAGCTGCAGAGCTCGGGGGTGGGGAGCTGTGGGCTGGCACCGGTGCCGCCTGCACCCCGGGTGTCACGAGGTCGGAGAGGAGCTGGCAGGAGGGGCCCCCACTTTCCCTTTGACTCAGGCCTCTCACCCTCTCACACCAGAGCTCTCGTTCTGACCTGTTTCTGGGCCAAACCTCGAAGCCGTCCCTCAGCAGGCGGGCTCCCAGGGCGCAGGCGGGCGCGGGCGGGCGCAGGCCCTGGTGGCTCCAGCCCCTTTCGCATCCACCCAGGAAGGGAGCAGGGGTTCAGCCTGGCAAACAGGAAGGGCAGGGGTCGGAACCAGAGACCAGCTGCGGTGGATCAGCTCCTTCCGTGTGCCGCCCGCGGGCACTGCCCGGGGAGGAGCAGGGTGTGGCTCAGGGTGTGGCCCAGAGGTGCCCGGGGGAGGGGGCAACGGCCGGGTACCACGCTGGCATCGCCCAAACACAGAGGCGCTTGGAGGGCAGGGGCAGGTGACAGCTGGGAGCCAGGCCTGGCTGCGTGCCCACCTCTTGCGCCCGCCAGGCAGGCGGCTGCCCGGCGCCACCGCCCCCTCCCTCTCCGATTTTGCTCAAGACCCACCGCGGTCAGAGGTCCTGCTGGGGTGCAGGGCCCCCCAGGGGCCAAGCGGCTCCTTCTGGACCTTCTGGACGCGACAGGCCCCGTGGATCCCCGGAAGGCAGCGGGGGACCGGGGGGGGGGGCCCAGGACAGCCGGGCAGGGGGTGGCCCGGCTCAGCCCCGGCCCATTGTTCCTGGAAGCCGTTCCAAGGACCCCGCTAGCCCGAGGCCTCCCGGATACACATCCTGGCCTGAGTCTGCCAGGACAAGCACGCTGAAGGGCGCCACTCCGCCGAGGGGGTGCAGGCGGGGCGGGGGCACCGGCCGTACCTGCGGCTTGGAGGCCCCGCGCGCGCGAAAGGGGAAGGAACTGGACCTGAGGCGGGACCGGGCTGCGGGTGGGGGAGGAGAGGGCTCTGATGCTCGCCTTCCTCTTCCTGGAGCCTTTGCCAGCCCCCTGCCCGCCCGCCGGCCGCCAGCGCCCGGACACCAGGACTCCTTCCCTTTCCAGCCTGGAAAGCCCCCTCCCTGCCCCCCATCCTGAGCCGTGGGCCTGGAGGAGGGGCCCGGAGCCCCCAGCAGCCTTCCCCTCGCAGACCGGGGCCCCCGCCCCGCGCCCGGAGCCGCTATGGACACGTGTCCTGGGGGAGAAGGCCCTGCAGCCTCCCCGGGCCGGCCCCTCCTGGCCACTGCCCCCTGCGGGGGGTGCCCGGGCCTGGGATGGACCCTGCCCCGGGAGCCCGCGTGCTGGCACAGGTGTCTGGACGGGGTGGGCAGCGGGTGAGGTGGGCCAGTGAGGAGCCGCAGGAGGAGCCTCAGGTCCGGGCTGAGGGGCCAGGCGCCCACGCCGCTGGGCGCAGGCGGGGAGCAGGGGGGGTGGGGGATGCCGCCGCAGGCGGGCGGTGGTGTGGCCGGGGGCTCGGTGGCCTCCACGGGCGCCCTGGGCCTGGGCAGTGACCTCCAGCCCTTCGGAGGGTGACCTCCCTGCCCGGGTCCAATGGGGGCACAGGGTCGGGTGCAGCTGGCACCGCTGGCACCACCTACCCGGCAGCAGTGGCTCGCACCAAGGCCACCCCCAGGGAGAGGGTGGGGGGCAGGGGCGGGGCTGGGAAGACACCCAGTTTCCTCCCTCTGAGCAGATGAAAGGAGCTCCCAGGTGGGGCCCAGCCAGCGAGCAGCCGTGATTGCTGGTGCCTCCCCGGAGGCCGTGATTTCAGAACCGGGTTTGTGGGCGACCGATCCCGAGAGCCGGGGGCGAGGAATGCCGGTGAGTGTCCTCAGGGGGTCCCCGCCGGCCGGGGGGGGCGGGCCGTGGTGAGCTCAGGGAGACAGCCTCTCTTCCTGTGTTCTGTGCAGGGCCCTGCGGTGCCCAGACACTGGGGCCCCTGGAGGGCCTGGTCTGGGGTCTCCCTGT